GTACAGTTTTGTGTTCAGTGACATGGTTCTAATATATCTTAAACCAGAATAAGGTTAACATTATCGATTTTCAAACAATTAAAAAAATTTTTTATGTTTTGATCTGTCATTCTAAATGGAGATTGAGTTGTTTTTGAGTTGTTTTCCACAACAGTTATACAAATGTTTCCTTGAAATCTGGATAATATAAAGGGTTTATTATAGTCAATTGCCTTTTCTTGTTTTCCTTGGTTGTACACTTAGTCAAGTAAGACTAAAATGTCAATTGAAAGTATACTTTGCAGTATCCTATTTGTAGCAATGGCTTTAACCCACGCATATTATCACATGATGAGATTCACAAGATTTATTCTTGAAATGTGAATCTATATTTAATTTTCTTGCTTCTGTATAATTTCAAGTGCTAACTGCACATCCGTTTTCTTTATTTCTCGCTTTAATATCTCTATTTTCTACAGTATTTTGTAATTTAACAATGATCTCTATGAATTTATTCTTGTGGATTTTTTAATTAGTTAATTGCTTCTTCATTACGGCCTATCTCAAGTATACAATGTTTTAGACATCAAGGATCGATCTTAGCATACGGAAACAAATTGACACTTTTATAACTATCATCACAAGATAGTGAATATGCCATTCAAGAGAGTACTGCAGTTTTAAATATTACATTTGTGATGTTGTTGAGACCCTTTGTAAATCTATGTCTATACCATATACAGTATATAGTAATTAACAATTCAATTTACATAATGAACATGTACAAGTAAAAAAATGCATAAACTGACTTGAATGGAACCTTATTTTTAGAACTGCTGGATGTTTTTCTGTTTATTTAAGATTTGATGAATATTGTATCAATGATACATCACACTGATATTTTCACATTTTTTCATGTTGTATTTTAAACTAACTTATGACTTATACTTTTGCATTTTGTCATGCTGTATATATTTTATATTTTTGTAGCTTATAGTAAGTTTAGTTTATTCTACACTGTACTGACTAATATGTCATTGTAATCAATACAATAAAAGATAGTTACATATAACAAAGGAGATTGGAGCTACATAATCCGGCAAAAACCAAGGCAAATCTTGGAATAACTGTCATCATCATAATGTTTAGTTAAGTTAGAAAATAGTGACATGTCTTGTTTTTAGTACATACCATCTGCATTAAAAAACAACGAAATTAGTTTGATGGTTAAAGTTAATGCAAAATGGAGAATAAATCGGAATTAATGTTCACTAATGGTTACACATAATAAAGATACATTATCATTCCTCAGTTGCTTGGTGATAATACACTTTTCCTTCCTTGACTTCCGTCATCCCAGTCGCTGACTAGACGCAGGCAACATGATAATAAAATTCTAAATTAATTTTCTGTTAAGCGTCAAAACAGAATAAAATGATAGCTTGTAATGGATGATAATTATCCGAGTATATTTTACCTAAGTTAATAAACATTGGCAAAAAGCACTTATGCTGTGGTCAAACCATTTCCCCATCCTCATATTGTACATTTACACATCTTGTTCACTCGGCTCCCATCGGTGAACGCAGTGAAGACTGAGCCTGCGAAGATGGCATTTACATAAATTTTGGCATATCACTCTCACTTCCAACTAGATTTTCATTCAAATATATTAAGCAAAACGTTATAATAAATGGATATAATAGCCTATAAGATGGATATTCAAAAGAAAAGTTTGTCTGTTAAATCTTTAATCTCAAATTCTAGATTTGCACATAATACAAAATTGCCCTAGTTATGAATCATGGTAAAGGTAGTATAGTATGCCATGTCAATCTCCACAATACATTGGTATTTATTAGTTTCAAGTGAAAGAATCACCATAGAGTAATATAACCATTCCAGGAAGATCGCAGGTAAAAAGCACTCTCATATAACAGCTGATTCCACTAAACCATCCACAGAAAAACCACGGTCCATTAATGCTTATAATAGCCAGGCCTTTTTCTTACCAATATATGCATAATCTGGAACCGGATCCTTTTTACTCCTAAGGAAAATCACAGAGTGGTTACATTTTAAAATGCAAATTGGGCCAACAAAGAAGTGGAATCAGCAAGAATAAAGTAAACAGACATGTAGTAAACAATCTAAATTAAATAGAAATGTCTTAACATTCAAAATCACTCTCAGAAAAACTGAATAAGTCACAAGAAGGAAATCAAAGAAATGGGTGAATAAATAGAATGTACTACAAATTCTTAAGTAAATAAAAAATGAAAAATACAAATCAAGGCCATAATTGTCTATTTAATATTGTATCAAAATCTACAGATAAAGAAATGTATCTTCATTTACTGTGCTCCTTCCTGGATGCAGATAAGGAACGAGTGAAATTGATAGAAGCTGACTTATAATGTATCTTCTTATAACAAAGACGGGCCAATTTTATATAAGGCTCCTAGTGTTCTATAAACACATGCCTCTAAGATCCACAAAGAAACTAAAAGGTAGGGGAGCCCGAATTTGAAAAAGGCTATCCTGGATTGTTTTCTGATCTATCATTTTCCTCCATATAAAATTGCTAAATCTCTTTGCTGGTCCAATGAAGATTTTTTGCATTGTATTTGTACTCTCCTCAACATGAATGGGTTTGACAATATTAGTCACAGTATGGGTAGGACCAAATGAAGACTGAAATGTGCAACTATAGTATATCTTTTTTAAAGTTAACTGCAAAACAAAGAGGTTCTCTATTGGAATTAAGAATACATAATTCAATAAAAGGGTTTTAAGTCAAAAACAACCAATGCAAATGATCAATAATTAAGTCTTGATACAATTCTTCCCTGCCAAATCAGGTGAAAACTCTTATAAGAACCTTATGCCTCCAGGTGTGTTCCGGGATAATCTTGATTATCACACTCTCCTCTTTAATATTTCTTTAACCACTTACAAATATTTGTGGAGAATAATCTTTGGTGTGGATAGCAATTACTCCAGCTCTAAAAACTCCATTTCAGTTTATTACTGTTTTATATTGTGTATATTTTCCATCATTTCTTCAGTTTATCGTGTTTGTTTCCCCCCATCAAATTGTATACAGGGTCAAGAATTGAGGTTTTTATATATTTCTTATGGCCTCCGAATCCATGTCTCCAACTTCAAACATTAATATATTTTCATAGCATTCCATTTGATTTTTCAAGTATGTGATAGAATTTTTTCCATTCAATATAAAACAAAAGCAAAATGGTCTGAGACTTTTTATTGACTGTGGCCATGGTCATTTATTTTTTTGGTCTCTGAGTTCAAAGCAAATACAAATAATGTGTATGGACGTAGACTTTATAAGCCGGAATTTTATACATTCTTAGACCAACTAAAACAAAGGTGACAATCAAGTCAAAGTCAAAACATTTATATAGTCTAGGCAGTTATTCTGATTTCTCAGAGTCTCACTTTATCTAACGTTTTGGTGAGCCAGTATTCCAAAGGATAATACATGTACTTGCTGTGGATCCCAATGTCTATGCAGTATTATATCTTATTTGAAGACAAGGAATATGTGTCATGATTTGTAGAAAGAAAACGTTTTTGTTTTGACGCTTGGAGGGAATTTTATGTCATTGGCAGTCCTGACATTTCGTAAAAATTCTCAGTAATTTTACATTCAGTTTGTTAATCTTTCATACAACAATAGATTAGAATAATCTTGATTTACGTCATTAAATATTTAAAATTTAGTCAAAGTGATGTCATATCTGAAATCTACATGTAAAGATACATAAGGGTTATATGAAAATTGATAGATCAAATTGTCATGTTTTGTTTTACAACAACACATTCCTTGCTATAACTATTTTTATTATTGTAAATACAGTCATTGACCTTTGCAGTTTAGTTTTGTATATTGTACCACGCAGTGACGAATATGTCATTCTTATGACATTCGAAGAGTCAATAAAAGACATAAATAGAATCTAGCAAATGGTTGGTTGGCGTGTTTCATTGCATTAAAGGTATGTGATTGATCAGGTATCGAAGCCCATCATCACCCACCTGTGCCTCTTTGCATATTTAAAGACAGGTATCCAAGATTAACTCCTAACTGACAAGTGGAATTATAACACTTTGTTTTTATCATTGGTACCTGTTACATAGCAGGGTTAAATTGCTTTGTCACAAGACATTTTGGCATTTTGGCAAAAAGCTTTGAAATAAGGGATTTTTTGGCAAAACGCTTTGAAATAAGGGATTTCTTTAGCAAAAAGCTTTGAAATAAAGATTTTTTGGCAAAAAGCTTTGATATAAAGGATTTTTGGAAAAAGCTTTGAAATAAAGGATTTTTGGCAAAAAACTTTGACATAAAGGATTTTTTAACAAAAAGCTTTGAAATAAAGGATTTTGGGCAAAAAGCTTTGAAATAAAGGATTTTTGTCAAAAAGCTTTGAAATAAGGATTTTTGGCAAAATGCTTTGAAATAAAGGATTTTTTGTCAAAAAGCTTTGAAATAAATGATTTTCGGCAAAAAGCTTTGAATTAAAGGATTTTTGGCAAAAAGCTATGAAATAAGGATTTTGTGCCTGTGTAACACCTCAAAATTAGTTTGCTACAAAACTTCGAACAAAGCAATTTAACCCTGCAGTCTAACAAGTACCATTTGAGTGAACAGATTCAAGCCATTGTGACCCTCTCATAGACACACTTTACCTCCACAAGACATAAAGCAAAATATCATCATTTTAACATTTCTGAGTCTTAAAACAACTTTTTATATTATTGTCCTGATAAGGGTCCAAATTCCAACAGTTGTGGAAGAACTGTCTATTTCATTAGGGGGGGGGGAGTATAAAATGATATCATTATTGAAGAATGTTGATTTTTGAAAAAACTAAAGTGAAAGGCAAATCAGCTATTTCACCTTATTGGGGGGGGGTCAACATACAGTAATTAATTGTTTTCCATTGAACAGTCAACATTTGGGCATCATACCTAATAAAGATGTGAATAAGACTTACCTCTTTGCTTTAGAGTGGTAACTGGAAGAAGCTTTTCCTGTTGAGATTCTAAGATTTTGCCCTGGAAACAAACATATAAATATGAAACTAAAAGGACTTCAATGAATTCTGAAGTTGCACTTTGAAAGTATTTTTCAACATGATATATCTGCTATATATATTGGTCCATATGCCTCAAAATATACAACACCTGTAAATGTTGGTTGCAATTTTGTCATCCTCACTACCAAAATAGTGCTAATTTAGCACTTCTTATTGGAATTTAGCATACAAATTCAGCATAATTAAGCACAAAAATGAATCAGCACTTAAAATCGGCATGTGCATTTTCTAATGTGAATTACATATTCCTCCATTTGTTTCAACTAATGCATTGGTGTTAATGGACCAAGTCCTTAATATCACGAAATAGTGATAAATTGTCACATTTTTAGCATCAAATTAGCGCTAACTTTGGCAAGGATTTAGTGTTTTTGGGTGAAACAAAACTGTTTATTTTGCACTAAATTAGCACTATTTCTTAACTCTTTCTCTAATTGTTAACTTGGGACTGTAATTTGGAATCTAGGGTTGTATGAATTGTATCTAATTTGTTGACCTATGGTTGAAAACAAAAAATATAACAGCAAAATATGGCTTATTTACTCCATCCAATTAGAGCTGCTACATACAAACAGGATTCTTTGTAGAATTCAAAAAGGAAATAATACAATAAAGGCACTAACAATAACATCCTCTAAATTGCCAAACATAAGGAATTACACATATATTTACGTATATAACTTACATTATGGGTCTTATAAAAATTAGTAACGTTGGGCATTAAACATATTTAACTGCTTATGGGCACTTTATGGAATAAGTAATACAAATATTTGTAAATCACAACAAAGTACGACATACAAAGCCAAAAAGCATAATCTAAAATAATTCCCATAATAAACCACACTCCAATATAACCATTTATTTAAATTTTTCCTTAATTTACAATCGAGTATGTCACTTTATAGAACATTCAATAATCCCTGGAGGGACCTCTTAATGTATTTTATTAAAATAAATCTCTTCCCCACTCTACGTGCATGTAGTTTGCATAGAGAACAGGCCCCATGGGACACTTCAGTGAACTGACATATGACATTGCCGCTTTACCCCTGAAAAAATCTCACGGCGGTTGAACCCAAAATGCAAATATTCTCCCCAAGAATATCAATGAGTGAGAAATTATTAATACAGACATAGCAATGATACTCCAAAGTATATAAAAGTACCATAAAACATATTCAATATTTTGAAATATTCATCAAAAATAGACTATATCTTAGATGATGTGTATGTGGATTTACATATGGGTTATTGAGAAGAACAGATTGTGTAGAGTTCCATTATAGCCCTACAGGGACTGTGTGATAATGCACACAAGGTACAAGATTCCTACTGTTGAACAACTAGACACTAATGTCTCATCATTGGCATATCTTACCCATATTATAATGTAAATACGTCTCATCATTGGCATATCTTTCCCATATTATAATGTAAATATTATGGAATGCACTCAGAGACACAATTGCCATTTTCAAAAAATTTATTTCACCAGTTACATTAAACTGTTGATTTATATTTTCAGAATATCATTATCACTCTCCCTTTAGAGATATTATAATAGTCTAACTGGTTATAATTTTTTTTTTAATGATCTATGACATCATTTCATCTTCAAGATGGAATAACATGCACAACCTGGTAACGCATGATGTTAGTATGGTCTATATTCTTGAACACATGCCCCTGCATAAGTATACTGCAATAAAACAATGACTTTTAAGTGTGTCAAGTCTCATGATTATGCTTTTCTATCCTTATAAACAACGAGTGATGCAGTTTGAAAAAGTCAAGCGAACATGCTGGACGAAATGTCACCAAGTGAAAATAAGGTATGGTCAAGAGATAAGGAAAATATTGGATTAATTTAGAAGGCCTAATCAGATGAATTTATTTAGAACTACAAGAGTTGCAGTAAAAAGTCGTGGGATCGAGTTATACATACCATGTTTAAACGTAAACCATGATACCATGGTATACCATGGTTTACCATGGTCTATCATGATCGGCAATGAAATTGCCATCAACTCTGACCATGGTGGCAATGATGTTTTTTTGGTCAATTTTTGACCATGGTATACCATGGTATATCATGTTATACCATGTTTCATGGTATTTCATGTCCAAAGTTTGCCATCAAATACCATGGTATTTCATTGCCATGTTCCTGACCATCATTTACCATGGTATTACCATGGTATATCATGGTTGATTGCATTTCATGGCATTTCATTGTAAGATGTGACAATCAAATACCATGGTATTTCAATGCCATGTTCCTGACCATAATTTACCATGGTATATCATGGTTGATGGCATTTCATTATAAGATGTGACAATCAAATACCATGGTCATACCATGATATTTCATTGCCATGTTCCTGACCATCATTTACCATGGTATTACCATTGTATATCATGGTTGATGGTATTTCATTGTACAATTTGACAATCAAATGTCATGGTCATACCATGATATTTTATTGTTATGTACCTGACCATCATTTACCATGGTATTACCATTGCATATCATGGTTGATGACATTTCATGGCATTTCATTGTACCGTGTGACAATCAATTACCATGGTCATACCATGTCATTTCATTGCCAAAATCATAACTCTCATTTATCATGGTTTTATCATTGCATTTCATGGTTGGTGGTATTTCATGGCATTTTATTGTCAAACCTGACCATCAAATACTATGGTCACACCATGGTATTTCATTGCCATAATCATAACTATCATTTATCATGGCATATCATTGCATTTCGTGGTTGATTGTATTTCATAGCATTTCATTGTCAAACCTGACCATCAAATACCATGGTTATACCATGGTATTTCATTGCTAAAAAGAACTTTACAAGAGTCTCAAGTCTAAAATTGGTCAGAGTTGAAATGGATCATGAAATGCAATGAAATACCATGTTTAACCATGAAATGCAATGAAATACAATGATTGATCATGATATGCAATGAAATGCAATGAAATGCAATGAAATGCAATGAAATGCAATGATCTTTCTTGCAATGCAGTGAAATACAATGAAAGGCCATGTTCAAAAAATATTTTTTACATGAAATATCTTTATTAATTAATGTTGATTAGATAACCAAATTATTATAATTAGTGATTCTGATATTAATCAAAATCACAACTTTATATACTTTTGTTCCTTTATTTAATAAATTAATTTCTATTATGAATAATTAAGTTAATAACCCTAGAAACAATTTTTTTTTGTTAAACAAATATGCTTTACTTTTATTTGACTGTTGTCGGTTAAATAGGAGATCAACTTAATATTTTGTAAGTCAAACCTCCAGTCTTCGATTAAACATCTTGACTGTACTTCATTGCATTTGATGGTTTGCAACCATGAAATACTGCAAAATAGCAGTATTTTTAAATGCCAAATTTTAAGTATAGTTTCCACAGTATACCATAGTAGATCGTGATAATTAAATGGCTCCATTGCATATCATGGTTAAATGTCTAGACCATGATATCACTGCATTTGATGGTATTTGACCATGAAATACTGTGAAACGGTGGTATTTTTTAGATACAAAATTACATGTTAATTGACCATGGTATACCATGGTATATCATGATCGTTAAATGGCACCATTGCATTTCATGGTCAGGAGCGTTTTTTTAACATGGAGTTTCCCATTGAAAAAATACTGCCGTTTCACAGTATTTCATGGTCAGAAACCATCAAATGCAATGATATCATGGTCAAGAAACCATCAAATGCAATGATATCATGGCCGAGAACTTGACCATGATATCATTGCATTTGATGGTTTCTGACCATGAAATACTGCGAAACGGCAGTATTTTTTCAATGGAAAACTCCATGTTAAAAACGCACTGTTAACAATGAAATGCAATGGTGCCATTTAACGTTCATGATCGGCCATGGTATTACCATGGTATTTCATTGCATTTCATGGCCATATACCATGGTATACCATGGTCGTACCATGGTATACCATGGAATGGCCATGGTCCATTTCAACATGGTAGTCACCTATGATTCCATGTGGTTGTTTTTTATTGCTAGTAACTATGGCATTATTTGAAGATGATGTAGATGGGAGAAATTGTTAAAGCTGATTGTTTCTATTCTCTATGTTTGTCATCTATTTAAAAGGATGTTCACACCTCATCCTTAATCAGTTAATGGACGAGTATCTCGTTCATAGACATTTTCCCTGGCAAATAACATAACACTACATACGTATGATCTTCTATAACTAAAGAGCAGTGGGAGCCTATGATTCAATCTTCTGTAGTTAAAGTGTAGTGGTAGCCTAGCATTCAATCTTAAATAGTTAGAGAGGAGTGGTAGCCTAGCATTCAATATTCTATAGTTTGAGAGCAGTGGTAGTCTAGCATTCAATTTTCTATAGTAAGAGAGCAGTGGTAGTCTAGCATTCAATTTTCTATAGTAAGAGAGCAGTGGTAGCCTAGCATTCAATATTCTATAGTTTGAGAGCAGTGGTAGCCTAGCATTCAATATTCTATAGTTTGAGAGCAGTGGTAGTCTAGCATTCAATTTTCTATAGTAAGAGAGCAGTGGTAGTCTAGCATTCAATTTTCTATAGTAAGAGAGCAGTGGTAGCCTAGCATTCAATCTTCCATAGTTAAAGAGCAGTGGTAGCCCATCATTCAATCTTGTGTAGTTAAAAAGTAGTGGTAGCCTAGCATTCAATCTGCCATAATCAAAGAGCTATGGTTCACTAGTAATGGTAACCTAGCATTCAATATTCAATAGATTCAATAGAAGTAGTGGTAACCTTGAAAAAGTCAAGCGAACATGCTGGACGAAATGTCACCAAGTGAAAATAAGGTATGGTCAAGAGATAAGGAAAATATTGGATTAATTTAGAAGGCCTAATCAGATGAATTTATTTAGAACTACAAGAGTTGCAGTAAAAAGTCGTGGGATCGAGTTATACATAGTCACCTATGATTCCATGTGGTTGTTTTTTATTGCTAGTAACTATGGCATTATTTGAAGATGATGTAGATGGGAGAAATTGTTAAAGCTGATTGTTTCTATTCTCTATGTTTGTCATCTATTTAAAAGGATGTTCACACCTCATCCTTAATCAGTTAATGGAAGAGTATCTCGTTCATAGACATTTTCCCTGGCAAATAACATAACACAACATAAGTATAATCTTCTATAGCTAAAGAGCAGTGGTAGCCTATGATTCAATCTTCTGTAGTTAAAGTGTAGAAGTAGCCTAGCATTCAATCTTAAATAGTTAGAGAGCAGTGGTAGCCTATGATTCAATCTTCTGTAGTCAAAGAGTAGCGGTAGCCTAGCATTCAATATTCTATAGTTTGAGAGTAGCAGTAGCCTAGCATTCAATATTCTATAGTTTGAGAGCAGTGGTAGCCTAGCATTCAATTTTCTATAGTAAGAGAGCAGTGGTAGCCTAGCATTTAATATTCCATAGTTAAAGAGCAGTGGTAGCCCAGCATTCAATTTTCAATAGTAAGAGAGCAGCGGTAGCCTATGATTGAATCTTCTGTAGTCAAAGAGTAGTGGTAGCCTAGCATTCAATATTCCATAGTTTGAGAGCAGTGGTAGTCTAGCATTCAATTTTCTATAGTAAGAGAGCAGTGGTAGCCTAGCATTCAATATTCCATAGTTTGAGAGCAGTGGTAGTCTAGCATTCAATTTTCTATAGTAAGAGAGCAGTGGTAGCCTAGCATTCAATTTTCTATAGTAAGAGAGCAGTGGTAGCCTAGCATTCAATTTTCTATAGTAAGAGAGCAGTGGTAGCCTAGCAGTCAATCTTCCATAGTTAAAGAGCAGTGGTAGCCCAGCATTCAATCTTGTGTAGTTAAAAAGTAGTAGTAGCCTAGTATTCGATCTGCCATAATCAAAGAGCTGTGGTAGCCTAGCACTCAATCTTCACTAGTAATGGTAGCCTAGAATTCAATCTTCCATATTTGGTAATGGTAACCTCACATTACCATAAGTGGTAGCCTAGCATTTAATTCAGGGTACAACTTTGTGTCCTAGCAGTGAAAGTCCATGTTGAGGTTTTATAAACATCTAAGACCAATTCCCCTTAATTTTTCTGAGGTAGGGAAAAACATGGGAAGATGGGGTCTAAGACAAGGATTCAGAGACTCATTTTTGTCAGAGCAAATTCCGGGTCTCATAAGTGCTAGAATTTCACTAACATTTGACTCCTCTTGTCAAACCAATGATATAAAGCTCATGAGCTCACAATAATATGTTCACGAAATGATGTCAATAACTCATACTTAAATATTCCCTGACATTGCGATAATTTTAATCTTGCTTATAGTTTCAACTTGACGTCTCATGTTGATTAAATATTACAACAAAATCTACAATGATTTATTTTTACTTTTTCACTATTAGCTAATGAATATATCAATCAGTTTTTATTAGCAATAGACAAGATGCCAGCAGAAATCATCCCGATTTTCGTGATTAACAAGTCAAAATTTAATCAATGTAATTTGTAAGATTAACTGTAAAAATTCGTAAATTAATTCACGCATGAATCATTATTTTGGAGTTAGTTCAGTCTCATTTTGTATTCTTTTGTACATGTATATCTAACTCTGTAGTGACCAACACATCGTTGTTATGACATCAGAGGTGATTATTTGGATCCAGCTTATAAAATTGCTCACAAAAATTAATTATCTTGTTTTTTTACATGTATCATACCATTTCTATTATATCTATTATATTATATTTATTCACTATATAAAATACTTTTATGTTATACAAAGGCATTAAGTACAACTCCGCGAGTAATAATAGACGAGTGAGTATATGTTAAACTGATGGGTTGTCACTCTGAAAGCCACTGAACAGGATACTGGATTAGTAAATGATACATACAAATTAGTCATAAATAAAAACATATTATCAAACACAAATTCATTATTTTTCATGACTTCCATTCATATTTCTAATTCACAAACATTTGAGACTATAATAGTATTCTACATTAGAGAGGTGCTAATAGTATTTCATGAATGTTTTGTGGTTTTTATGAGAATTAACATGCAAAATGTCACCCCCTGCCATTTGTTACAGATACTGACTGCCAAAAGCCAACTGCCAAACACTGAACACCAACCACCATCCACAAAAAAGTTGGAGACTATAACAATATGTCACTACTTCTGATGGTGATATAGAAAACAATTAAAATCTGCGAGCTTTTTCTGATTGTTTTTTCTTTTTCAAATTATATGAGAAACCATACAGAGTATGCAAGTGTCAGTAGCCAGGGACTATAAATATAGGGCCAACCACTTTGAACCATTTACATATGAGAGAAAGGCCTGGATAGTGCCATACTCCTCTCTTAATTTAGATACTCCCTGATATGTGAAATGCTTAAAGTTATACGTGGATATTTATATAGGCTTTGATTAGATGTAGATTGGGAAATCAAATATGTTGAAAAATATTCCAAAAATTTTCTAAGATCATCACTTTCAGATACGTCAACAAGTACATTATTTTAATTATTTACCAAAGATAATGTGTTCTAAAACTAGATTACTTCCATCAATGAAATCATAATATATCAATGAAATGATAGCAACTTTTAGCTAATGAATTAGTCCTGTGGTTTATAAATAACACACTGGAATAATAAAATCTACTATATGTTAAAGCTTGATAGTAAATCTTTTTTTTGGTAGAACTTGACATCTCAACTATAACTTGACTCTTACTTACTATAACTCAACATACTACCCCTCCCCCAGGATATCAGCAGCCCTCCTATCTTTTGTTTCATTGCAAGGCATTCTACCATTTACAGGTGACATCCAGGTTAAAATGAATATTGTACTTTATTGTTTAATTATATAAGGGGACATCTAATGCTTACAGCGCTTTGCCCCTTGTAATTGTATCTAAATGACTTGTGCTTACAATAAATATGAAAGATGATAAAAAAAAAACTTGACTCTTAGCTAATGAAAGCTTGTCATAGTTATGTGTTTTTGTCAATAAACAAAAATAAAGCAGCCATATTAGATTGTATTGATAGTCATCTATTATCTACCACATCAAATATCCAGCTACCAATCCCCTAAATGTAACAGGAGGTCACCTCCCAGGGACACACTACAGATCATGTGACCTGATATTAACCAATTGGAGGAGACAATCGAGGTGGGAGTATAAATAGTGAGAGACCTTCTCTGTTGAAAATGGTAGAAATTTTATCTGAAGCAAGCAGATCATCTAGCACAATATTTGACGTATTATTTTCAAACATGAGATTGCTCCACATAACATAAACACTGGGGAAGACACGTAACACTCTTTAATGATATAGAAGTAAAAATGAACAATGAATATCCTACTTTAAAATAAACACAACAGAACATATATATTTGGATTAGATCTCTAGTAAAGTACATTACAGACAATCTTAATTTTACAAGACATAGCTACAAAGCCAAAAGTCTTATAACTAGCCTATAATGTCAATAGATTATTGTTTATGCTTTTTTATCAGCTGAACAAAGACCTCAGGATTCTAATATTTATTCATAGGATGCTCAATTAAACTTAAAAAGTACATAGTAATGGTAAAATGATAAACCTGGCTACATAGCCAACGAGCTCCAAAACATGGTAATGTTATGTTTGGATTGCAAGTAACACTGAAACACTAACAACAAGAAAACAAGCTGGTGCGGAGGAATCTCCTTATGGATGATCAACACCTTGTTAAATATCCTCATCACCAGGGGGTACAGACCGTGTAAAGCAAAACTAGACCAAAGTTTATGGATTCATGTCGAAAACCTTTTAGCACAATTAGTTAGAACCTTACGAGAGACAAAACTAAAATTGCCAGTTTCAATACGATCTGCTGGATATGATATTGTTTTCGAAATTCTAAAAGCTTCTTCAGATCTTTGGAAGAATTCTAAATCAAGAACATAATGAGTTGTACAGCTTAGTTGGGGAATATGGATGTGAACTTGTTTGAATTTATTTTTTAACATTTTTTCACTGAGTGAAAAATAAATTAATGATATTACTGTAAAATTTTGAGTTTGGACGACATTCCTTCCTTGATGAATACAATGTTCTTTCTCAAAAATGAACATTGTTCAATATTTCACATGGTGTCAGCTAGAATTCTCATGAAAAACATAGAAGACTTTCTAAAGAGTTCATTTTCCCGAATTTTTACTTGAATGACCTCTGAGCATAATTGATTCTACAACACACCTACAAGAAGGGTTGATCAAAAAGTTGCATCACCAATAGATACATTTGCTTCTGTAAATATCACAGTTTGAAAATTTGATCATGAAGTAAGTAATCTTTTTTAAATGATAAGGTGTACGCAATTCGGATGTGTCACGCTCTTTACTAGGCAAGGAATGTTTCATGCTTTAGTATATATGAGTACATTTGTATCTATTAATGGTGCAAATATCAGGCTGTTTTTTTTAATCAGTGGTATATGAGATCAGAGTGTATTGGATCTTAACTACATTACTTAAATATGCAACTCCTCAAAATCTCATTAAAAACGAGATTTCAATGAGCAAAGCCTATATTTGAGATATGGGTCTAATATTGTACCTACCTCTAAAAAGTTGGCAAGGAGGGAGCAGCTAAGTTCTTGTTGCAGAATCAGTGTGTTTGGCTCATTGTCATAGCAACAGGCAATCAAACTGGGAAACAAGACATTGGTCAGTCTCCGATCACTGAAATACTGGAATGGTAGACTGCATAGTTGCTGGAGAACTGTGGGGGGCTGGCCTGACTGAATAAACAGCTGAAATTATAGAGAAATGTGTTGCAGCATGAATAACCTAGGGGAGGGTATTTGGTAAAATACACAGCTGAAGAAATAAAATTGAACATATAATATTGCAAACATTGTGAAGAATTGGAGCATGACATGACAGTTCAAAGCATAGCCTTAATCAGTCAATTTTTCATTCACTTATGCTTGTCATTTTTTCAGACACAGTTCCAGTATCAGATGGATATAAATAATAAACAAGACATTAATATGCAAAATGCCACCACCTGCCATTTGTTACAGATGCCAAACTCATAACTCCAGACGCCGACCACTGAACACCATCCACAAAAAAGTTGAAGACTATAAGAATATGTGACCACTTGTGGTGGCTATATAAAAAGACAGTGTTATATTGACACATAAGTAATTTCTCGAGAAATCAAAATTGTATATTACAATCTGAATTTATGCTCATTACAATGTAGTTTAGAAGACTGACTCTTTTACAGATTAAAATATTTTCAAATGCAAATTATAATAGAAAGTTTATAAAATTTGTATCAATACAAGATTAAATATTCTTTTTTATTGGCCAAAATGTGAATGTTTGAATTTGAAAAACCAAGTTCTTTCTCTCCCAATATTTCCATAAATAATTTTAAATCTTTCAAATTTTCATTTTCCTTCATTTAATGTTTGCCACCTGGTGGCCAATTCTTGAAAAAGAGACCTAGAAAAAAGCCTAGAAAATCTTAAATAATTAAAATAAAGCATTGTCTGCCAGCTAATATCTGTTACATGATATCTATTATGATATCTTATTTTGCACCCCCGTGAAGATTTCAAATTAATCATTTTTAAATGATGAAAAATTATTATTTAGTAATAATTATATTACATGTGAGGGTAGATATGTTACAAATTGGATGTGAGACACTGTCTAATCATCACAAACATGGTAAAATAATACAATAATTTGAAGACAACTCTGAAATTAAATTTCCAACTTCTTCCCTTCAGAATATCACAAAGACAAAAAACTGGCTGCATAGTGTAACATGACATGAACAGAACGAAATTCCAAAATCCCCCAAATTTTGACCAAAGAACCTATAGTTAATACTAGAAAAAAGTTCAAAGAAAGTTTAATACAAGGGAATGTAGCCAATACTATCATTATGTTATCACATAAGCAAATTAGGATAACCACACAGACTCAGATTTCAGGGAAGGAAGATCGGCAATTTGAGCTGCAAATCAAGATATCTGAAGATGTCATTGGGATTCTAACATCATTTGAGGTTGAGAAAATTGTTTACACTTGCTCGCTTTGGAGTCAATTTCCTCAATAAGATTAACTTGTAGAATATATTCATCAGCTATGAGTATCATAATTTCAGCATCAGTATTAACTTGTATCTCTTAACCGCTGACATACGAGGTATGTGCGGGAATATCTATTGTATCTAGGGAGTGGGATGGATAATTCCGCATCTATCTCACTGTCCAGTATAGAAAACGTTATATAAGATTCAGTAGAAACATTTGACATTCAAACATTATTCCAAAATGAAAAGAACACAAATCAAGGGTTTTCATTATAGTTATCCAGCAACACAAGATTTTCTATAGTTGTTTTTACCGAGTTATAATTATAATTTTTAATAATAATTTTGTTTTTCATTTGTTTTACCTGTTAAGAAATTCTAATGAAAATTGCCTAATTAAAACATCATTAATTCTACCTGTTTTGTTAATTCCTTTTGCCTTTTGCCAGAATGTTTAATAAAACTGGCAAAAAATATAATAAAATGCTCGAATAAAATACTTGTAAAAGAGAATAAAATGCGAGAAAACCATGCCTTTATACTTGTAGTACAAAAAGATATAGTGGTACACTATTTTGCATACCAGAAGAATATGAAAATTAGTAAATTAATCCAGTACATATTAAGTGTCATATTCAGGTCATAAAATATGATAAAGTATGATTGATCATCCCAATATATTTTATTCTAATTGTTACATTTAATTGTCACTTCTATTACAAATTAAAAGCAAATTGATTTTTTGATACAATACACACCATAATAAAATAATAATAAAAATGATTAGAACAGAATTATGATTAATAAAATAAAATAATCTGAATGCAAAATTTTGATAAAAATGTTTGTGATTTGTAAACCATGGCATGATCATCATTATTTTAGTGAATTGAGGGTTTTTATATGTACATAACTTCTTAATGAATGCCCACGCTCCTTTCATAACTATGCATGCATGTGAGCCACTGTCAAGATAAATAAATAAAAATTGTTTGTATGTTCAATCAAGTAAGTTTCCTTGTGTGTATGTATCTTCAATTAATGCATAGTTTCTTTGTATGTAGTCATCTTAAATCAATGAGCTCTTCATATCTTCAATCGATGCATAGTTTTTGGGAGGTTGATCACACACGTATTAGGATGGGTTAATTGATTTGCACTTCAAAACTGAGATGTATACAGGACTATCATTGGGTACAATATAATCCATAGTAGCCCGGACAGAATTGTTCAATGGTCACTTTTTCTTTAATAACTTAATTTGCCTGTAATATCAACAAATTAAGAGCTGTTCCTTAAATATTTTTTTTGTATGTCAGAATTTCACTCTAGTTTTCAAATATGTAATCAGATTTTGATAATACTGAAAATTAAAAAAGTTATTTAAGAAAAAGTGACCATTGAACAATTCTGTCCGGGCTACTATATACTACGGAACAGCTACGGAAATTCCTTAATCCATTGTTATAAGCATGAAAATCATTGCATTCATTGACTTTCTACATTCTTTACACCTCTTCTGTTAATGCACACTGTATCACTAAACAACTAAACAATAAAATTAAATGGAAAAGTAGTTCCAAACCAAAGGAAGTCTTAAATATTCTGTCCAACTATTTGTTTTATTGCCTCTGATAACAGAGTGAAAATCTAAGAATTACAAAATTGTCTTCAAGTATAAAATCAAGATGTTGTCATTAAATATTATCTAAAAAAATAGATATCAAGAAATGTAACTCTTGTTACACGTGACTTATTCAACGTATGAAATGTCACACTGCTAAAAATAATGAATCTTTATTGTTCTGTCTGTATATTATATTGAGTATGAAATACATTGAATCATTAGCAACTGTAATTAAGCGTTCCTTGGGGGATGTTGATGCCAATGAAAAAGAGGGAAACATAATACACAATCAATAGATGTTTTTCTCTTATTATTCAAAAACTATCCCGTCGTGTTTGCAGTGAATCTTCCCGCATTGTGCCGATAGCCATTATAACCTTTGACCCGCTAATGGATGCAGGATAAAACGTGATCCAACTGGGCCAAAGATCGAAAGTATTAGCTTCTCGGATTGTGTCGTGTATAGATTTCTAGGAGTTCGGTTACAAACTAATTCCTGTATCTTTCAAAAATTATAACCTACGCTTGGAAATTCAATAAAAAAATTCTGATTTGTTTTGCCTCTTGTAAGCAAATTTAAAAACTTTTCTACGAGGATAAAATAAAACAGTCAAGAACCTCCAAGACGTTGTCCTTATAGGTAAATACAAAGATTTTATATACTTTGTGAGTTATACATGAAGGTTTATTCCGTAATTCAGATCGCTAAAGGAATGCTGTGACAACCTACTTAACATGTTGTATTCCTCTCTTTAGCAGGTATCTTCTGAATTAATTAGAAATGTATACAGTATTAGTATAATACTAATAAAATTGTTAAATCAATGATATTCCATTGTTAGTTGTTATGTTTTCTCAAAATATAGAAGCTGGAATTAATTAGGTAAAAATAGCTCATTATATTCATTTAATCCTTCATATCTTAATTTGAGATGTTTAAATTATATTTTGAGTATCAATCTTATAAATATCATTATGGATTTGTTTTACATTATTTGATAAGCATTTATTCATGTATTTTCTACTTTTCAAATGTTGCCAGTTATGCTTTCTTATGTAACTGGTTGTTTTTAAACAGAATTAGTTAGGAATGAAATCTTAAAATCCCAGATGTAGACAGAAATAACAAATACAGACACTGATCTTGCAAACAAATTATTGTTTTGCAGATCTGGAGTTATAAAAAGTTACATACCCTTTCGAAATAAAATCTTAGGTCAGAAACTTTCTTTAAAAATCTGCCGGACTAACTCTTTTATATTTGTGCATGGTTTCCCTTTTATAATAACTCCCTTTGTTTCATTTAATCCTTTAATATATCATCAAAAGATATTTTTATGTGTAAAATAATGATAATAGCGGGTTATCGTTTTGAAGGGTACACATGTATAGAAAGGCTCAGGTGGTCTGTTGTTCCATTAGCCATTGACGGAGAATTTTTTCACCGCAACAACAACATAAATTGTTGAGTCAAATAAAACAATAGCAAAATTTTTACTGCTTTAGACAGCGGATTAATTATGACCTCTGTGGTTTATCACTCGATGGGAAAACACTTAAAAAATATTTTTTCAGACTATTGTTTATTTGTAAAAATTACCATCCAAATATTTTCAATGCTTCTTTGGACCTCCCTTTCTAATGACTTCACCTACCTGGAGATGAGGTTAGGGGGGGGGGGGTCGTACAGGCTTAAAGCTTTACTATCCAAAATCAATACCCTAGATTTAACATAATTAGGTCACAAAACATTCTGCACCAAATGTAAACTATTATAGCACTTTGAAAAAGTGTGACAAAAAATACACTAACAAGTTGAACATCTATATTTCTACATGCAAAGCTTCAACATGAGTTAATATTTGCAATAATGCAAGTATTTAGTATCTTCTATTTATAATCTTGAGAGATGTAACTTCCAAATCCCACCTAGAAGCATTTGAGCGAGTGAATCATGGTGGTAATAGGGATAATTGTTATTAAAAGCTGTGAATGATTATTTTTTATGGTTGAGGAAGGTACGTTAATAAATTCTGTCACGCAACGTTCTATTGTTGGAGGGAAGGTATCATGAATATTAGAATGCAATATAAGGGATTGTGTCATTGTTTCAATATGGGTAATGTATAAACCAAGAGCACCTTGATATATTATTTCAATCGTATTTTTTCAAAATATTTTATCTAAATAGTATATTTTCTATTTCTATTTCATGGTGGATATTATTCGTTCTTAATGCGGACATCTCACAAGTCAGTAACCTTTTAGACATCGCATCAAACAATGATTGTTAACTGTTGTCAGATGATACTTTATATGAGGTTATAACACAGAACACAGAATTTTATTGCATAATACAATAAATTCACAGTGAATTATGTTTGAGAATAAAAACAGCATTTAGCAAAATATTGCATCATGAAATATATTTCTTATTTCATCCAGAATGGAACATTATTTTATACAAAGAAAAATATATTTTCATGATTTCTTGCAACAAAATAACTGATTGAGTATATTTATGAGGAATGGATAATTTTCAATATTCTGTCGTAAAAAACAATATCTATCACATCAAGTATTTCTCAGCTCTTAAAAAATAGGAGTACCTGATTGTCATTGCAGAGGGCACTAAAATGTCCGACACAAACAATCACCTCATGGAGTAAATCCTCACATTCTCGCTGACAGCAATACCATATTAGGTAACTTGCAATATGGCGGAACTGTAATGATGTTCCTTCTTCTCCCAAAGCCTCCTGAAAATATAAAATATTCCAAAATAATTGGATAATTGGATCGTAACATATCTGAACATGAATAAATTCAAATTTTAGCTAATTGAAGACATATTACTTACTATTCCTAAAGCATCAACCCATTGTCTTTTAATCAAATTGATTTGAATTCATTATTTATCTATCATTTATTATTTCACAAATTGAATCAACAGAATTATGCACATAAATTCAGTGTTAAGAAAATCAGGGATTTATTTGTACCAAAACAATAATGATTTATTTTGTGAATAATATTATTGAAAATCTGGTATATAATGTAACAAAAATTTCAATGACCAGGATTTTTCCCAAGAGCAATGCTCTTAATACTTGATTTGCTCACCATTAGCAAGGTTGCCAGAATATTTTCAAATCTAAATTCCACGACTTTTCCTGATACAACCATGACATTCCCCGTCTTAATTCTTAACCAAAGAGAAACTAATATAAAATAGACAAATAAAAATCCACTGAAAGCAATTGTATTTCATTTAAATGTTTTGTATGGTATTTCATACATTGCAAAATTCTTAAATTCTGTGAATATTTTTGCATTTTTAAAGTTCCCTGAGTTTTCCAATTAGGGAAAATTATTTTAGTTTCCCCCTGACTGAGACAAGCCTAAATGTAGGACGCCATATGTTTCGGAAATAATTGTGTGTTCCAAAATGACCTGATGAATATTGCGAGGCTCATATATTACTGATGTTTTGTTGTGCTGGCCGCAAATTGCACTACTGTCCACACAGCTATAAAACAATTGACCAAAACAATTTTAAAAACTCAAAAATACTCACACTTTTGTTTTAATCCTGTAATATCGTATTTCGATGGTTGAAACGAATTCAATTATTTCATTCATACTTATCCAATTAACATACATTTAATTTTTTAAAAATCAAAAATTTTCAGACTGAAATTTACTTTCCTGTGAACTGTTTGACAATTAGAGAGTGATCTGGTTTGATACTGGAGATTCCCAGTCTAATGTACACTGGGGCAGAGAGGGTTTTAAAAGCTACACATTAAGAGGAAGTTACTCAGTTAATCCATTAAGACCATATCATAGCTAAATGCACTACCACGCTAAACCATTACATCTAGGAGACTGCACAGAGGCGATGTTAAAACCCATAGAAAAATACATTGACGCAATTCAGGCCAGGGCCTACTTGCAGATCACAATCCATTATAATCATAAGATTGTTTGGCTCTACAGTCAGCATATCTACTTTCTTTTAATACATTATAAACTATAAAGTGCATCTATTTTCATTCTAAACGAGTGATAATGTCTTGAGCTTCAATGTCTGGCATAACATGACAGGAAACTTCAATTAGGTAACGTATCAAACCAGCCATATTCTTTTCCTTTAATATTTTTTAAGACCAGACAGTCTCTTTAATTCAAAATTTTCGGCACGAAAATATTTTTTGTTTCAAAATACTGTAATATAAACACATGCATTGAGAAATTGATGATTAAATGATAATCAACACTATAATTCCGAAAATCATATTTCACCATATGCATTGTGATAATATTTGTAATACATACGCTCGTATCTATAAACTAGAAAAACAGCAACTCCACAAGAACAAAAAATGTTTTTCAAATCACTCATCATTTTGAAAAATAAAAATAAGCAGGTAGTAGTAGTGGTGTCTATTTTTGGCAAAATCTTCACTATCAACAATTACATTTTTATGGTGGTCATTTTGAATTGAGCAGCCATATTGAAAATTCCCTTTTGAGCAGAGGTCTTAAAGAATTTAAACCAAATCTGTCAACTGGTTTTTGAGTTATCACCTGGACAGATGAATGGAAAGACAGGCCAATGGCTTTTCTATATCCCTACTGACCTCTGCTCCATGGGATGATGAAAAATTGTGATAAGATACGAGTCATATTTATTATTGTTTCTTGGTATTTTCGTCATCTATCAAGAGATGGCCCGGAGCAATGAAACATCTAATTTTCTACCTTGTTTTCAGAAATGAAAATCACATTTCAACTTAAAGTACATTTCTCAAATCAAAATGTCCTTGGTTCAAACAGTGCTTTTAATAACAACATTTACATTTGTATGATTATTAGGTATTATTTGGCATGTTAAATATGATTTCTGAAATATGACAATTCAGAGAAACAGTTTCGTAATTTTTCAGCTCTGCTTTTTAATCTGCAAGAAGCCCGAAGAGAAAATGCTGATTAGTAATTGTGTTGTATTCTCACCTGAGGCAGATACAAGATGAGCTAGTTTCTACTTGGTGAGGGATATATATGAGTGATTAAGACTATTGTTTGAGGCAAACAGTCCTATATTATATTTATACACCATGTTTCTATAAAACATGCTGATTTCGCTGACTTCGTCAATTCACAGATTTTCCTAATCGTGAGTTCTAAATGTCACAAATTCATAACATTGCCTTTGAAATCAATGATCCTGAAAAAGTTTTGTTACCATTAAGCAAGAATACTTCAAAATTCTGAATTAGTAAAATATACGTAATATATTCCAAGATTTAAAACATGTTTTCCAGTATTTATATGATTGATCTTTTGTCAAAGATAGAAAGTAATGTCATTTATCAACGATTAGAAACTCATTCATTACACAGCGGCTGTATCATATCCTTTTAATCTGATATCATGGTACAAAAATGAATAATTGTTTCATTTGTAATTGTAACCTCAATCTAATAAACATGGCTCCATTTTATGTATTAGAAAAAAGGAATAACCCGACCGCTAGCAATTATCGTTGTTTTTAGCATGTTTCGCTTCATTTTGACAATAAAACTGTTGCTTTCACAATTTTTAAAGTTAATGGAAAAGCACAAAGGGCAATATCATATGCAGATACTTAACATCATATATACAATGAATGATAGGGTATCAACAAAAAATAAATCTAGATAGGATCTAAGTCACCAAAATTATTGGATCGATGAGAAGGTCTCGTCTAATGGATTCTGTGTAATCAGTTGTACAGAACAGAGGATTAACACCATATACCCCCTCACAAAATATAACAACATTTAATTTTAATCTAAACTAAGAAGACAAATCACTTAACACATAAAAAAGAGAGGGATGTGAATAACAGAGAGACATTTGTTTTTAACATCAATTTTTATAAACATACGATGTAATCATTCATTTTATTGATATTTATACAGATTATGATAAATTCAACACAGACATGAAATTTGTTGGTTAGGAACCTAACAGCCAAACAGTCATAGATTGATGCCCTCATCATAAATTATACCTAATACACAGAAAAACATCAACTTTATTAGCCTACTAAGTAGCAACATGTATTTCTTTATTAGACAGGTAGAGTCGAATCGTGCATCACATGGTAATTTTCCTGATTTTAACATAATGATGTTCTTAGATTATTAAGCATGAGGTAATTACGAGATTTCTTCAATTTTTTTCTGTGTCTATTGCACAAAAGAAAAAGAAAAGAAGATTCCACACAAATGTTACATGAAACATTGTCCTTTCACTCAAACAGTAACTAAAGCTATAAGAAAATACCTCATTTAGTATTGTATGGAGTCTATCAAATACAACTTAGAATATGTGGTACTCTATTTTTACAGACACCTCGGGCACTTTAGATTATTAAGTATATATAGAGTGCCCCTTACACAAAAATATATGAGAATATTTCTATTTCATTCTATATGGAATTCTACATATACTAGAAGAAAATATAATATTAAATTCTAGACAAAAATAGAAAATGGCAGTTTCTGTGAAGAACCAAAACAACCAAGTAATAGACCATTGTAAAAATTTGCAATAAATTGATTGCAATTGTAATCCAGAAAACTTTGAGCCTGAGGAATTCTGTACCACATCTTTCTGAAACCATCTTAAAGGCAAAATATTTTCTAGATTTTATGAGAATTCAATGATGTTTTAGATGACAGTGTCTGATCCGGTGTCATCAGAGTGTTATACTTTTTTATCACATAGCGTGAAAATATTTTTTACAATCACATGGGCCAATCAGAATGCTTAATTTCACCATCATTGAATAAATTAAAATATCTGTTGATTGTACCTGAAGCATGCAGAGGTCTAAGGCAGCAATATGGTTGAGCATCTTGATACCAGAAATTGTGACATTCAGGGTGGGGGTGGGCAGTTCTGGGGGTGTATTGTCACCCCTGGCTGGGGCTCCACTGTGCAGTAACATGCCATACATCAGAGACACAATCCCCACGAGTTCAGTGACACGGAGAGTTGAGATGAGTTGTGATGTATCCTCAATACGGCTTTTCTCAAATATATTGTTACGCCTATAAAATGATATGAACACCATTTGTAAAGAGACCAAAGCTATTTTACAAAGATCATAGCAATAAATGATGAACAAAAATTACATTTCATTCAAGATAGGATTTTGAAATATAATTTCTAGATAAATAACTATTTCCAAGAGATAAGTCACATTCATAGAATAAATTTTTTATATGATGATGGGAAACGGGGAACCTAATGGAAAACATTTTGTCATTGATTTTGTCAATCCCATGTAAGTTCACCATTATCTCCTACATCGAACACTCTATCTTTTTATGAAAATTCATGAAGATCCCATGATAATTGAGAAAGTTATTTCAAAAGGAAGATTGCATCTTTGTGTAACCATGTATCAATAACACACTACATGTATATACCTGACTGCAGAGACTCTAGTGATGGCAGTAAGTAGATTGAGACTATGCAGAAGGAAGTTCGCCCCCTGGACATCACCATCCACTGGACCACGGACATTACTGAAGTACTGGGTCAACTTATCCACAATACCATTGCTGATGATGTAGCTGAAATAGAACACAATTGCTGATAATGTAGCTGAAATAGAACGCAATAGCTGATGATGTAGCTGAAATAGAACGCAATTGCTGATAATGTAGCAGAAATAGAACGCAATTGCTGATAATGTAGCTGAAATAGAACGCAATAGCTGATGATGTAGCTGAAATAGAATGTGATTGCTGATAATGTAGCTGAAATAGAACGCAATTGCTGATAATGTAGCTGAAATAGAACGCAATTGCTGATAATGTAGCTGAAATAGAATGCAATTCCTGATAATGTAGCTGAAATAGAACGCAATTGCTGATAATGTAGCTGAAATACAACGCAATTGCTGATAATGTAGCTGAAATAGAACGCAATTGCTGATAACGTAGCTGAAATAGAACACAATTGCTGATAATGTAGCTAAAATAGAACACAAATCAATAATATTCACAGTGCTTTCTTCTGTCAATTGAACCAAATTGGTTTTGGATATTTTCAGAAAACCATATTCATTGATTCAACATATATGGTAAACCATGGATACCCTGTACTGCTAAAAACAGTGACCATATTATATAGCCAGTTCACCACACAGCCTCAAGAAAACATGTGTAAAAGAATGAAAGAGTTACTTCAAGTAGAGACATTTATTGGGACTTTGCATTATAGTGCGCCTAAATTTACCCTCATAAAAATTAAACCATCTTATTTCTTGAAATAAGTATATTCTTTTTTATGGAGCATGCCCCAAAACATTACCTATCACCACAAAGTCCTTTCTTTAGAGCATGCCCCCAAAACATTACTATCACCACAAAGTCCTTTCTTTAGAGCATGCCCCCAAAACATTACCTATCACCACAAAGTCCTTTCTTTAGAGCATGCCCCCAAAACATTACTATCACCACAAAGTCCTTTCTTTAGAGCATGCCCCCAAAACATTACCTATCACCACAAAGTCCTTTCTTTAGAGCATGCCCCCAAAACATTACTATCACCACAAAGTCCTTTCTTTAGAGCATGCCCCCAAAACATTACCTATCACCACAAAGTCCTTTCTTTAGAGCATGCCCCCAAAACATTACTATCACCACAAAGTCCTTTCTTTAGAGCATGCCCCCAAAACATTACCTATCACCACAAAGTCCTTTCTTTAGAGCATGCCCCCAAAACATTACTATCACCACAAAGTCCTTTCTTTAGAGCATGCCCCCAAAACATTACCTATCACCACAAAGTCCTTTCTTTAGAGCATGCCCCCAAAACATTACTATCACCACAAAGTCCTTTCTTTAGAGCATGCCCCCAAAACATTACCTATCACCACAAAGTCCCTTCTTTAGAGCATGCCCCCAAAACATAACCCATCTCCATACCACTCACCTGATTATGTCTGTAGAACGTGATATAAATGCATCACCAGATGCACCAACATCTGCAGCATGACCGCTAGAGCTGATGATATGTTTTGATGCCCCAACCTCAGTAGCATGACCACCACTGATGTGTTTTGAGAGGCAGAGTAGGACTGTAGCTAGGAGATTGAGGAGGGAGGTAGCTAGGGGATTAGAGGGGAGCCGCTGTATGTCTCCACCTCCACTACTATTCCCACTGTTACCCAGCAGATCTGAACTGAAACTCTCTGGTATTAGAATCTGAAAGTAAAGCCATAATTCAGAATTACTAAATGAATAAGACAAGACATGATTTTGTTTAGGGGGCAATATGAGTTGCATGACTTGTTGAGTTGTGTTTCAATGAACCATGAAAGGTGGCTTCACAATCCAATATGTAGTTAAAAATATATAATATGTAAATAAGAATGGTTTTATATGTTTACAGTATTCATATTCTAATTCATTATGGCTATTGGCTCCAGAAAAAGCTTATATATACTAAAAAGGGAATAACAGTAGAAAACACCTCAATGTCTAAGAGCTTTGAGGAATAGGGGGAGCTATCTCATCCTTCGTTAAATCCATTTCACAAAAATGCACTGAGAGTTGACCCGTTCAATAATAAAGACAGCAATCACTACAGGACTTGCATTGAGTTATAATGCTAAGCAATAACATTTGCTATTATATTAATGTATGCTAGAGTGATTGTGAATAAGCCCCATGGGAGACGCTTTTACCTGGAGGGTACTGATGGATAACCATAGCAACTGTCTCCAGGGAGCTGTCATGGCAACAACCCTTTCAGAAAATATCAAAGATTAAATGCTCTTTTTGATGAAAACTTTAAAAATGTGAATATCTGTGTTGAAAAATTCATAAAATGTAATTTAAATAGACTCTAAATTCACATAACACCAAGAACACCGGACATCATTCTGATATGTGATGATTAAAAATATGAAAAGTATCAAGAAAATGTGTATATTTGAGAAGGGGTAGTACATCTGTGTATGCCATTAGCCTCCACTTAGCCCATCACATCCAATCTATCAGAGATTACTCTTCATTCCTCCTTGAAGAGAGAGTGGCTGAAAAACCTACATTGTTATAGCCCTTCAGTTTTATAGGAACCAACAATAGGTCTTGGAGGGTACAGGGATATTGCTTTAACATATGGACATGCATAATTCACCTGTCACATATAATTGAAAATATGAAGATTGAAATCGGTTTCCATGACAGAACCATAAGGCCTTATTTCTGTTCATTGTATTTAATATATACATTTTATTCGATATTAAGATATATATTATTCCATCATTGATAGATACAGCATTGAAAAATGATACAATTAACACATAAAAAAGTAAGCTTATAATTCTACTTTGTATTTTTTTATAATTTTATATAACCATGAAAAAAGTATAAGTGAATATATTTGTAAGATATATATTTAATTTATTAAAAACATGTGATATGAAATAATTGCAACTGCGAGAATGAGGTAGAAAGTTAACTTTTCCAAAATATTTCAAAAAGATCCTTTCTTAAGATTTATTAGATACAGAAAAGTGACATTTTCAAAAATATTGCTTTCTGATAAATAAATAGATAAATTGAGAAAAACTTATTACACTGTATACAGTATTTAAATCATTATTTTTACTTGAGTAACTCAAATAAATGCTTAATAATAATTCATACAATGGCACCCCCCCCCACCAAGTGTGCACAATGTACATGGTACATGAGATTTCAATCTTGGTCAAAAATATACTAAAATTACAGACATTACCACAATAAACATATTGCACCCACCAAAGTTTACATCAAACATATGCCACTAATATACAATTATAATGTCTCATCTCAACTACGCAGAACTTGATATATGCACATAAAATATAAGGAAACTTTGTGGTCAAAAATAACCATTGTAACCACCTTATTAAAATTATACAATACCCTTTTTACATCAAGCTTATCAAATTTCATATATTTCTCAAATTTTAGCAAATTTGTCTTTTTCATAAAATCTGCTTATTATTACAATTGTGGTTGATTTCATTTAATGTTTCATGCTCCATTTAGATTTATTAATCATTATTGATAATGTGGTCAAATCAGTTAAATAACATATTCAAAATTATTTCATATTGCTTTTGAAAAATCTGTAGAAACAAAGTGTTTATTAAATCTAAAAGTATATATACATGTACAGTAAAACCTGTATATAGTGAACACCTATGGAACCACAAAAAGTGTTCACTATAGGCAGGTGTTCACTACAGAGGGGAACTTTTATACAGGACTCAATGTAAAATGTGTCTTGAAGTGGTGTTCCCTAAATACAGGTGTTCACTAGAGAGAGGTGTTCACTGAGACAGGTTTGAGGTTCTACTGTATACTCCTTTGAGTTTTCTGTGGACATACATCAGCAAATATTATGAAAGGCAATTGTTCAGTCAGAAGCACTGTTATCTAAAATTGATAAAAATGTAGCTGTGTGGACCAAGACAATTTTTCTGTGCTTTACAGAAATAGAAAATCAAGAGAAGTGTAGAGGCATGTATAATTTACATGATTTGTAAATTAAAGTCAAATTCCAAATTGGTAAAGTTACATTTATCTCAAGGAAGGCATGGCATATTAGGCAATATGTGCTCACATACTAATAGCATAATCTAACAGGTTAAAAGTTCTTCTACTCTATCTACCTTAACTTTAGCGCAGATGCAATTACAAAAGTGTAACAATTTGTCACAGACACCAATGCCAATCACAGATGACAAATGCAACACAGATGACAAATGAAAAACAGTAACAATATGTCACAACTTCTTGGCGGTGATGATGACATATTAAAAAATCATGGGGAGTCAAAGAATTTTTTAATCATTTTTATTTACAGTTAATTTTATTCAAGAAATCAATATTAATACAATAGAATTTTGGCTTGACTCAAAGAGAAATATTATTATCCCACATTCACCTGGTTTTTAATCTATGAAAATCTGATCTATTCAATTGACAAGATTAGACAAATAGACAGTTTACAAGTCAATAAGGAACCTCTCTATTATTATTTAATAGTGTATGAAAGAAATATCAATAATCATCAAAAATTAATCAGTTAATCATCAAAATAAAATATTCAGTTGTCAAGTAGCTCTCATTCAAGGTATGGATCATTCTAAAATCAAATGGAAGAAATGAATGAATTGCCAAGAAATTAAACAATGAACAATTGGATAAAACTCTTTTTTTGAAAGTCATGTCAAGTGATTTTGAATGAAATCTTTCTTACCAATAGCTTTCAAAATATTAACTGGTGATATCAATAAAATTAATGCTTGGATCATGCTAATACTGGCATAATCATGGAATATTATGGTATAGAAATAATAAATGAAGTGTTATTTCAATCATATTTGAATCAAATGCAAGGACATTGGGAGTAGGGACAAGTAAGTAACAAGAACCAGTTTATTAAAAATATTGGATTAAAACTCGTTATTTGACCCGCAGGGGTACATTGAAATATTTATCGGATCTTTTTGTTATTAAAGCTCTCTAAGAAGAAGTGTTTGTAAGGTAGAACACCTCAAGCAAGTCCCAGGTTCTAAACAAACATTTCTCAATTTAGTTGACAAGGAACTCTTTAGTCTCAATTATAACTATGTATCAGCCTACGGTGTATCATTGAGTTTGTCTTTAAAAGTACACAACACATTTAATATAAAAAAAGCATTAAAAAAATAAACAACTTGGAGTTGATGTTGACTTTGGGGACTATTTATGAAAAATCTAGACCACCTAAAGATATGAGCAATATTGAATTTTTAAGCCACTTTTTTAAACAGGGAATCTGATATGATTCAAAAACTGATTCCACAATTTGCATAATTAAAGTCAAAAAGTAGAACACTCATTGGAAAAGGAACCTTTTTCTATACTTTGAATTAAGGCTAGGGCCCATGTACTATGATCAATGATATGGGTATATGATGTACAGTATACTGAATCTAAATGTCACAAACTTAAGGGAGGGGCAAGTGGAGTTTTGCATTGAAAATGTTGATATTCTGAATATTAGAGAGTACAGTCCTTTCATTAAGTAATGCACTGTCAAGATGCTAGGCATCTCCCTGTTAGCAGGTTGATGGTAGTGTTAAACTACATTCCTTACTTTGATATCATTATATTGGTCAATGCTGTCCTGTCAACAGTTCTAAAATCCCTTAGTTCTTAGATGGGATATGGAGTAGAGATCACACATATCTCCGTTTAATAGAACCAATTTGTCATTCTTATTTTAGTATCAAAGGCTGTTCTGTTTTCAGTAGAACTCAATAATTCAGTGTTGTTTTATCTCAAATGTTATTGGCATTACAAGGGATAGTGTAAAATAATCAAAATTGAATGAACATATGTTATGCCTCGGTCACATTTGCTCCGATCCATTGGCCGGCTGATTGAGTGTTTTGTTCAATATTGTATTCAATTTTGAACAAAATACTCAATCAGCCGGGCGCCGTAGTGAAAATGGGAGCAAATGTGACCAATGCATTACTGTACATGTGTTTGCCTGATTATTTTTGATTTTTGAGGCAACCCAAGGGATAGTGCTAACTGGGAAGCCAATGATGTGATCTAAATTACAGAAGCAAAATTGAAAATAAAACTGCAACAATAACCAGACTAGTATCAGGGTAAAAGACACGTACTAGTCCTTATATACATGAACAAATATATTAATTTCTTAAGAAAAATATCACTTAGAACCGGAATCATTTTCAGTGAGTTGTGTTTTTACAAGACGATGCCTCCTAGCCGTATACTCAGTGGATAGTTTACACAGGAGTTACTTTCAGTGAGCAAAACTTTTACCCCTGAAGCGCCATGCTGTTAAACAAATATTTATTCTTCTGCAACCGAGCCCCACACTTACAAAGCAAGATTTACTGATAACTTCAAAGTTTTTACTTTTCTCTGGCATGTTAAGAGTTTTGTCTCATTTTCTACTCCCCTGATTTGAAAATTGTTAGATATTTTTGAATTAATACCTTTTCAATTTTTATTTTTTTATTTTTCCAAAGTGAGGATGATATCAAGAAACAAGTAACTTTTGCAATTTCCCAAAAGTTCAAGCTTATCATGCAAAAATTATAAATGTCCCATACCATTAAATTTCTTTGAATTGTTTAACCTGTGTTTGGTGCTCCTGGGTATGACAGCTCTCCCTCCCCAATATATTACTATATTAATCTAAATGTAAATTCAATTATTTTGCAAAAAATGTTTTAATATATTGTCTAAAGATACTTACATTTAATTGACTGACTAAAATGTCTATGACTGTCGCCAGCTTGTTGCTAAACAACATATAATGACAGTTGTCATAGCAACTGGCACATACATGTCTCATGACATCACTGGTGTTGACTAGAGATCTGGAAATATAAAAAAATAAAATAAAGAATTCTGATCGATGAGATGCCAAATATGGTAAGAGTCACCAGTAAGACGGGGTTAAGTTGTACACAAAAAGACATGGAGAGCAAATTTTGATATCAAGCTGTTTTGTGGGGTTTCAATTATAGTTAGAAAAGGATTTATACTAAACTATTTATGATAATTGATGTAATATGCCGACTGAATAGACAAAACAAATAAAGATCCGTGATACAATGGCTCAAAGAGAAACATATTTTAAACCTATATTAATACAAATACTATATGAAAAACAAACTGGAGCATATCTTGTAGAAAATTTCATTTGAAAGATAACCCCTTTGAAAATGAATCCCTATTCAAATTGTTAAAAAATTGTTCTTATCCAAAAAGCAATTTTCATCTTGAAAATTAAGAAAAAATTCTGAGGAAAATCAGCGAATGAGATGGATCCACTATTTCTCGATAACCAATACATTATTTTGTTGATATCGATGCGGGAATATTTTGTATGGACTTGATCCTGCCAGGGACTATTATTGGAGCCAGAGGGCGGAAGCAGGATTAACCATAGAGACAGAGGGCTACTTGAAAATGTCTAAACATCGTATTGTTTTCACTTGTACAAGGCTCGTGTAACCAAAGTGTGCAGTTACACATGGTGAGATCTAATACCAGTGTTTATATTTATACTTCCAGTAGACTTCTTGCTGTCCATCAACAATTTCATATTTTATTCATTATCTGGAGAAACAATGGATAATTTGACGTTTTATTTTCGTCATGTAACTTTTTAGGGCAGGGGATGGGAGGGGGGGGGGGGGTTGCCTTAGTAATCATGTACTGTCCCTGTGTTATATCATTATGAGAGAAAACAATGTGATGTTATACTGTTTTGGTGTCCCTTATCTTGACATTTGTAAATCTGTCAGAGATTAAGGTTTATCAGAGACCCTAATCCATGTTTATAAATACAGGATTCATGTTTAATGTATTCTCACATATTTAAATTTACCTCACAATTGTTTTCTAGATTTCTAATGATAAGTCCAACCTGTTAGAAAATTGCATTTATAAATTACCTGCTTCTAATTATTGTTTTTATGAGAGGCAAAGAAGCAATTGTAAATTTAATGTTATTGTACAGCAATTGTAAATTGTATGTTATTGTACAGCAATTGTAAATTGTATGTTATTGTACAGCAATTTTAAATTGTATGTTATTGTATAAACATGTTATTGTAAGTTGTGCATTACAACAAGTGATTGTTGACTTTTTAATAAATAAATTATAATTGAAATATAAGATTTGCTACTTAATCCCTATAGACCTGATTAGTTAAGCCCTTGCAAAAACAAGCCTATAAATCTGGAGGGGGGGGTAAACACAGGGAATGATCATGTTTTTTACACACAGGAAGCAGAACACAGGATGCAGTACAGGACAAAGATCCTCAGAATCTTTGGTGGAAATACAAAAGACATAACAATAACAATTAACATATGCATGACAGCATTCATCTTCCTTTTGGGGTCAAGATTAACAAGGTTTCAAAGTGCTGAACCAGGTATTATGTTTTTGTTTTATCTTAACCCATCTGGGCTTCAGATAATGTTATTGAGTTGAAATTGATCAGTGAGATAGAATTTCATGTAAGTTTTTGTTAAACAATAATATTTCTATCCATTCCAGTTTAAATGATTGTAGATTGTATATTGTCAATCAATACCCAGAAAGAGTTTAAATTCCCTATCAATTTCTAAAGCAAACTATGCGGGAGCACTAACTGATAAATAGTGAATAGTTCACCTAAAAATCAAAAATGACCACTTTTTACCGAAATATCTCTAAAAACTTCAAATCAAATTGGTGAAGTATTTTTGTCACGAAATCTGCAGACAAGAAAACAAATACTGCGTTACCTATTTGGGCTCTTATTATATTGTCAATTTTGATTCATAAAAAGCCAATTTTAACCAATAAGATGTAAATTCTCCAACAACAATCCACAGCCCCCCTCCTCTACATACATGCATATTCTAAACAGAACATACAAGAACACTCATACTTAATATGCGATTCTCTTCTCTTCATTAATATTTCATAAGTAAATTACTACAATCAGAGTTTACAATGAAAAGTTTCTCTCGATCAATTATCGAAGGAGAATGATTTTTTAATTAATTTGTCACACTCCGACTACCTCGCAAACCAATATTCTTCGGTGAAATACCATCAACAAATGGCAATCACAAATTAATACCTATTTCATTAAAATATTTTATTTTATCAATATACTTTATTGTTTTCCCAAATAAACTGCTCAATGAGAATGGTTCTCGTAATAATACGAGAGCATTGTAAAAATTTTGTAATTTATCTCACAAAGAAGTCAATTGAATTGCATTTCACCCTTAACAATCAATTACTGATCAGTTAATATATAGAGTATCCGTCCAGAGTGTGACACAAGTGCCAACTCAGAACTCCTGAACTTGTTTTCTAGGCCAATTGATTAATAAAGGAAATTATTACCTACTCTTTATGTATTCTGAATGCTCATTGGCTCATTAATGGTCACATGGTATTAAATATATGAACCCAGAAAGATTCTATTAATCCCTACTAAAGGGGAAGATGAAAAGTACAAATAACCATTATGTCATGTGTTCCTTCTAGCACAGACAATAGGGGTTAAAAGACTAAAGTCTACAAGAAAAAACTTCTTGCATACAATATTCTTAAAACAATACATATCGGGTTCTACATTTTGGGGAAATAGTGCAAAAATTCCCCTTTAGAATATTCTGTCCGCTGCCATGCACTCTCAGCATGCAACTTCTGGAACGTGTCTATGGCCAAGATACTCCCTCGGGATTGAAATTATTTTCATTAATTCCCTCAATGGCAGCCACTGTATGAATGACAACATGGGAGATCATAATAATATTCTGAACAGTAAATCTGGAATATATGGCACACCCTGGGAGTATCTTATGTCTATTATTTCATTTAGCCTCTAAAAATGTTACTTACTTTGTGGGAATAACGGCTGGACTAGCGGGTGAGGTAGTCATCGATAACATGAGTATTCTTGTAAGTGTAGTGAGACCTCCAGCTATTTTTACAGCTATCTGATCGCCGGGAACCTAAGACAGGTACAAGTAAAGATATTACATGGGCAAGTATTATTGACATGCAAAATGTCACTACATGCCATTTTTAACAGACAGTGAACACCGAACACCAACTGCAACAATCAATATCAATTGAAAAAACTAACTACATAAAAAATTAATCAAAAAAGGGGATTTTTCAAAATTTTTATTACTAAGAATAAGAATAGAACTTGACTTTACTACTTAGGTTTTTTGCCTTAACAATTGATCAAAACCAACCCACCTTTTTCTCCATAACACGTTTGATTTCACCCAGGGCTCTATCGAGGGCAGAGACTCTATTCTGGGGCCATGGGCCGGTGCCTTGACTACTTAGGTGCCTGGTCAACTCCTTGACTAACTTGCCAATCCTAAAACAAACATAATCAATAATTATAGAATTATTTACAATTATAAATTTCAATAATAATCATGGAAACTGAAAGATACAAGTTTGCGACAAGAATCTGCAGATATTTCACTTGATTTTCAATTTATCTGTAACTAATTTCATACCTTAAAAAATAAATAATACGTTCAAATGTTCTTCTGAACATGGGTTTCTGACCCAGGCAATTGGTTCACTAAAGCAAGGAAACTGAAACCTACAAGTGCCCTATTGGCAAGATTTGGCAAATAATTCACTTGACTTTCCAGTTAGACTTAGAACACTAACCAAATGAAAGGGAATTACCGATATAATATCGCCAGTATTTGATCGGAATTAAATTAGACACTCGACTGAATTAGGTTATCCAGATTCACTTCACCCACTGAACAAAAAGAAAGCCGGCTTTGATATAATAATGCTAGATTTTCTTTACTAAATTAAATCTAGGCTATAAGCATAGCGTTCCAATTATTGATATGATGATTTTGGAGCAAGCTAATTGAGTTAGGGGCTATAGAGTGATGATTTCAATGAAATCAAGCAGAATTGGTGGCAGCGGTTGGTTTGGATTGACAAGAGAAGATTGCAATATTCACATGGATACACATCTAATCTCAAACACTTGTCATCATATCTGCTGTGCCAAATTGGAATATATATCGTATGGTGTTTAAATTGTCAAAACACATGCTAGGCAATCTTATCAATTTATAATGGCAATCATTTGAATATTTATTAATCCACATTAGAATAGCTCATTGTTAACTATAAGAAATGTCTCTATTATTTTACGAATTGAGCCTCAAAATGAAATAACTGAATATTTATTATATCATAATACAAGCATAAAACTATGAGTCATGTGCCTAATACATTTACCTCCCAAGTATTTCAATCTTTGAAGTTCAAAAATGTCCCGGGGCAGTCGGTATATTATCTAACCCTGGGGCCTGATCAATGGGCTGTATTTCCTTACTCTTGACTTTATATATACATACAAAACTGATAAGAAGTTTAATGTTGATATGTTATGTCATTTGTATTATTGAATGAAAATGATATGCAGTGTCCTGACAGTGCACATTTTATACAACCAACCATCTGGCTAAAAGAAACTTTTCCTTTAATTTAAAAACCTCGAAAAATTTAATTTTGAAATGAAATACTCTGTGTCTTTCCTGGAGTAATGAAAAATAAATAAAAAAACAAAGATGCTGATAATGAGGCTATTTAAATTTTCCGTCCTTTAAAAATAATTTTATTTCTTGTATCATGTGTCTTTTTATGGTTTTGAGACATCACATGGCCATAGAATAAACAAACAAACAAACAAACAAACAAGCAAACATACAAACAAAACAAATGACAACCATTTTGACCAAATATTTAATTGACTTGAGGAATAAGCCAACATGGCTTTCACTAAATTGACCACCATGTCTGTGTATGGGTCAAATCAATTAACCACCCCCACTGAACACCTAAGGCGCTTATATACTCCCAGAGTCAACCAGCCATCACTCCATTAATTCTATTAAAACCTATACACAAATAATTAATTCCATTGTCATCACAGGTTTTATAATGCATTTCTACCATTATGTACTAGGGAGGTCGATCAGATATCTGGAATTTGAAATATCAAAATGTGCCCCGAACCTGGCAAATCATAAGGTTCGATTAGCAATCATGTAATCAACATTGGGCCTTGGGTTTGCAACATTTTAGATTTCCATACTTTTCCATGTTGTTGAACTGACAGACATGGAAAAAGATGACCATGTTTTAATAATGAAAAAGATGCAATTTTGGTTAACCACAAAATATATAAAGCACCAGACTGACTGCAAGTAGGATTACGAAGAACATAACATTTTGTACTATGGTTTTAATTTAATTACAAATGCATTTAGTTGTTGCTACTAAACTGAGTTTAATACTGTGATTTTAAATCTTAGTTGATCTTTAAAGGAGTATCATCTTTTATTAGATTAAAATTCACATTTATTACTCACTAAAAATTCATAAAATGAAAAGTAGATGATCTTGAAGCTCGGGTTCAGGTTAAGGAAAAGACGCCAGCTCAAAGTTTTGACCATAAAGAATCGTGACCAAGTATAGTGCTCTCTCCAGCATTAAAGCATCTGGGTGTTGCATGCTGTTAAAAATCTAAAAATTGCATGCCATCCTGCAAAAATATCTGTTTGTACCTTTCCGAAATGCTAAAATATTGAGATATTTTGATAAAAATAGGTGAAATTAGGATTTAGTAACCTGTTAATAAAAAATATTGATTAAAAAATAAAGACCAAATATATCAACTGTCCTATATATCTATTTAATTGTGTTATATTAATTGTACATATTTTTAATAATTGTACTGGGCCTCTAGGAAGACCAGCTTTTGTACTGAGGAGTTAAAATTATTCCAGGTTTTATAGCATGCCATGCCAACAAAAGCTATTTTCAGGTAGATATATTCTTTGATGTTCTTTGAAGATATTCAAACAAATAGAATAGGTCACACTTGTATTTAATGAAAAGAGATATCATTTGTTACTTGTATATGTGGGAATTCATTTAACAGGGTGGTACCCAAACCACCCAGAATTGTCTAATCTTACACGAAATTAAAATTATTTCAGTTTATTGTAGTTTCTTTGAAACTTTTTGATTAAAATCAATCAATCAATGAAATAAGAGAGACGGATTAAACCTTTATGTAAAAAATATTATTAACAAAATAAAACCACAATACAATTGAATGGAATTATGCGATCACTATCCCACAGGCTTTTAAGATGGATGGCTATGAGCAAACTGATATTAAGAGACATATTTTCTCTTGAAGCATTCTTACCCGACCTCCACCCCTGGTAAACCACACCTCAACACATTTAATTGCAAACGGCTTTCCTATACACGGTTTAATTATAAGCAACTTTCAACAATCAATTTTACGACACATCGGAATGAATCAAACCATATATGGGCTTTCAAGACGAGCGGTGACAACAAGGAAGGAAACAGTGGGAGAAATGCATGGGATTATATCTTTTAATGCCACATAGTGGACCATATTTGATTATGTACACTAAAATATATTTTAATATACGACAGGATATCTAGGTGTTAAAGGCCAAGTGAAAGAGCTTTGGAAATAGAAAAATAGATGGCTCTTTACTTCAGAGTTTTACATTTTGTTGTGTAAAATAAGTGCAATCGTTTTGTTGCAATAGTTTTGTTGCAATAGTTATGTAGCAACTGTTTAATTGCTCAAAGTTACCTATGTGGAATTTTAAAAGGACAAAGACAGTATGTTTAGCTGGAAATATGGCCCAAATCCAGGTAGCCTACCATCATCATGATGCTTTCATATACAGGAGTTTCCATGGTAATTGAATTGACACCAAACCTCTTGTTCCACCTGCCCATCCCTTGTTTAAATATACCTTGTGCTATAAAGGGAATGGGGGACACACTTGCTGTTGTAAGGTTGATTATTAGCAAACATGTACAAATAAAAGTACTACCCTTTTATTTGTTTGTATTGATGTTAAGTTAACAGGCTAGAACGATCATAAATATAGATGAAAAAATCATATCTTGTTGCTTTTTGAGTTTTTGAAATTAGTTTGACATCGATTCCGGCTCATAAATTAACTATAATCCAAATCAAAAGCACAAATAACCGTAGCAACACTAATAAAACATATCAAGTGTATTTCCTCATCAAGCGCTGTTTCCAAATTACAATCCTGCATGACACAATTATTGCCATTTTATATATATTGGGATTCTTTTATGACAATTATTTGACTGTTTCTGATGAACTATTGATCCTTTCTTCATGTCCGTGTCACATAAATCACATTTTAATCACCTGGTGATTAAGGAAGCTAAACAATAGCATATATTTCAATAGACCCCTGACCACAGCCATTAAGCTACCAAAGTTCTATCAAACCCTCACAAAAATACAGTGGCAGTCATGGGTTCAATGATTAACAACATGTATCAATTGTATGCATGAAGGCCAAATTATCGTAAAATATGTACAAATCTGTGAATTTAGAGAGAGCTATGTTTAGAGAATTTATTAAAATTGGTATTGGGAGCCCTGAATTTTGTGACTGTTGCAGCTCCATCTACAGTAATAAAGTTTAAACATATTGACATGTCAATGGTGTTACCATGACTACAGTCTTACATGTATACATTTTGTCACACTTGTTTCATCTCAGGGTATTTATCTAAAAAGTCAATTCAAAATCAAATCAATTAAAGAATCCTCCAAATCTGATATTACAAAAATGATTTTTTGCTTGGCTGGTTTAAATATCCCCTACAAGGGCAGCCTCTAAATAAATCGACCACTAAATTCAGAAGTGTGTTGGGGGTCAGGGGGGCGTAATGAACAAGACAGATATATTTCTCTAAACGATTTGGTGGCACGCCAGCAATTAATTCATCTGATAAACTCGCAGTATAAGTTCATTTTGATTTGACTATATATCATGCTCATAATTATAAATTTCCCATTCACTGATTTGATGAAATGGATTTTTAAATGAGAGGGAAATTCATTGACCATGAGGGACTTCCGATAGAATTTGTAGAGACTGGACAAATATAAAATGGACACCTGTCTTTTAATGGAAGAAAAAAAGCCAAATACAAAAAATATCTGTCTCCTATAAAACTACTAATAAACAAATATAATGATTTCTTAGCTAAATGATTATATTTTAATTTTTTATTTATTTTAACTGACATTTTTTAAACTGAAAACTAAACTATATAGTCATTTAGTTCAATGTCATGCCAAGCTATAAAGTGACCAGATACTACATAGACTGATGAAAATCTTTGAATGAAAAGTAAAATTAGCTTGTATGCAGCCAAATCTACCAAACAGTATTTCTTCATGTTTTAACCTCTTCAATGCCAGGCTCTAAAAATCGGTTGAAACCAGAGAATTTTTCATTTTTGGCACCTTTTGACATTTTACTAAAAACCTATACAATGTGAGATGCTCAACTTAGTACAGACAGAGATCATTTCTACACATTTTAAAACAATTTTTGTGTAAATTGGATGAAAATTGTTCCAAAAAGAGCAATTTTAGTGAAAATTTTTGTGACGGATTTTCTCGTCACTCTGAGTTTCAAGGTCATTACTGAGGTGACAAGAAATCTCATCACTCCAGGTGGTCTAGAGGTTAAAGGATCAAAAATAAGGAAAATCAACTTTTCAAAGTTGGGAAATATCCATGGCAGCTCACAACAGTACTGTACCAGGAGTTTCGCTTGAATTTCTCACAACAGGCTAATTTAATAAATGAAAACAACAGGCAAAATTAATTGAAATCAAAAATTTAACATTGAAAAGTTGAAAAGTCACTCAAAACAAGAGGCAATTTTGTGAAAACAACCAGCGAAAATCGCCTGTTGCCTGCTGCTAATGAAACCCCTGTGTACTGAAGCCAATACTGTATTAGATGAGAGACAGGCAAAAAAGGTTATTGTACTTAATATCCGGGTATAGAATATCTGCATATATGATTATTAGCATTTTCTGGCATTCATTTGTCTCTCCATGTCACACCATTAGAACTGCACTTATTCATTTAGCATTAAGCGGCCACTAACACTATCTCCCTTAGAACATAAAAATATGTTATTCACAGTACCTCCCAACAATTACACTAGCGTTGGAACTTTTCGCATTACTTTACTCCCTAGCAGGGGTAGATTTTTAACAACTATTGAAACTTCCTCCTCCCAGAGTCTGAAACTCCGATTTAATTGGAAAAATTGAACAGAACGCAACTATAATGCATCTAGTTTATCTGCTGTTTTATAGTTGGGTGTCAGTAATTTGTCCTCTGTCAGATATCAGGATACCTGGGACATATATTAATGACATGCCAGGTTTATTATTTCATTAAGTAATAACACAGCATATGACTTATAGCTTTATAATGCATTTTCTCAGCACTTCCATTTTGGGGACAATATTTCCTTAATATGAGATGTATGGGAACTGATAGGGACCCGAGAGCTCCATTAATTAGAAAGATAAAAATGTGAATTATGGAATGATGTTTTGCAAGAAACAAACAACTTACTTTGCTTTGTTCTCCGTCTCCATTGTTTGTTTCTTTGCTTGAACAGAATTCTCAAACTCCTGCCCCCTAGAAAATAAAAATGTGACATCAAGTACTTGTATATCTAAATGTAAACATATATTACCATGGAGTTTTGCTAGAAACATTATGAATGAAAATATCACAATATGTAAACCTAAGGATACCACATGTAAAAGACATATCCTCACCCTTCAAGGTGCCACTATAATTCTTATTTATTGATTTATATCTAAATATTAAATAATATCTTTCAAATAAAAGGAGCATGGGAGTGAAAAATGGCTAGTCTGAAATATTTTAGAGGTTTGAAGACTGTGTTTTTTTGTACTTTATACAGGTATCTATTCCTGAAGATAACAATAATCATTGAATAAATGATATATCAGTTTAAAGCAACTTCATTTCCTCTTTTCAATAAAAGACCCTCTTCAAATATTCACACATAGAAAATTGTATCTTTTAAAAATGTCTATTATCTAAACAAAGACTAATAGGTGTACAATAGAAATGACACATGGAAGAATCGAGCACTCAACTAATTGTATGTCGGCTCAATATCTCAGGAATTAGCCCCTTGACGAATTTCCAATCCACATTTACATGGTTCTTATTGCATTAAAGCTTGTCGAACAAAAACATTAGTCAGTAATTATGCTCTAATAGCATCAACGAGCACAGTATACTGTTAATATCCACAAGATAATACAATTCTCCGCAATGCCTTGTCTCGCGCCGATGGCAAATTTGCTGTGATGGACCTTCCCGGTGGAGATGTCCACAGTAATTTTGAAAGCTCATGCTAACAAATTAAATTCTAGCGTAACACAGATTGAAATTGATAGGGAGGAAATGAGTGAGGGATCACATGTTTAATGTGATTAATTACGAGGCTTTGTCTTCTGCCTATATTAGCTACATTTACCTTCGTAATACACTATACCTAGGTGTGTGTGATCATACACTATAACTAGGTATCTGTGTGAGTGCTAATACGCTATAGTTAGGTACAATCTGTTTACAGAGTACACATTTGACGCAGTCCTGACAAGATGGGGCAAGATATATGTGGACAGTGATTTCTCAAAAACAAGCAAGGGGGCTGCTACGCCCACTTGAGATTTGTACCCACTTGAAAATTCATGTCACCACCAGGTTATTGCGAATAGCATGAACTTTCAAGAGAAAGCCCATGCATATAGTTATTGAAAATTGTTACAAAAGTGGAACAATCTGTTACATACACTGCACAGTTGACAAAACATTTTGCCTACATAACAATCTGTCATCACGTCTTCGTAGTAAAAATATGATATCTTGCTCTATTTTAGTTTGAACTAAGAACATCTTTGAGAAGAACAGTCTCTGGTACAAATTCTTGACAAGAATGAAGTATTTGTCATTATTCATGTCCAGATAATTGTCTCAAGTATTTCTCTTATTTACATACAGTGTACTTTATGATACTGCAAAATCATCTTGTATATAAATATGACACAGATGCATGTATTGAATTACATTTTATCAGTAAATTCGATACCTTAATGCAACATGAAGTACATAACTGTCGATAAGCGAAATAATTTTTTACAACAAAAGTGTGCAGTGGTATCGTGTTATAGTTGCAAAGGACATATTCCGCACATAAAACTGTCACCACGTCATACCTTAGCGTCATACGTTGCCGCAGTTTTTTACAGCGTTTTTTCAACGCTTTCTGTCTCTCTTTTTCCAGCACGACTTGTGGATCAGGTTTGTCCTGTGGAGCGTCTATTATGTTCTTCAAATTAAACCGTTCCTGCAACACAGACCATAAGCCAATTAATATCAAACTAAAAAATATATAATTGCTGTATAGATAAAAAATTATAAAAACTCTCCAATTAAAATACAGTATTTTTTCAATGTTATTTTAAACTGTTAGTTTGTTTTCATAGATTAGGAGGATTAAGATTCTCAAGTACAATGTGTTATTTGATATCTGCATATAATTGATATTGTAGACTATACTTTTTTCCTAACTTCTCGAATTGATTTTTTCCACACATAGTAGAATGAAATATAACCTATGCATAACCTAATAATGACTTTTTAACGAATAATTTCAAAATAATTTTGACATTTTGGTGTAATAGAATTTCAAAAGTATTAAAAAATTGTATTATTACTTTTACTTAATAATAATAAATATATAGAAGGTAAACTGACCTAAATTCTAATTTAAGTATGTGTAAATTTAAGACAACATGGACTCCTCTGATTCCAAAGACAAAACAAGGCATTAAAATGCAAAATGTCACCACCTGCCATTTGTTACAGACACTGACCACCAAGCAACAACTGCCATACTCTGAACATCAACCACTGCGCAAACTAGATATTTATTGGCTATGGGTAATTTGAATTATAACTTGAGCTCATTACGAGAAACATAAAATATCAATAAAATCGGAAATTAACCTCTGTTTTTATATCTGATGTTTATTAGTGAGCAGTATCTTCACCTGAATGTACATTAGTTTTGATACTCTCCCGGAGAAGCTTTTAAGAATAAATATGTATGATCCAGAGTCTGAGAGTGTTCTCATTATCATGCGTTTTAGTGCCTCATGTGAATCAGTTATTACCTCACTGGTTTAGATGGAAACATGGTAGAATCCATGGGAGGGGAAAAGGGAGGAATTGACTAACAAGCATGATTTATTTATAGTTGAAATGGTACAAAATTAATTCATGGATTTGTTTGCCTCAGGGAAAGCAGGAAAGTAATTCAAATGCATTAGCCATGATTTGCGTAATGATCAAACTCTGAATCAAACTTAACGCTGAATTTAAATATTCCAAAATTCTGTTCTTGTGTCACAGCAAAATTATCATGCTTGAAAACATGCGCTTTTTGTTTCTGTGATTTTCAAATTATGAGGCACACTGGAGCAATTTCCCTCAAAATCCCAACTTTCAGCTCTATTGATCAATTCATACATTTCTCAAAATATTTACAAAAATTTTTACAGATTAGGCCAATTTTCTAAAGTTAAAAAAGATTATGAACAATGCTTGCAGAATCAAATACAGAAATATAACATTCTCCCAGAGAAAAATGGTGCAAAATTTGGAAAACTGGAATATGTGACTGAATTTGATTAAAAAATGAAGTACATCAGACTGAAGTTCAAACCACTCTACTTGTACATAATACTGAGATAGAATATAAATCACATTAAATTATTTGATTTGTGTTCCAATGTTCAAACCCTGAACCCAACTAAAAAACTGAACGATTTTTTGCCTCTAATGCTTTAGTATGTTGTAAATCACTCTATGTAATTGATTTATAGAATCTAATGTCATCATGTACAGACAATGAATCAGGAATCTGACCTGGCTGCTATTGAATCCCAAAGGTGCATATAAAAGTTTTTTCCAAATTAAAATTCATATGTATCAGATAAAGAAAGCTTTTTGTAAACATCCATGTCAAATAACGCTTAATCGACAGGACATGTGTTCAATAAAAGTACTTTGATGTCCAACTAGCTGGATAAACTATTAGGATGCATTTTTTATAATGATAATGATCATCCATAGGTATATTAAAAGTATTTTTTGTAAAATATGGAAAAAAATTTATTATAGGGTTTTTATTGGCATGCTGGAAAATAATTTGTTTATCAGCTGTAAATGGTTCTATTGGGAAAACAACATTACAGTAATGGTGACTTTAAGGCCATTTTTTATACAGCACAACGATTTTCTGTATTTTATTTGAAATCATAGAGATAACATTTTAACGACAGCAATTAAACAACTCCCCCCCCTTTAATATGGCATGAAAATATATATAAAAGATCTGGATCATACAAGACTATCCTTCTTTACAGAATAATAGATATAGATTTTCATTCAATGACATTCATTTTCAGCAGAAAATGATGACTTGGATGCCAAGGTGTGGGGTATAGTGATGTCAGAGTACAACAAATATTCTGTATCCCAAAGTATGAAAATAAATACGGGATTTATTTATGTAATATGGGCCAATCAGATCAATAGAATTTGCACCATCATTGAATAAGTTTTATTATCTAATCCTAAGAGGATATACTCCTTTTTCTGTTTTCTATTTGTTCATTGATTTTCTAACATTTCTTGATATATGACACTTTTAATGTGTGTCACCAGGTTGGACACTTTATATGTGTGTCATTTGAATCCCTCTTATTCATCATTGCTAGTGTCAAGTTTCCTCACCTGTTTTTGATGAGCAATCATGTTTTCATATCATTCCAAGTTTCAAATCAGTCATTTAAAAAAGAGTGTAAAACATATATAGGCATACAAAACTGAATCTTACATCACAAGCCACAAAATTTTGTGACCAATTTGGTATTTGCATGGCTCATTGAGAATGGATAAAACAGTTCAACCTAACTCATACTGACAAACACTCGCTCGAGTAATACTCATCTGTAGCTGTATACTCATTTTAACACTCATGGTCGTATGTATTTAATTTAAGGAGATATATCAACTGAAGAACAACTTTGCACGTTCATTATTACATGATCATCTCTAATAAATCTGCCATGAAAATACATGGATATTTGCCTCAGTCCTTACTTTGACTAAATCAAGATATATTAATAAAACAGATTATCGTTAACTGACTATGTCATGATCATGAATTAATTTAGAAAATTGAAGGGAATTGAAAAAATCCACATCCACTTTGTATCTGATTGTGTTTTGAATGCAACAAAGGGATGAGGTGAACTGGTGGTTGAACCGGTCGCAACCACTAGTAAAATGTGGTTGAGTAATCTATCGCAGAGTCTATAGTCCTTATGACAGGCTAGGATCTTGCAGAAAATATGAAATTATCAAACACATTGAAATCAACCTAACGAGTCAGAATTTCAGAAGATATATAAGATTTTGAAATTCGTACAGCAAGGTATGAAAAGTTGAAAAGCATGATTCTTTTGATTATATGACAAAATCCCAGTCTGTATTAGAAAATATTATATCTTCACAAGAGACTAGGTAATCCCTCTCAGAGGAATACGATTTCTATGAAACAATAACAAAAATTTAATCTCCATGTCAACCTAAAGGATTCGATCATTGTAACTATAATTGAATAAAGATTAGCGGAACATTTTTCCAATTGTGGCTTGATTGATACTCGTCAAGTCGGGGAGTTCACTCGGTGAGATATTGTTTTTATTCATTGTGTATGTAGATCGCTTGCATTATGTTTATTAAACTATAGAAATGGGAATTAACTTTCCTTGTAAAAGACAAATTGCATCTGAATTCACTGTCATACACCATGAAGCTGCTTCTAACACCTAAAAAACAGGATATATTTGTCTACCTTTAAAACTTTTCCATGACTCACTGGAACTTACTGTCGAAGTGAAGGAAACAGTCTGAATTATATTCTGATCTGTGCTAACATAAAAATTCAAATATTTATAGAATATGAATAATAATAATAATAAAATAAAAAAGGAAAGTATCCCACTAAATAAGTATATTTCATGGAATTGTTTAACATGGACCCATTTAATCAAGAGGACAGAAGACATATCCTAGAATATAACAATAACTTTCAAGAAATTGAGGCATGGTGATTTTAATGAGAACTTATGTCTAGCAAGTTAAACAAAACAAAATAAAATTGTCAATGACAAATTAATTGTTGACAAATATGTGTGTTATACAATATGATCAATAAGTATCTGAAATGAGTATTCTTCAAAAAAGAATGCTAACGATCAATGTTTCTCAATAGCAATTAGATAATACTTTACAATTGTAGAAGTGTCAATTCAAACTCAACTATGGCACCAATTGATAATTACCACATCGCTATAGCATACAATCTTTTTGTTGTCCAAAACAATGTGTTAATGGTTTAAATGGTTGATGTGTCTATTATATGACTGGGGATGATTAATAAAGGGAAGGGCTACAACGGGAAGATAATCACCATTAACAATAAACTCCAGTCCCCGAGGGTCCACTTATGGGCATTCACCATACAGGTAGCGCAAGAATATAAATAAATTGCCATCAGATCAGGGGCACCAGATATAATGTACTTGTATTTTCAGAAATACTGTACTAAAATATGATATAATATTCTTTGTAAATAACTGAATAAGAAATAAATATTCATAGTTTTGTTGTGTTTGCTTTTGTTAGACGGGAATTCATTGATTAATTTCATTATAATGTTGACATATAATGAAGATATATAATTATTCAAATAATTGCACCTATAAATGTTAACTTTTCAAATGGTGCTTCATCAAAAGTTTATATCTCAACAAATCACAAGTTGAATAGAAGCACCATTAATGAGTATACTCTGATATATTCTTGGGGAATATAACCCCAGTGGGAGTATGCAAGAGTTCAAAACGTATTATTGTATACATGTACATTAAAGGTACATTAGGCTTCAGAGCCGATAAAATGGTTCAAAATGATGTTTTCTGGCTTTAGAGTCCATTTCATGGTTTAAAACCTTCTCCGATGATTCTTTTTTCGAATTATGCATGAAGGTCCATTCAAAGTCGATGTTTGAACCTTTAAATAACCATGTTTAGACTGAGGATTTTAAAAGTTCTATATAAATTTTATAATTAAGATTTTTTCAAGAGACTAGAAGTAGATTGATGAGTCGAGTAAATGGGGCCGGTGATAATGTTCCTTTTATGGAAACGTGGAAGTCAAAATATTATATAGAAATCATAGTAAGCATTTGAAGATCATTAAGAAGCATTTAAAATTGAATCCACGGCAAAATTCGAAATAATCAAAATATTTTCTGACAGACCTAAGAGAACACACTTCCAGTTTTATAATTGATGATTTTATCGATCAAAAAGATTTTTATGAATTTGTGCAATATCTGCTTAAATATGTATGTATACTTGTTTTGATTGTTAAATTGCAGGGTAAAGAATATGTCAAAGTTGTTTGATTTTCCCAGTAGAAATTTTTGGTCATTTCTGACACCCAGAAACGACACCTTTAAGTGGTGCAAGTCAGAGAAAACTGGAACGAACTGATTATGAAAAATTTAAGTAACATTTTAAAATTTAAGAATGAAAAGTGATTTGTTGCCATGTAAGATGTAGAACAATTATTGCTGAATTAAAATAGTTTCGTGCAATTACAACAAAAAACTTTCTCCAAATTAATCTAAAGATTCTAATAAGGAAAATTTGATTTCTACATTTATGTCTTTCAAAAAATAAATACAATCTGAGAATTATGAATCTCTGGTTTCTCTTTCTATAGTATTTCTCTATCTTTGTATACATTTGAGGAGGATGGGGGAGTTATTACAGGTGGATTAATCAAGACTATTTTAATGAGAGCATTAGTGTCATAAAATAAACTTTCAATGGGGTGTGTACATTACAAATTAATATTCTATAGGAACAAAGCTTCTTTCTTGGATTAAAGATACCAAATGAAATAATTATATCATAATCAAAAACCTTTCGGAAAATATGATATCCAAGACAGAATAAATAATAAAAATAAACACTATATCCAAATTATTAATTAAAACAACAAATAGTTGGTAATGTTTCAGTATTATAATTGATAGTCCAGAGACTAAGAAATCACCGTCTCTAAATCCATTTGTCCTGATTTAAGGTGCATGCTTCACCAATTAGTGGCGCAAATCTAAGAATTAAGTTCTAGATCTGATTCTTTCGCATTGCAATAATTCTAAATTAATAGAGTTCGTGTAAATCTTTATTGCTAGATTTCCTATTTGGGGCTTTATATTTGCATTGTGTGTGGATGTGTTATAGCATTAAAGTCCCATAAAGGAATCCCTTGCCTAATAAAGTGTACACGGTTGCAATTAATGCTCGCGTTATTATCCACATTATTCAGTGATACATCAGAGTATGGTGCTATTGAGCGGCAAACTTGTTTCCGAAATACGGTTGTTGCGCTATGTAGTAGATCTGAACAGTGACATGAACAGCTTCATGATGGATAACGAACAACTGAAAACAATTAACGGGACAATAGAACCAGTGATGCGTTACAGTAGTGATACACTAGCCTAGATGTACAATACGATCTCTCAGATATTATACATTCTAGCATCTTTAATTAAAAAATCTTGTAATTTTTCACTTTTTTCACTTTCAATATTTCATGATCATACTTTAGATAGCTTTTTTATTCTTTTGTTTGTGTCGATTTTTTATTAGGCTGGTGAATTTTTAAAATAAAATTCAAAAAAGAAAAATGGATTTATTATAATTAGTACTTAAGTAGCAGGTATTTTAATAATCAATTATGTACGGTTTCTTTTATATCAAAAAGTCAGGAACATGCTTTTGAATTCAACAAACATGCAAAATACCATCATATTTTAATTTGATTCAATAACATTGAACGATCTATATTTACACTGCCGATTTATAATGGAAATAAATGGTCACTTACAGACGTGTCTAGATTGGCCATTAATTAACTAGAAAGCTTACAAGATGTTAGAAATGTCAGCATCGTGCCTTCATTAAAATATATGAGGCATTTGCCCATTGAATACTGTAAAACATTCACTGCAGTTTTCTTTACATCATTAACAATGGTTTGTAGGTCTTTTGTACATGTACTTGATGTGCTTTTTCCTTGTTATGTTAATATGTTGATTCATGCGTTTAAAATGAATTTATTTGCAAACATTCCTTCTTTATATAATCTAAGATCTCAAAGTGAGCAGACAGCAAGGATCAAGTATTAATCATATTCATGACCCAGAAATGTTCAATCACTGGTACTCCTGCTTCAAAACTACAGACCCCCCCCCTCCCCTATCTAGTTCACCAACACAACATACTAACTTGTACCAAGACTAAGTTAATGGTTTTTAATCTGATCTACATTTTTGATTAATTACAACCATTAATTTCATTTTTAATATAAAATGAATTTTTCAATAAAAATAATAAAAATACATGAATCAAACCTTCCCAAGAAGTACCAAAAATGAAGATAAGATACAGTGCCTCTTTTTTGATCAGTATAAACTAAATTTTGTTTTGAATTCTGTTCTAACAATAATTTTGTCAATACTTATTTAATTAAGAAGGGCTCAGTCTCAGTGATTTCTTATTGCAAGGCCATTTTCTGCTTAACCCTATCATGACGATCATGCTCCACTTGGAACCCTAAAAGACAAACAAACAACAGAGACTATCAACTGCTATGACAGCAGCTGCCATCTATTTAACTTTATATTTATTTCTTGCTAATATTTTCAATCTCAATAGCCTTGATGAAAGTAGATATAATCTTGATTATGTCATTTAATATTCAAAATTAAGTGTGCATTCGTTATGTCCAAGCTGATGGTACCGTCAGCTGAAATAATGATTACCCAATGAGCATTTGAATAGATTTTATTGCCAAATGCTGAGAAGTCCGATAGCCACCATCAACCGAGTGAGGGTATACTTTTGACGCAACTATTGATCTTATCTGTTTACCAAATCTTTCAAATGAGGGTTATCATTCATAATATCAATAGGCTATCCTGGACCCTGTTGCTTTAATAGCGTTATTGCATGATAACTATCTCAAACTAACACCAAATGACAACATGTTCGCTAGAAACTTCATAAAACAATTGTTTATCAACCTTGAAAAAATTTTTTTTTTTGAAAATGTGGTGTGATTGGGAGATTCCCCATAGGCCCCATGTTATAAAATCACAAAAAGTTTAATATCTTTTCTTGTATTGGACAGATAACATTTTTACTGGCATAAGGGTGATGTGAAAGTTAAACCACTAAAACAGATGAATATCAAGTTAAAGGGAACTTTCTACTATACCCGCCAAGCTATCTGACCCAAACGAGCCATCTGGTGGTGAAACTGGTAACTACGTACTCGCATCTGAGTTATTGAAAGTTCTTTATTAGTATTTGTATGTTGAAGATTAACTTGGTTGTGGATTTCAATACGGAATCAAAAAAAGACCAAAGGGTTATGAGACCCAAAAGTATATTCACATCTAGTAATATAATAATAGCAGCAGGTTGATTTTTAGCTTTAACATGCTACTTTTGGAATATTAGAAATAAGATTACTCTCCAATGAAACAAGGTTTTTTTACTTGGTTTATTATTATCATATCTTGGTTACCACCATATTTGGCGAGCAATACCTCATTGGTATATTCCGTATTTTACGCATTTTACACTCGAAGACAGAGCCAGAAACCCCTCCTTGGAGGAGCCCTGTGTTCTTTTGTGTGCACAAAATTACACAGACATACAAGTACACACCACAGCCTTTTATACGAGTCGTGAACCACTCAGTCAAACACCTAGAATTACATAATGCACAAACAAACTTGTCTGAACCGGGAATCGAACCCGGCGCCATGGGATAGTGGTAACCTTGACTCTGCCACTGAGCCATAGCGGGTGAATAACACTGACAAATTGTTCTTGATTAATCTACATGGCATGTACTAAATCATCATTATATTGTTCTTAATTGAACAATTTAAATTTTCACCAAGCCCTTGTGATCCTGCCCCTATAAACCTCACCCTGAGTTGAAATAGATAGGAAGTGGCCTGGGGTTGAAAGGAGGTCCAAAGATACAAGACTAGAAAGATTTAAGTAAGGGCAAATTATGGACAGTAAGAATATACTTACAATGTCTGACTTGGATGGTTCTTTTGTCTTTGGCCAGTTGTCTTTAAGAGCCTGTTGATGTTTCTTCCCCCTCAGATGACTTAGCAGGAAAACCTCTGATGAGATCTGAATACACAAAAAAATAATTAAAACACATTCTGCACCTTTAAAAATCAATTTCATCAAAGGGATGGCTTGAAGATAGAACATGGGGGTACAAATGACTAACTAATATGCCTTCTATTTAATGTCAAGTCTTATATGTAAGCAATGCTTAGGTACAAACAAAGGCATTTGAAAAACTGAATATACCAGGCCTTAAAATAATTGGCCCACCCTCATGTATAAACCACGAGTACATGCACACTTATTTCTTCCAAATGAACATGTTCAGAGGTGGGAGTCACTCACCAGTACATTGCACACTGCACATAGTTTCTTCCTGTCATAAGGCACCAGTTTGGGGGCATCGTTGTGATCATCTGAGGAGTGACGTAGAATCGACATCTCAAATGCCTTCTCTCTGATTTGCTGCAAATTCTCATTGTGACGACGTGCACTTTCATCTTGCTGAAAATACGATAATATGATAGTGGAATGAAAAATGGATGATTGTTTTGCAAAATATACATGGTTTAATGTCTTAACAATCCTGCCTGACAAAATTTTTATTCATATTTTCTTCTTTTGAAATTTTATAGAATGATGGAGTATAGCAAAATATTAGCATTAGTATGAATAACCTTATACTACTTCTCAAAGAAAATAAAAATGACCCAAGCCTATAAAAAAATTAGTGTTAATTTAGTGACAGCTGTTCATTCCTTCCACCACACAGTCAACTTAGCCCCAGATTATTCAACTCACCAACCCAACCAAAAATCAAGTCAACTGAGTCGAAGAAAAAAACAACTCTAACTTCAAAAATTATAAAGTATAGTTCCTCATATAGATTCCATGGTAAATCTGAGATTAAATCCACCAAGACATATGTCCAATATTTCATTCACCAACTTCTTACCTTCAACTGTATCTTCTTCTGCAGTTCTTTAATATTAGCCTCATGTTGGGCATTCAATGCAGCAATCCTCTCCTCTCTGTCTCTATCCTTTGCTGTCTTGGCTTGTTGACGCACCTTCTCACGCTCCATCTGGCGCTGTTCAAACACTGTGTCTCTCTGCTTACGTTTCTGTTGCATTTCATGCAGCCTGGCCTGTCGCTCGGCCTCCAGAGCTTTCCTCCGCTCCTGAATATGAGATAAATATTACATTAGAAAAGTGGCTTATGAGCTTGTTTTGCAAGTATCGAATCACAACTTTTCTGAATTTCACAGAATTACTCATTTTTTAACTATTGCTATTAGCTGCTAGTTACATACAGTATTAATTTGATTCAGATTATCTCATTTAAAACACCAAGGTCCTCATCTTTTATAGTTTGACTTATTAAGGAGCTATGTCTATCTATTATGAATCAATTTGAATTCCACTAATTTATTTTATATTGCGATCATAAGAGAAAGTTTGAGATGAACATACTTCAACAGCTGCCTCTTTAGCTGCTTTTTCTTCTTGCTTCCTCTGGCGCTCTTCCTGAAAAAAGTATGGAAGGTTTATGATATTTGGTGGGCAAAGGTAACTAAATTAGATGTTGAAGCAATTCCAAAGCTTATATTCACCATTATGAAGTTTTTTCATCATTGCCGTGTGAGTGGGCTCACAAAGGAGCATGTACATTTTATAATTTTCAAGGGAAATAATTCACTTTTTAATATTTTTTCATGATTGTATAAAAATCTATTGATTGTGCAACTTGCATTTTTTTATTTTATATATCCATCCTTGCATTTAAAAATTTCAAATCTCTTGGCAAAAAGGTTTTAATCCAGATGCAAATATCGAGAATCGTTGAAGATCTAAATACACACGTATTCTGAAACATTTCACCAATGCCACTAACCTGTATGTCCATGAGTCTTGCTTGTACATCTTGGTGTTTGGATAATATCTCATGTCTCTTGTTCTGAGCCTCCAATGTGTTAATAAAGGCAATCTCATTGGCCTGAAATCGATTGGAATAGTGTCGACACGTAATATGGATTTTACCACTTGTGTGCAGTTACCGTATGATAACCAATGAACATAAAGACAGTTTTTGTGTTTTGACATACATGTATGTTGTAGTTCAAAATCTGTATCCAGTATTTTTCTGCTATTCTTTCGATTTCCTTAAAAGTCATATTTCGCACATTGTTTTTTCTATTAAAACTTAGAAATGCTTGCATGATGAATTCTTTAATCCCTACCTTGGTTTCTTCTTCATGGGCTCTCCTAACTTTCTGCTGGAGTTGTAATTGTCTTTTTGATTCTGCCCTAGCCAGCTTTCTATCCATGCTCATCCTACGTTGCCTCAATAGTTCCTCCTTACATGCTTGTATCTCCTCAACCTAAAGAAGGCGCAATAATATAAAGTAAGTCAATAGAGATAAAGATAAACAAGAAAGATTGTATATAATCATGTGTTATTTACAAGTTAAACAGCTTGGCCTTTTGCTTTCCATGATTATCACCTTCATCATAGAAAGGCTTTGTAACAGGATCGAAGAAGCAAATAAGACTTTTGCACTTATTATTTGATAGCCATATAAATTCATACATCTGAGAAAAACAAACCTTTTTGTAGAGCTCTTTCATCCGATCTGATTTCTCCATGAGAAGTTTTCCTCTGAGTTGTTGTGCCTTGGCCTGCTTTTCTTCTGCCCTTCGTCTTGCTTCATTCTTTGACCTAAAAGAACAGATAATATAAGGTGACTTGCCAGTAATACAGTTGTAGGTGCTATTCTATAGGCACTTAATCGAAATCAAGATATATATACCTGTTGATGTATTATTAATGAAAAAATTATACATGACAAGGTACCAGATTCACAGGTAGACTTCATACAAATTTAGGTAAACCAGAGATCATGAATATTTCTAGCAACCTAATTTCTCTGTCATGTTGAGTTTTCAATTTTCACACTAATGTGTATTTCAAGGGGAATATCAAAAAAAATGTGTAAATCTGGTACCTCTTCATTGAATGGATCTCTGCGATTCAGAGGATGGCAGGAATTTAATCACATAAGGTTAGTAATCTAATTCATAATTTTCATAGCATCTATCCATAACAAAGAATTAATCTATTTACATTTTTATCAATTGGTATATAGACCAGGCAATTCCCAAAACTCTCCTGTTCACCAATTGTTACCCAGCCACCTGCATGCCCAAGGACATCAGGACAAGATGAAGACAATATGGCACATTGAGAAAGTGTGATGAAAATAAAAAAATAAATAACCTTTTCCTTTTCTCTTGAAGTCAAACTGATCAGAAATGTAAAACTTTTTTTTACAAATTCACTTCTTGTTTCCAGTTTATTATGCACGTCTAACTTGAGAAGGTGTACACTTGACTAAAACGTCTTACCTTTTTCTTGAAGGTGATGATAGTTTCTCATGCATGTGTACCCCTCTACCAGGAGTTCTCTGTTCAAAGTCTTCATCTTCCACCATATCACTCCAAACAGACATCCCTGACTGTGCACGCTCTGGAATTGTTACACATGTATTTAAGAGATGTTTTACTTATTATTAGGGGCATGGTCATTATTTCAATGTAAAGGTTGTGTTTTGGGCCACTGGTCTCTATATTTCCACTTACTTTCATAGTCTGCCAGCATGTTCTCCCAGTTAACTGAAGTCACAGAGCTACCAAGTGTTGTGTTCAGGGTGCTCTATAAGAAAATAACAAGACACAAGGTGAACAATATTGTACTTAACAATCAAAAATAGCTGCCTTTAAATTTATCCAGTATTCCCAAAAAGATTTTGTCCCAAGAAAAATCTCTGAAAATTTTAAATACATACATCAAACTGGAAATGCACAGACGAGTATAAAGATGCAGCCTTCAAGCTGAAGACAATGTATTTAGGAATGATAAAAATAAATGTCCATTTAGAAGTTCAAATAAAAAAAGTTTTTTCCAGGGATCCTGATTGTTAGTTACAAGTAAATTATTACTTTGGAATGATTTTACACTTCAAGGTCTGAACAAATAACATAAGCTGTGATATAAACTACTTTTTTTATGAGAACTCCTTTAACAACCTTGATGACAAAATTGCCACTTTGCTGAAGCTTGAATTCTAAGTTAATTAAACCTAGAAAATCCAATTATTGGTCACTTGATCAATTTGATCTGAAATACAGTATAGTACATGTAGTTTGATCCTAGGGACTCAAATGATCAAAGTAAAAAGGTGCCTTTACCCCAAGGTCACTCTCAGGCTCCGTATCAACTATGATCTCCTCATTCTCCTCTTTCTCAATTGCTTTGTTCAGATCTTCTTCCTGTTGAATGGCAGATTCCAGTGCCCTGTTTTGCATCTCTTCAAGTTCTTCTTCGACTTGGCTTTGATCATCTAAGACATTCTCATACTCCTAACATAAAACATATGTGTATAACAGTGTTCAGTAATACATAAAATCTGGACAATGGCAAACATCCTAGGTTTTTACAAGGAAAACAAGGAGACTGTGATATAGCCCTTTGAAAAAGTGTGATAAAAATATTCAATTGATTGCACGCTATTTGTAAATATCTAAAATAATATCTCACCCCTAACCCTTTTGTATGATCAATCTCAAATTTGATTACCATGGGCTTAAATGCTAGAAATGCATTTTACTTATACTTACAGTAAAACTTGTGTATAGTGAACATTTTTTTGCCAAGAAAAAACGTTCACTGTAGGTAGGTGTTCACTAGAGAGAGGGTAATTTATACAGAAGTCAGTGGACTATGTGCGTAGGAAGGGTGTCCACTAGGGACAGGTGTTCACTAGAGAGAGGTGTTCACTAAGACAGGTTTTACTGTATATGCTAGGACTCTCTAATCTGAGAGTGATTTCAATTCAATTTTGTGTACTGTCAAAGTAGTTAAATAACACCTTAAAGTATCCTGGTTGGTTGGCATTCATTCAAAATCATTTTCTTAATAACTTTTGTATATTACAAGTGAATTTTTTAGAATTTAAATAAAAGTTTTAAAGCATTAAATACATGTTATTCAAAGTGCTGTAAAACTGTGACTATCAGTCTGATGGTCATGAAATATCGTAGGGTGGTAGGAAATTGAATGATGTACAAATGTGTGAAATATCAGGGAGTATTTTTTAAAGTGCCAAAGATATAAGGAAAATGCAGGATTTCCATTTTTTGACCACCCTATACTTCATAAAAGCTACAAGAAACACTATAGCAGATGCACTTACTGTTTCTATACGTGTGGCAAGTACCTCTTCTTCCTCACTGATCTCATCACTTGACTCTTCAACACATATTTCATCTCTCCTGCAGTAACAAAGAAAAGAAATGTTCAAAACTGGTCAAATTATTTCATTTTTTCATGATCATATCTTACGAATTTTTATGGACAAAACTGATAAAAAGTTCTTGATCTCATCTCTTAAAAAATAACATACTCAGAAAATGTCCAAAACTGGACCAAATATCACATTTGGCACACATATCTCCTGAAATAATGGCCCAAACTTTTTTAAAAGTTATTGATATCATCTTTTATATGGGAGAAAAGTGCTGCTAATGAAGCCTGTAATGTATTACCTTTTAAACAATTCCTCTTGAGCATTATGTTGCTGTACATCATTTAGAAACTCTTCAATGTGAATATCAGGTTTATTTTCTTTATCACTGTCCCGGCTGCTGCGACTCCTACGTCCTGGACTATGCATGGGAGAGACATCTATAGCTGTAACCCCGCTCTGTGCCATACTACGGGGAGTCTTACCAGTATGAGGACTCCGAGGGACTACCCATGCAAAATTCTGTGATGTTTTATCGACAGATGGGTGGGGACTAGGACTCAATGGAACTTCCCCAGAATCCGAGTGAGAACGCTTGAATGTGTCAATTTTATTACCATTTTTGGTAGCATTGGTATTTGAGTCTGGTTGACTAGAACTGGACATTGTTCTATCAATTCTTTGGTGATTGTCAACGCTGGATTTCTTATTCCGATTTTGACCATTTGGTTGAGTCCTAGATTGGGAATATCCACTACTGGATTGTTTCTGTGTTGTTTGAACACGTGGAGATCGGAATTTACCCTTAGGGTTGACTTTTTGTGTTGGGGAATTTTTGGCATTTTTCACTTGTTTTTTACTATGTACAGTTTCCCAGCCTTCACTGTCTTCTGAGAGGGCCACTATAAAATAGAACATTTTCTCAATGTAAAAGTCTCTACAACTACCACAGGCTGGTATCGAAAGATTTGTCCGCTCTGACGGAGCATGCTATTTTTCATAAAAACACTAAGAATACTTCATGGTTTATTTTTTAACTCATATGTTTCGTTATATCAAAAAAAAATTACTTACACCATGCAATGGATATATCATTTGCGGATAACCTTCACATCTGTTTTAAGTCTTATAACGCTAGGAGTAAAAGCTATTGAAAGTGGCGCCAGTATTTCAAACTCTAAAATGTATTATTTCTTTTTTAACTTTTTAATGGCATGATGTAGTGACACGATAATATTAACATATGTTTTCAGCATAACTCTGAATGTATTAATGGGATATTGATGTATTGGGTCTTTCTAAATTTTTTTTATGAAAAATGATGTTTACATTTGCAACATTTTACATTTGCAACTGCTCAGTCAAGGCTGACAAAAGAATTAATAAATATTTTTTTTTTTTAAGAATTAAAAAGACCCAATATATGAACATCTCATTAATACCTTCATAGTTATGCTGAATACATATGTAAATATTATCGTGTCACTCTATCGTGCCATTAAAAAGTAAAACAAGAAATGGTACATTTTGGAGTATGATACTCCAGCGCCATTTTCAATAGCTTTTCCTCCCATCGTTATTAGACTTCAAACAGAAGTTAAAGTTACCCGCAAATGATATATTCATTGCATGGAGAAAGTAATTCTCTTTGGTATAACGAAAAATAAATTGTGTGTATTTCTTAGTGTTTTTATGAAAAATAACATGCTCCGTCACAACGGACAAATCTTTCGCTACCAGCCTTTGACTACAAGGTATCATCATTACATGACAAAATGGGTTTGAAATCAGAGCACTTTACATTTTTGCCAGTTTTTGACTCATTGTATACATGTCAAAAGAGTATCTAAGTCACTCTAGGTACAGTCTCAAGGCTGAATACAGTGATGAAAGAGAAGACTTTACCTTCATCAAGTTTCAATTTGGTAACACTGGGTTTATGGGCATGGTGTGGTGGCTCCCCTGCCCTAGGTGAGAGTTGGGGTGGTGGTGGTTGAAGGATCTCTGGTTTAGTCAGTGTTCCCTTCACCTTATCTGCCCAACTGTTTCCTTGTAGCTTGGTCAATAACACATGGCTAGGATTGATCCTGCAAAAAGATGTAGGGCTTCCCTTTAAACTTCATATTTATGAATCATATAATCAAAAGACCATGTGCAGTATGGCAAGTGATTTTATATGGTCATATCTTTCACCATGAGTACTTTCTGGGCATAAATACAGTGGTTTTTATTAAAACAATATGTTTTCTTTCAAGTGAAGTACCCATGATGATAAAAATATTGTGGTCTTTTATTATTTCTGTAGGACTATAGATGTAATAAAATGCTTTAAAATGTGAACATAATATTTCAATGACTACATTCAGTCTACAGTTATTTCTCACATAACTGTAAATTCATCAATGCACATGCATGAATTACTTTTATGAATTTAACAAATAAAATGTCTAAAACTGATTGAAATATCATGATTTTATGATGTCCAAATTATCATAGGATCACCATGAATATTCAACTGACAACTGGAAATTTTCGAAGCTGTTTAAAATACAAAAGATGATTTTTAAGATGATTATCTCCTTACGTTAAGGTATTTTGTCCAGAGAAGTTGAGACTTTTCTGCACTGTTGGACTAGGGGTACACCTATCTCTGTGCTCACTGGTCAGGCCTTTCCCTGGAGAAGTGGTCTTCCTTAGCTCCCATGCTAAAGATGTTGGTCTGAAAAAGGTATTGTACCATAGTAACTATATGTTATGTCCCTACAACTTATATTCCAACATTCACTTAGTTTAATTGCAATTACAGGTACAATTTACATTATAACATGAGAAAATTATATAGAAAATAAAATACATGTACATGTACTTTTAAACAATTTTATGAAAAATCAATTTCATGATTCCTATACATGCATGCACATGTACAACCCAAATGTACTTTAAAGGATGAGTTATTTTCAATAAACTAAAAAGTAAAATAGGCTATATGTGAAAATGCCACTGAAATTCTCAAATAAGATAATTAACATTTCAGATCACTCATCATAAGCCTATCATGATTGGTTTACGAAGTTCAATTGTCTGTCTAGTGTCTAGTGTTTATTCCCAACAGAATTTTGACAAGGTGTTACAGGGTGCATAGATTTGCTTAACGTTTCTGTCTTATGTATCTCTGGTCTAACCATTATAATTGTAATTTGGTCTATAATTTCACACTGAATCTATTTCACTGAAGCTGTTCAGTTTTTAGGTGTAATTTCCCTATTAGTATCAGTAATTTGTAAAAAAAGATTGTACCATAGAAAACTGATGGAACAAGTTGTTACTTACTTGCTTCCTTCTTTGGCATTCTCGTAGTCTTTCATGATATGTATCCTACTAATGAGAGATTTGAAGTCTTTGGTGCATTGCTCCAGCATCATGATCACCTCCTGTAACACATGCGATTGTGTCAAAATCTACATGTATTGGCTCAGCCTGATATGTTAGGACCTGAGTCAATTTTCAAAGACATAGTCAAGTTTTGTATATAGAAAGACCTTGGATGTGGATTTTGGAATTGAAGAAACTCAATGTACAAATTATGTTAAATGGACTGTAACCCATTCTGTAGAAGTGCTCTAGAAATGCAACCTTCCTTACATGAAAGGTTACACATTCCAACCTATTTCAAACCATCTGTATGATTATACTGGACACTTTCTGGGTAGTTGGACTTTCTATAGGGGTGGCAGACGGCCCTCAGACCAATTTATACCCCTACCCCCAAAAAACCATGGGGGTACTTTAATACCACCCAATAAAAAGAATACTAATGCATGTCAGATATTCATTGTTTTATATTGGGTAGAGCATGTTATGGTTAATAAGTGCCAGAAATTTCCAATCTCTAACTTATATGGTTACCATAGAAACAGTATTTATATCTCGAAATATTCTCAATTTGACACCCTCCCAAATGTGTCCCTTTGTTCTCAAAGTGAAATATTTCAAAATCTGTTTGGATTTTATGGCTGCTACTTTGTCAAAATTTGTAATATTATGTCTATATTAACACTAAAACACTTAAAAGTTGATATAATGATCCTATAAATCAATAATATTTATCAAATATAGTCACTCATAGCTGCTTTCAGGGAAAAGTGGGCGTGGCACTATTTGGTACTTGTGCGCTTGTTGCAGCATTAAATGAAAAATGCAGATTACACTAACAATAATTGACATTTAATTAGCATCTACTAATGTTGTGTAACATTGTAATATGTTCATTATCATTATTAGACACTTTAAATATTTTATATAAGTGTTATCCTGACCCTTCCCTATCATAGGTCATCAATGGTCAAATTAACTTTTAGTTTAAGTCTTATAGGGTCCTCGGTCTTTTAAGTCTGTCAAGAGTCAAGTCTTACTTATTCATTGACTTGTTCCTAGAATATGAATGTCATCTAGAGCTATGAGTTACAATTAATAATATGCTTGTTCAACAGGCTTCAATATTTAGAACCATTTTACCATGTTTACTGCAATTGAAAAGTAATGAACAGTTCAATCCTTTTGGTATGATATTTGATGCTAGTGTGAATTGCATAACATTTATGATTAAACTTAAATGAACTAATATAACTCTGGCTATTAACCCTTCCCTAGTATCCTTCACATAACCTCTAAATCATCTTCATATTCATGGCCTAAATGGGGAAGGAGGGAGGGTTTACAAATAGTGACCGAGGATAGTTTGAATCAAAGCAAGGAGACGTAATACTCAAAACTAGAAAGATTAGAGACCATTTATACCCTTCCTAATATTTTGCCTAAAACATAACACTAAAATCTATTTTGTCAGACACTTGCTGATTCTTTTATCAATACCTCAACATCAGGCAATGCATGATCTATCCAATGGATTAAAGATTATACTTGATTCTAATATGGCAAAATTAATTTTTCGTATGAATTGCATAGAGCATCATTTTGCAGTTATAATAAAATGCATCCATTCATTCATTGGCTCATAGTTAACAAAAAAGCTATTCGCTGGAAGGTACAGTATAATTTCTATTAGTATTTAGCAAAATAATTGCAAGATAAACAATTTACACATCTTTCTGATATGCTGTATTTTCAGTATTTCCAATGATTCCTTAAATAGTGGTTCTGTATATGTTTTTGAAATACTTCAAATAATCCCTAAACAAATCTGTTTAGTGTATGAAATCAAAAAAAGTAGATACATTTGTCCCATACTTGGACATGTTTCAGATACATATAGCAGGTTTATAAATACTTATATTTTTATCAGCTGGCAGATATAGCTAATGTCCCGGCCTGAGAGGGCAGATATATTACACCTGGCCACTAAGTCATTATCATCATTTGTGTATGATTAGCAATGAGGGAAGTAGCATACTTAATACATATGTTAATAATCAATGATTCGAGAATATGTGGATGAATACTTAAAAAACAGGAGAATCCTCCTAAGGCCAAGAAAACAAAATAAGACATGAATACATTCATATGGTTGAATTCTTTCTAACTCTGGCCAATTGAACAATGTGAACCAGATAAGAAAGATTGATATGGGATAAACAGATCATCCTATAGTCAGTTCATGCTATTAGGATTATCCCTTGGCAAATATAATATATCTTCCCTCAGGACCTAAGGCCTTTGGCCAATAGAAAATATCCTCCCTCGGGACCAACGACCCTAGGCCAGATATATTATATTGGCCTTGGGATAATTCCAATACCCTGAACCTCATAGAGGATAATCTCTATTCTTCTTCATCAATTATTATTATACATATAAATCGGGATATAAATATAACCTAAAGTAAGAAATCACATTCTCTAACTAGTAATATTTAATTTTAAAATTGGTAAATGATGATTATGTCACAATAGAATTGATGACCATGATTTATTTGAGAATAAAACAGACAAAACAAAGGCTAACAAAAATCTTTAAAAATTTGGGTAAAACATAAATATTTTAAAATTGCTTGTTTTTCATCATTATTACTTCGATCTCCAAACCCCAAAAATTGAGTGTTACAAATTGTTTTAAGTTAAAGTATGCCTAATTTCATGAGCAAACTAGTAAATATATAAGCACTAGTGCCAAAGGGAAAGGACCAAAAGTTGTAATGGAACTTAATAAGAAAAAGCAAACTCTAAGTTGGATCTTGTTGGATATTTTCTCTCGACAATGCCTTATCTAATTCATCTATATACAAACTACTAGATTCCAAATGCTATTTTACTGGATGGGTGTTCATGAAAGTAACACTAAACATCAGTTTTGTCATAAACTGAACAATGCAGCTAATTGATTCTCCCATCTAAGCAACAGAGCCTCTTTTAATATATTGTAATTTCAAAATTGCCTCTAATTCAAGTTCTTCAATCAAATCTAAAATGGACACAACTGGTAATATCTTTATACCATATGAGTAGAATGTTTGTTTCTTTCAAATTCATGCTTTCGTTAGAAACATATCACTAATTCATAGTTTTGATTCGTATTTAAAATCGTGTGCATTATATATGAGGTTTAATTAATGGGAAGTTTTTAATACAAGGAAATACAATATATCTTAGGGAAATACAATATACCTCCCCGAGGGGTTGAGGGTAGAATATTGTATTTCCCAAGGGTTATACCTTGTACCCAAAATTATTTATCATATACTAAAATACGAAAATATGAGAAATTGTACAGAATGAAATTCCTGCAGGGGATTACTGAGCGGGTGATAAACCTGGCGATACATAGAGATTATCCTATATGAGGTTCAGGATATTGAGACTATCCCGAGGCAAATATAATATATCTGCCCGAGGGCGATTATGACGGAGTGGGCAGATATACTATATCTGCCCTCTCACAACGGGACTTAAAGCTATATCTGCCCGCTGATGAGAATGAGAATATAAGTTTTTACAAACCTGCTTTATGTACCTGAAACACGACCAAGTATGGGATAAAGCGGGATATGCAGTACATGTATATCCCCACTCACCTAAGGTATCAATTATATTCATGCATTTTATTTACCTATAACACTAAGTATAGGATAAATAACTTTTACTGACAAATTGTATAAGTACATGATTACATTAGTCACAACTACTCACTAAAAGGTTAACTTATTGCATGAAGAAATGTTATTCTACATGAAGATTTCAAATATGATATCACTTATTTGACTGAATTTTGAATTTCTAATGATGTAAAGCAAGATTATTTCTACTTGCATCTAGGTCTATTTCATTGTATAAGTCAACAATTAATAAGGCAAATACTATCACTGGCTTCCCTGATTCATTTAGATTCCTTGCACTTTTAAAATCATCAATAATTCATATAGGGTTGAACTATCGAATAATGAAAACGTTGCAAATGATGTGATAGAAGTTTTTATACTATTTAGCTTGGACATATTGCTGATATAGTTTTAATGTGATTTTAGGAGATTAAATGTTCTACTGAGGAACTTTGATTATGTTCAATTTTCTATGATCTTTAACTTTCTGAAAAAGGCCGGGCTAAATTCTCATTGAGTCAATGTTAAAAATCTTAATGTTGACTTCCTAAATGTTGAATTCTTTGTATTGTCATGAATTTAAGGTTCACACAAAATCTGAAGACCTTGAGACTTTATAAATTTGTTTCTGTGAAAAAAATATTCATTGATATTTTGACCAGGCTGATAACATGCTAAAGGTGTTTAGGTCAGTCTCAAATATTCCTAAAATCTTAATGCAACATTAAAATTGACATCAAATATAGATAGCATGCCAGTTTTTAGCCAGAAAAGTGAGTTGACAAGAAGTGGCTTTGAGACACATGTTATAAGTAGCAGAGAGAGGAAATAAAAATCAAAAGAACTAAAGGACAATTATAGCGACAATTACCAATAGATACTTGTAGAAAGTAGCATATTCAAATGGTAGCAGCGATGGGATATTCAGTACCACGTTCACATGAATAAAATGTCCAATGTAAAATTTAAAAATGTAACATCCTATTTTTATTGGCCTTTGTCCTTTTCTGAGAAAGGTAATCATTAGATCCAAGTAATTTGGTGACATTTTGATAGAATCTCTCCATAATAATAATAGTAATACAGTAGTTATGATCTTAACATAATAACTTACCTTACATTCTAGTTCACTCTCATCCGCCTCACATGTCTGATATATTTCATCCACAGCTCTCTGTAGGTTATCAAACAAGAATGCCCAATACCTGGCCCTCAGATCTCCTTTCCTGGGGCCACTGGCCACACTAGAGGGCCTGCTATCTGTATCAGTGGTCACATTGTCCATGCTAAGCTGTTTCAGATGTGCAACTGGGGGAGTGCTGAGCACTACAGGGGGGTCCTGGCTAGTGACAACCATCAGGGGCTCTGTGAAGCTGAGACTGGCAGTAAGGGGGTACCCGGATCTGGACTTGTTGCCTCGGGATGGAGATCTTTTGCTTGTGGATCTAGATCTCTGTTTCCATCTATACCCAGGTTCTTCTACAAGGTATAAGAAATGAATAAATAAAATATAGGACTCTCTATTCATGTTGACATCTATTAGATCCAGGTTTTTCTACAAGGAGTACTTCAGTCATGTTGCACATTCCTACAGCAATGAATTGTCCTGAATAGCAGGACTAGGGGTCGCTTAGAATGACCAGATATCATTCAATGGAACCCTGATATGTCTGTTTGTTGCAAGACAATGACCCCACTCCACCTACCCTGTACAAGTGTTGCCATGACAACTACAATGTATTATAATGGAGTGTCAGCAATAAAGAATTTTTATGCCTCCAAATTTAAGTTTCATTTGGATTGTTTTAATATTGAATAAATGGGAGCATCATTAGCACTACTTATTGGTTACCCTGTAACATCTGAGAGTGATGAAAATATTATGGACTATGAAAGAGTTATGATAATAAAGGAGCCACGGTCCTGTGCTCACACAGTGTTTTGTGCAGCCAATGATGATTGACCTTATACATGAGAAAGTTCCCTGAAAATGAAGTCCTACTTTTTGTCAAATTATAGAGTAAACACCAAAAACTGTAATTTCAAGAGCTTTGAAATCTTCAGAGAACATAAGTTGCATATACAGCAACTACTACAAGTTATTTGAAAGTTCTACTTCAACAAAGTGTCTTGTATTTACAGAAAATTTGACATTTTGACATCAAAATCAGCAATTTCTCGGAAACCGGGCAAACTTGGCGATGATATGTCAAAAAGGCATTATGGATATGCATAAAATGAATGTGGATATCACTCAATCCGAATAGCAGTTTTAATTTGTGCGGCAAATGTTGACGAACAGACGGACCAACGAACGGACGCCTGGTCAATCTCATAGGCTCACCGTGTGAGCCAAAAAGGCTTTCATAACAATGTACTTAACAAATTGTGACCACCTGTCATTTGTCAGAATGGTAAACATTGAATGCCAACCGCCATCCCCAAAAGTTGTTGACACTATAACATTAATAATATGTCACCACTTGTGGTGGTGACATAAAAATGAAGTTTCTTACCTTCCTCAACAGGAACATTATATGCTATAAGATTCCTAGCTGTTCTCCCCTCCTCTTGGACAATCTTCCTTACATGGTCTTGACTAGCCTGTCTCGTGACAGTTGGCTGAAAAAATATGCAGTCACTCACTATGATAGCCTAATGTCATAACAGACTTTTAGACACTACACTGTTTTTCTAGATAGTCACATCTGTTACATCAAGTAAGGCTGTAATTAATTGTGAATTATCATACCAAATATCCATCATTTCAGAACAATTCAGGTTTCAGTACTTGGAAAATCAGCAGACTTTCACCATTCTGAGTACTTTTTAAACCTTAAATGTTTTTTTGTTTTTTACACCCTCTAAAGGTTTTTGGGGTCCAAACTACTTTGCAACCAGAGAAGCTTTTTTTCATTCTGACTTCAGTTTTACATAGGTTCATCTATTACCTTTCAGAATATGTATGCATTATTTATCATGAATGCATGGAAATATGTGTAAACTTATCATAAGGGGTCAGGTGTTTTAGCACTTTGTAACATTTCGTAGCATTTATATATAACACTGTATTAATTGAATATGTTTCAGTGATAGTGATGTTCTTTGGCCTCAGGTAGCACAAAAAGTCATAATGCGATTTATATCTGGTTTGTTTTATCTGAAAGGAATTGAATTAATTGAGGATTAGATGGAATTTCATGTTGATAGAATGATTATTTCTGATATAATTATTGCAAAGAATGAGCTCTGGGGTCCAATCGGACCCCAAAAACCATTTAAGGGTTAAGTGATGTTGGTCATTTCTGGACCAAAATTGTCAAAAGTGAACCCCCTGAAATTTTTCAAAAAGTGAACCCCCCTTGGCAAATCCTAGCTATGGGCCATCACAATTTACATTTGTAATTTATTATTTCATGGTGAAATTAATTTAAACTTGAGAGGGGTTTCTCAAGACAACCTGGGTCATCACCAGGTCAACATATGTTTCCTGCATGCTTCAACTGTTATGTAAAATTCTTGTGTCTGGCTGTTATCTGCTTATTCTGCTACTGTCCTTGCAGCGGACAACATGTGCTAGTTAAATGCTATATTGCTTGTAATTTTTGGCTCTTTTTGCCTTGGATAAATAACCAAATAATGGAATTTGAAGACTTCCTGGAGAAGTGGTGCCTATCACCAGACACTATCAAGACACTCGGTGACAATGGATTTACCAACATGATGTCACTAAAAAGTATGGCATTGCCCGATGACCTGAAGGCAATGAAAATCAAGCCAATAGGACAATATAGACTGTTGGAAAAAGGCTTGACCGTCCTGCAAGCTGGACAAGGGCCCGAGACCCCTAACTTCGCTGCAGTCGATGAACAAACGTCCTCATCAGCTGAAGAAACCCCCCAGCAGAGACAGGCAGAGGGTGATCGTTCGTTATCCGAAGTTTTACAGCAACTTGGGATAGGTACGCAGGATAACACAACTCAATCTGCCAGTGCAAGCGCTAACAAAGGTGAGCAATATTTAAAGATAGTAGACTTTGTGCGTCCATCTTTGCGTTCCCTTACAAACAAAGACAAAGTCATGGCCGCTGACGGGGAGACCAGCTTGGTAATGCGCACATCAAAGAAACCTCGACTAGAATCTGTATCTATCGAACAGTGGGGGCAGGCGAGTAACAGAATTTTGACTCATCTAATATCCACCAATACTTCATTTGAGGTAGCAGTCTACTTGGAATACCAAATTAACATCTATGAACTGGCAGAATGCTATACCTGGCAAAGTGTCATTTTGTATGACGATGAATATAGATATCGCCAGGCTTTAAAAGGATTTGCATGGGGGACAGATATCCCTCATATCTGTAGTACCCATCTGAAACAGAAGGTAACAACAAACAGGAGGGCTGAAAATAATGTAACAGCACCTAACGGCAATGTTATTTGTCGTAACTACAACAAAGGAATCTGCAGGTTTGAAAACTGCAGATTCGAGCATCTATGCCTGCAATGTTTCAAGAAACACCCCCAGAAGGAACACCAGGGAAACTAAAACACCCCTCTCACGGACCTATTAACTCACCCCTCAATTATAGTAAATGGGAAAATGAACTATCTGAAGATAATGACAAGGACTTTATTTTAAATGGTATTTATAATGGATTTCGAATAATTGATGAGGATGCCCTCCCAACCTCTGCAGAAATGAACAATTATAATTCAGCTATTTGTTCTGAGAACAAGTGGAAAGTGGAAAATCAAATAATAAAAGAAATTGACAATAATCGTTATATCAAAGTGGATTATAAACCAACAATCATTAGTGCATTAGGGTCAGTGCCAAAACCCAATTCGGAGGCTATACGATTAATACATGACTGCAGTCAACCGCAAGGTAGTGCTGTCAACGATTATGCTACAATTAAATCTTATAGGTATACCACAATTAATGATGCAACAAAGGCCCTACATCCTGGATACTGGATGTGCAAAGTCGATTTAAGTGAAGCGTATCAATACGTTCCTATACACCCCCAAGACTATCAATATGCTGGATTAAAATGGAAGTTCAAAAATAGTAAAAAATATGATTACATCATTGATACAAGACTTATGTTTGGGGCTCGCAAATCGCCCGAAATATTCCATCGCATCACTCAAAGTATAAAACGCGTAATGCAGAGAAAGTACAACTGCAGTGACATCTATGTTTACTTGGATGATTTTTTGATAATTGCACAAACCCAAGAGGAATGCATGGAGCATTTAAATTCATTAATTAGACTGCTTCGTGACCTCGGCTTTGGAATTAGTTGGGGTAAAGTGGATGGTCCGTCTCAGGTATTGACATTTCTAGGCGTGGAACTAGACTCGCAAAAAATGAAAATGCTGTTACCACAACAAAAACTGCTAGACTTTAAAAATTTGCTAAATCAATATCTGCTACTTAAACGAGCTACACGTACCCAGCTAGAATCGCTAGCTGGGAAGCTAAGTTGGGCTGCACAAGTCATCCGTGGCGGTAGAATTTACACCAGGAGAGTTCTTGATGCTATATGCAAGCTAAAACGAAATAAACATAAATACAAAATAGGGAAAGAATTCAAAGAGGATATTAAGTGGTGGTTGAACTGTATTGACTCATTCAATGGCATAGCGCTTATATTGGACAGTAAGCCTGTTGTTGACATTGAAGTTGATGCTTCAAATACAGCATCTGGTCTCTTTTATCAAGGAGACTGGATGTATGTAAATTTTGCTATGGACGTACCTCAATACAAAGACTATCATATTAATTATAAAGAAGTCCTCTCAGTATATTTTGCCATCCTTAGATGGAAACATGTACTGGTGAATAAACGCATTCTGATTCATACTGACTCTACAGTGGCCATGACTATTGTTAATCGGGGTACAACAAAACATCCTGGTATAATGGAAATATTGAGACATATGTTTTGGATATCTGTTCAGTATAACTTTGACCTTCGAGCCGTTCATGTCCCAGGGAAACTCAATATTCTACCAGATGTAATTTCCAGACTAAATGAGCCCAAAAACTTTCTAACATTAGAGGCTATTTTGTATCCAGGAATTTTCCCTAATTCAGAGTTATCTGCAATGATTCTTCATCACCATATGACACTAAAGTCCATGCTTTTTCTTCTTCCTCAGATCAAAGAGTGGCACAGCTGGAAAATAGCCTGGACAGGAAAATCATAGAACTTAGGGGATATACCTACACAGACAACACCAAGCGCACTTATGCAGCACATCTTGCTAAATATCTAGACTTCTGCAAGTTAATGGGATATTCACCAGCACCTGTTTCACAGTCTAATTTGCTTCGTTATGTGGCATTTCTTAGTGACCACATTAGACCATCATCAATTAAATTATATCTTAACATTATCAGGATATTACACTTAGAAATGGGTTTACCAAATCCACTTCAAAGCAACTGGCCCTTAGACACACTGCTTATGGGCATATCAAAGAAACTTGGAGTACCCCCTAGGCAGAAGGCTGCCATTACGCCACGGCACTTGCTGGACATTAAGAAACAATTAGATCTTTCTAACTATGTTCATATTATCTTTTGGAGTTTATGTCTCACAGCCTTCTTTGGTCTCTTTAGGAAATCAAATTTAGTTCCTAATGTGTTTAACCCAGAGAAACATCTTACAATGTCTGATATTACAATGAACAGCTGGGGAATCTTGCTTCAAGTAAAGTGGTCAAAAACACTACAATGTAAAGAGAGGGTCCTGCCAGTCCCCTTCTTAGCTTTGCCAAACCACCCCCTGTGCCCTGTTACAGCTTTAAAAGCAACCCTAGCTGTAACAAGCCCAAAGAATGTCACAGATCCACTCTTCACCCTCCCAGCTCCACATCAGAAGAAACCTTTCCCACCTTCACTATTTACTTCAATGCTACAGCTTTACCTCACGAAAGCAGGTTACTGTAGCACAGAATTTTCTACCCATAGTTTTCGTAGGGGTGGAGCGTCCTGGGGTCTTCAATGCAACTTACCTAGTGATATTATCCAACTGATGGGGGACTGGCGTTCCTCTGCTTATCAAAGGTATTTGGAGATGCCACTTCAAAACAGGCTTCAAGTTATTAAAGATTTCACAGCTAATCTACCATTAAATTGAAGTAGGAACTTTTATGACCAACATTAGTGGGAAGTGATCTTGATCTTTTGACTTTGATTGTTATAATAATTACTTCGAATATATAATACTTCTACACTCTACTTTAAAATGTTTGGCCCATCTGGGGTAATTGATTCATTTCATTCTATGAATCAATTTTCCTGTAATTTTGTTGTTATTAGTTAGCCTAGAGTAGAACAATAAATTACATAATGCCAAACATTTTTCTCTAGTTGTGTGCGCATTCTTTTATAAGTCACATGAGTTTAATTATTATTTCATGGTGAAATTAATTTAAACTTGAGAGGGGTTTCTCAAGACAACCTGGGTCATCACCAGGTCAACATATGTTTCCTGCATGCTTCAACTGTTATGTAAAATTCTTGTGTCTGGCTGTTATCTGCTTATTCTGCTACTGTCCTTGCAGCGGACAACATGTGCTAGTTAAATGCTATATTGCTTGTAATTTTTGGCTCCCTCCCCCCCACCACGGTGCCATAATTCATACATGGTTTGTTTTTTCGATGCAATGTAACCTCTCCGGATGGTGGGGGTAATTGATTCATTTCATTCTATGAATCAATTTTCCTGTAATTTTGTTGTTATTAGTTAGCCTAGAGTAGAACAATAAATTACATAATGCCAAACATTTTTCTCTAGTTGTGTGCGCATTCTTTTATAAGTCACATGAGTTTAAACATATATATACAATGGTGATCTCATCAGTGACACCATCATAGCTAGACTTCATAAATTACTACCATTGATTTGTGAACTTTAACTATATACATGTACATGTACATGTATTAAGCCTTTATTTCAGTTTCAGGAGTTCTGTGGTGAATATATTTTAAGGATTTTATAGTTTTATTGTGTTGTGTTTGTGTTTGTCAATCATATTTCTTAAATTCACTACTAGTAAGACTGGTTCTATGAGGTTTGCCTTACAAACACTCTTTAACCCATTTGGGGGGGGGGGCTCCATTGCATAGCTCACAAGGGGGGTCCCAAAGGGTATGTAACAAGGTGACCTGGCTTCTAAAAGTATGACACAATGTGACTTTAAAAATGAACGGATGTGACAAATAAATCCTTGCAAGTGACAATTTTGTATATTTGTCTGACTGACATGGGTTTTGAAAGTGACAAAAAAAGACAATTCATTCAAAATGTAAATTGAATGATGCAAGTAAAGATGACTTATTCTAATCTGAGTAATCAAACAATGGAACATAACAGACAATTTGTTGCTGTCGCACATGAAATAAATTCTTACCTCAGTGTATTCAGTGCTCTATTTTCTCTGTCCTAGTAGGTCCAAATATAGTGGAATTTGTGTCCATAATGACAAATAAGAGCGGACTCTTCAAATGTTGAGGTAATTTTCAAATTTTGTAGCCCGATTGCGCCACAAATCACTCCTTCCCCACATGGGCTACATCTTCCAGATTTGCACAAAGAGTGGGGTACTTGTATGCCTAAAAAAGAATTGTGACAAGAATAATTTGATAAAGTGTATAAAAAACAAGAAAATTCAGTGAAAAAATTCAAAAAAATATCAGAAATTATTTTCACTGAATTTTCTCAATTTTTATACAATTACCATGGGCTTTCAATTCTAGTTGAAAGCGCATGAGTTTACCAAACAAATCTTCTCACAAGTCTTTTCTAGGTACATACTTGCACTCTTTGTGCAAAACTGGAAGATGTAGATTATGTGGGGAAGGAGTGATCCTTGTTTGCAAAATAACATGTGACTCAATAGAGGAATGCAGAAAATTTCCCAACATGACTCTGGCCTAAAGTGAACGAAACTTGGAATTTAGCTTATTGTGACAACTTTTGATGGTTGAGTATTATTTTTGTCCCCCACTGTAGGGGCCCCACTGTACATGTATGTGGCTTATAATATGTGGCCGGGGTACTATGTTGTTCAAGGTTTTTTATACAAAGCCTGGGGGTAATACAACAAGGCTGACCAAAATATCATCGGAGACGAACATACTGTGCCTTATTGTAGACCAAATTTTGAAATGATTCTAGTAATGCAAATGAACTTTATATCTAGAAGACTTCAGTCCATTACAATTGGGTTGTGAACTTGTGCATTAAAACCTAAAAAGCAAACTTGGTATCCAAGGCAAAGAAGATGGGCGATAATACAGGATGTGGGGAAGCTAAAACAACGGTTGCTGCGTATTTTGATAGTTGTGTAAACTTCCAAAGTTTACTCTATCATACTGTCAAAACTGCAGACTGCATCACTCGTTCTAGACTTACCTTAGCCTGTCCGTTGTTCATTTTATTCTTGGAATTTTTACTCGGACCAGGAGAATTTTTGTGAAATTGGTCTCCACTGTTAGAACGGTTTCGTGGCCCTGGACCGTACCTTTTACGCCGTGATTCACTCATATCACATTCAAGGTCATCTAAACACTTATTCTGTAAATGATTTACCTATGAGATATATACACTCGAGGTAATCTGACGGCCTAATTTATGGCACTCACGTCAGTCGAACTAAACAAAATATTTTGGTGCGCGCCTACAGAAAATGTAACGAGCAGTCTGATTGGTCAATCGATTTACATGGTGCATTTGTCGGATAAAATTTCGTAAATTCGGTGTAGATAAACTATGAGTACTGAGTAGTGGGCCTTAGGAGGAAAAATAGCCAATGGCCTTGGCTCGATGCTATAAGTTCTCCTCAGACCCAACAATTTGTATTGACTATGAGGTAAGCGTATTGCACTGGTGGATCTGGGGGAGAGGGCCCAGGGCACCCCCTAGGGGCTTAGGGTGGGCCTAGAAAAAAATTTTGCAATATTGGACACCAGACTGTCAATGACTTAGTAAGGCCCACATATCATTGTTAATTCTGATTCAAACCAGGGGAGATTTACCCCAGAGTTCAAAGATGACTTATGCTTATAATATGCTGTATTGAGATGGCATACATCTCTGATTGGTCGAAATCAACAAACAAAATGGTGACCTTAAAATTTTCGAAATAGGCTTCGAATAATGGTACATTCATTTCTGGTGTGTTGACCAGTATTAAACATGACTGTATTCGCGCCTTCTATAAACTGTGAACAAAGTCAACATTTCACCCGGGGCATATTAGCGAGCAATACCCCTGGTAATACGAGTAATGTGTGACGTCATAACAGCGGGCCATAGTAATGGCGGTGATAATGAGGATTTGTAACATTTTGGTGAGTTTTCATGTTCGAATTGTAATATAGACCTCAGAGCAGGGGTAATATCATCAAATATACGCCTTAGGACTAGGCACAAAAGCTTTCAAACCCCTCATTCTCTCCAGTCGTTCGGGGTACAGAAAACGTTTGTGCCTAGCCTTGCGGGGTGTATTCGACGATATTACCCCTGCTCTTCGGTCTATATTTCTTAATTATAGATCCTTATTCCACATAAAGATAAAGAAAGGTATATGCCTACATCAATTAAAACATCACATCGGGTTGTAGTATTTGGAAACTAGCCGGTGAAAATTTGAACAAACGAAGATGGTAACCAGGATACAGTTTTGGGGCTTTCCCTCCTCTTAATTCAAACATAAAAATGAAAGCAGAATTGGGGGTCCATAAAATAACCAAACTTGCTGTTATTTTCGCCATTCATAGGTGTGACGTCCCAATATATAGATTCCCGGAAGATTGAACAGAGCATGCACGGTCATGCATCTTTGGAGAATTAGAGAATGTTCTATATTGGCTATGCTGCATTCTGAGAAATTCAATTAGAGCATAGTCATGTTTGAATCCTAAATTCACAGATTACAAAAATGAAACTTTTAAAACTTCATCACATATATGCCATCATTGTGCATGATTTAAACACTGAACTAAAAGATGTGGGTCTATTTGTTAATAACTGAATATAATTTTCAATTACACCCCGACATTTGAACTCTGATTTCTACTTTTACTCAGACATCAGCAAACATGATGGTTGGGCGAAATAGGTTCAAATTTTATGCTGGGCATTAGAGTAGATCTGTTCTTATAGCGGGCATAAGATTAGATCTGTCCTTATGCCATAAGAATTGAACCTATTTTGCCATAAGAATTGAACCTCATGTTTGCTGATGTCCAAGTAAAAGTAAGAATCTGAGCTCAAATGTCAGGGTGTTTCACTTAAGGTAGTTATACACTGGCCAAATATGGCTGAATGCCATAGCATAGGAACAATGATTTGACAGGTGTCCAGTTTATTAAGGACAATTTAACGTTTGTGATATCACAATTTTGAAAAATGAGTTTTGTGGATATTTTGATGGATTTAATGAATTACACCAATGCAATCACCAATTCCAAACACCAGGCATAATAACAACTGACAATATGTCACCACTTCTTGCTGGTAACATAAAATTCTTGACTGCATTCTAGTTACAGTATCAATAGACTTTGACTCAAAGTGTCTATAATGTTTAGTAATACAGTGGCAAATGGTAAAAATTCAAACAGTAATATAGTTAGAAAAAATAATGTTTGTGTCAAAGTATATTGGTGCAAGATATAGTTTGTTTCCAATTTTAAATTTTGGATCAGAGTTTGAGATGTTATTTACTCTAGCCTCAAATAAACTTGACATCAGACCTTATTTGGAAGTTTTATGATTTATTCAGTGTGTCCCATAACACATATTTATCTCACATAAATTCTTGCTGAAACTAAATCATTTATTAAATACTTGTTTGTTACTTAAGAGTGTATACATACACATCCTTTTTTCTCGAGTCACTTTAATTCATACTTTATTATTAACTCTTACGTGTAACAATATGGAATAAGTGAAAAATAAAACTGAGACCTATTGCATTCAAACGTTTTAAGAACCTAGTAACATAAGGCTTGAATGCAACCTAACTTAAGGACGCTCAAGTGGCAAACTGGCATGCAGGTATAATTATGATATCCCCACTGAAATACATACAAATCTGTTAATGATTTTTACAATGGGGTGGTGTTAAAGGATGAGTCCGAATATATGCCCTTTGAGTCCCTCACTTCAATGCAAATGTATTTGAAATGTAGGTTTTCATTAAAGGGAGAATCAGATCTAGCGAGCAAGCTTAACAAAAATTATTTCAATTTTACAATATCTTTTGGCTCAAATCATTCCTTGTCATGTCTATTTTCAAAAATACACAAAGTGCAAACTTTATTTTAGTAAAACTAAAGATTTTTACAATAATGTATTATTTCTCTACACATATGGTTACCATATTTATTATCTGGAAAAATTTAAACATTTTTGCACTTTGAATCATTAATAACTTGACCAATTTATACATATTGGGGTCTTTGACATCGTATGGGATACATCGGTAGGTCAATTGGACACATTGCTTGTAATTTTGTCATCCCCTATAGATCTGATTCTATTAGTCATAATTTGACTGTCCAAATGACACGATATTGTACTTACAAGAAATATAACATGTTAAGTTACCGTACTCGCAAGAAATATAACATGTTAAGTTACCATCATGTATAATATAGAAAATGTATTCAATAAATGAACAAATTATGAAATTTATCATTTTTTATCTTCATTGTACATGTATAGAAGAATATGGTATTTTAGCCATAAACTAAGTTACCAGAACATTTGTTTGACACATCCAGAACCAAATAAGTTGTTTTAATTTCATTTGATGCACCTTGACCCTATATCTAAAGCATATAAAAATTACTACAGAATGTTCATAACTTCAAGAAAAGCGAATACACCTTCAAATCTATAATTTCAACAGATTAAACACATAAACACTTGTAGCAACAATCAGCTCGCAGTGTAATGCAATATCATACTTCATACACTACTTTTATTATATTGTATCCCTTATTTTTCCCTTAAATACTATAACTGAAGCATGACCTCCAGTGTTGATAAACCATGAAATGGAATTCCTTAGCTCATGCATCAAATTTTGGGATCAGGCTCATTAAATATTTGCCCCTAGTTAAAGGCTGCATCTGACTTGATCTACTTTGACTCTAATAAACCAACATGTGAGCTCCCTTAGAATTAGAAACCCACACCTGCTTGAAAAAAGGTAGGTTTTTCATTTCAATTTGAGCTGTGCCTTGCATGCCAGTTCAAATCAGTCATTGCATTTAATTGTTTTCAGCAAAGAAAATCCTGAACCAAGTTCCATTATATACAGCAGGGCAAGGTGACCCCACAACATATGAAATCTGGAAGTTAAATATCACTATGGTTCATACATGGTGCTTGTTCATAGAATATTTTCCACACATAAAAACCCCATAGACCCACGCTCCAAAGGTATTTTGCCTATATTGTCCAATGTAATAATACAACTTGGTACCTCATGGCCGATCAAACATGTGGTGTATACTTTATACTTTACTGCTATGTATAGAACACTGCACTTCAATACAGTTATCACCAATCTGGCTCATTTTGTCCATGCCATCCAATAAGAATTTGACAGTTGTAAAGTTTTGTACTTAGTGCTTACTGTGGCATTGCCAAGCAAGGTGTGTGTGTCTGTAAACCAGCATAGTGTTAATTGGCTGCCCATGCTTAGAGTGTTGTATGTAGAATGTTCGAGTGCTACTACTGCATGGTGTGTTGAGCTACTAGCCATCCTCCTTGGGTGGTGTAAACCAACCTGGAATGTAAACATTAAGAATAATAAGAGATATATCATATTATTTCTGAAGGATATTAATTTTATTTGTGAGTGGATATCCCAAACTATATACTCTGATGAGTTATGTGTAACGTGTATAAGTATAATTGAAATATTCAACTGAAAGTGAAATACTGGGTGTCCCGAAATCATGGGGGCCCCCCTTTGCAGACATATACCAGTGTCGTCATTGTATGTGTCATATATTATTTTAAAGCTTATTAAAATTTACGTTGATTTGCCATATATCAATTTTGGCCAAACCCTGAATTATGAAATGCCTGTAATTTTTTCACATTTAAGGGTTGAACCATGATATTTGGCGAATCCATGTAACTTTGGATAAGTTTTGAAATGATATAAGACACATACTATATTGGTATATGTCTGCCTAGGGGAGGCCCATACTTTCATGACACCCTGTATGGTACCTACATGGCCATAAAGGAAAATTCACTATTGAAATAATTTATTTTACAGTATATGTCAACTCAGTTACCTGAACAATTAAATCTGTCCTTATAATTAATATCAATTCTACCATCAAATAAATAAGTGAAAATAATACTGAAGCCTGTTGACAAGGGTTCTCATGTTAAACACATGTTCCAATCTAGAAAAATGATAAAATGGTCTAGACAGCAATGAGCTGACTGGACAACTTGCAAACAGAAAAGATTTTGCAATTAATTGATTCTTAAATGCTTTTGATCAGTATTTATCTATTTTACAGTAATGCACAGTTTCACAGTACATTTTACTGTGTGTGACACTGTTTTCAAAGCGAATCCAATAAATCAATAATGATAATAAAAATACCTACCATTTTTTTCATGTATCTGCACAAGAGATTTAAACGATTGCTTTGCACGAGCAAGGCTATATTGGCTCTGAAAATAAAACCCAAAACCCATAAGGTATTGAAACTTTAGACAGTAGTTTTCTTTAAATAACATATCAATCAAACAGATGGAAATTTAATATCTCAATTTTTAAAACCTCCCTGAATCTCATTAAGAATAAAACTTCAACTAGATTTCAAAGCTATAAAGTAAAGCCTTTATTGATTCAGTATAACGCATGAAATATATACACTAAAATACCTTTGTTGCACCGAAGGTGATCCTAGCTTTGCCTTTGACGAGTGTAGCTGTGATCTGAAGTATAACAGACTCGACACTATATGCACTACTCCAGCCTTGTTTGGTCAGCAGCTCCATGCAAATAGCTCCTCCCCCTAAAACGTAACCCCCATTCAGGACAGGAGTGATCACCCGCACAAATGGCGGATCAAATGGAAAGGTTTCCTGGAAGACAAAAGAGATATTTAATTCGTAATTGTGCTTGTATTTTAGTCAGTAAAATTGAATTTGGTTATTCTGTTGCTTTTTAGAATCATATTGTTTACTGGAGGTTGTTTCTCAATTTATAAATTTCAATTAGATATTATGAAGCAAATATTGACAGCTCATTCAGTTTATTTCTAATAAACAAGTTAATAAATGAAATATCACTATGGTCGAAATTGAAGACATTAAGCTATCTACTCACCATAAAAGTAATGTTTAACAGTATATAGTCCCTATTTTCTTGCTGTTTTAATTTTATGAGATCGCTGTGCAAGGGGCTGTCAGAGTCAATTCTGCAAATTAAGAAACACATATAATAATTGACCATATTTTCAGCAATTTGAAATGTAACATCAAATTGATAAAAATAACTGTTATGAAGTCCATCTTTTACTAGTTTTAAGCAATGGGATGATTGACCTGTACAAAAGCAGTGATTATAGCAAACAAATACAAGACATTAAGATGCAAAATGTTACAGGCACTGACCAACGAGCACCATGAACCAAAAAAAGTCTGAGACTATAAGAACTTATGGTGGTGACATAAAAACACCAGTTTTTCTGTGTTTAGAATATAGCATATGTTGAATGAATAATGCTCTCTGTATGCTTGTTGACTTTATTCCTTGACACTTCCAACTCTTCCACTCAATTTTTTTTAAATGATAATCTTCATGGCATTTTTATTACTGAAAGTAAATACTTACGCATCTTTATAGAATTTTACATTCCATTCATAGAGCGAATCATTGACTAGGTCCACGCTGTAGCAACCCTTGCTGCCACCTATATCTCCCGCACCTTCTTGATGTTCTTTTCTATAACTGTCGGACCTGAACAGAAATATGAAATAAATGTAAGAAATTCAAACATTACAAGGGTAAATCAATACTGAGTTATGTTATATATTTTAAAATAATACTAACTAGATAGCAAGCTAAGGCATAGCAGATCCAATACTAGCATCAGCACATAGAATTTGAACTGATTCTGACAACTGGTACTTGAGTTATTAAAATCTAATATATTTTACGAAAAGGTGGTATCCATTCTGAATTAAGCAGTCATGCTGAAAATTCTTCTTGAATAGAGGTCCTTCTCCCACAAAACATAAGCAAGTCCACCAAATTAAGTAGTTGCCTAATGTTCAAAACAGCAAATCAGCCAAAATAAGTAGCACCAAATTAAGTAGAAGTACAGTAGTATCACAAGTTCATACTGACTTATAGATATCTTTTAGTTCCTTCATCAGCCTGTCTGAAGCTTGCACTGAGCCCGCAACCGAACCCTGAAATATAAAATCAAAATATGTTAATGATATGCATGAAAAATGTATGAAAGGAAAAATTCTGAATAGTTTTATCATAAACAGTCTCGCATATTCATCAAGAATATTATGTACATCTAATATAAATACCGCATAAATCATATTGAATTATAAATCATACCTTAAGCGGATTATGTTTTAAGCAGGTTTTACTTCTCATGTTACTCAACATAATTCTAGAAAGGATCTGATTTTATGTAATCTTTGAAGCTATAAAACATAATTCTAGAAAGAATCTGTTTTTATCCGTGTACTGGGTGAAAAAACAACAACGTTACCCTCTAATTTTGGAATAACTTTCTCAAATCTGATGGAATCTTAAAGAATTTTTATTATGTGTAGATAGAGTGTCCAATGGAGACGCTAACAATGAGAGGTGTTCATATTTGGATGTTCTAAAAACACTAGGAGTGAACAAGGTATTCAAAAATATGAATCAATGAAAAATAATGTCATCTCAGAGGAATACAGGCCAATATTTTCAGGTAACTTTAGAATTAAATGATTAAAATGAATGATACATTATTGACACTTTATGTACTATAGAGTAGTTTTTGCAGTGAAAGGGGTGGCATTGTTTCTTGACACCTTGCTTTGTTACGATGTTGACCCTGGTTTACCTGTAGGTAATCTTGCCGTTGGTGCTGTTTTAGTCTCTCTAATGTTTTCATATTCTGGTCATCTATTCCATTGTATTCCTCCTTGGCTTTGTGATCACTGAAACGAAGTATTCAATTCTATGAGACACTTTGAGCATGAAGCATGTATGTGGTTTAAGGAATAAATAATGATAGGCCATTCTATATGGTGAAATTCAGCACGAGTTGGACAGAATGTTGTACAAAGCACGAACCGAAGGTGAGTGCATTTGTACTAACATTCTGTCCAACGAGTGCTGAATTTCACCATATTGAATGGCCTATCATTATTTATTCCGATTCAAACATAAAAATTAGTAAAAGCCGTGTCTGTGGAACGGGCATGAAGGAAGAATACGCATGCTGTCAAGATTCTGAAGTCGGCCGGAAAAATTTTAGAATTTGTTTCGGCTGTTCTATTTTACTCCCCGTTTTAGATTTTATACGGTGTATGCGACTGCAAACTTGAAGTCAGCCATAGTTAAATAGTTACAGTAGTTACGGAGGGAGTAAAAAAGAACAGCTATCCCCGGACAGAGCCCCAGTTGGGCAGCTGAGATGTGACGTCACTCAAAACAATGCAAATTGCAGATTGAATAGAGCATGGTCGTGCATCTATGGAGAATTAGAGAACGTTCTATATTGGCTATGCTGCATTCTGATTGGTTGAGAAATTCGAATAGAGCACGGTCATGTTTGAATAATATATAAACACTACAGTATGAATTAACAAGGCATCAACATGACAAAATGCCACCACCTAGTTGCTCACAATAGATTTGAATTTCTGAGAACTTGTAGATGATTTTGAAAAAATACATTGATGAATTTGAAGCAAGATAAAAAAAGAGCTTTTTGAACTTGAGAATGTCATTGAAAGTCAAATGTTATAGCCAGATTTGAAATGTTTAGAACTTGTTGATGATTTTGAAAAACAATGGTCAATTCGAAGCAAGTTGAAAAAAACTTTTTTTGACCTTGAGAAGGTCATGGTCATGTTATCAATTTTATTCTCATTTAACTGAGTAAATATTTTTAAATTGTTCTTTTTTTCTCATTTCCATTTGACTTAATGGTTAATAGGTTAATATTTAAATGTTTTCACGCTGATACACTTATTAAAAGTGTCAAGTGTTATTATGTATTTGATTTTAATTTTAGAGAATAAATATTTTTAATAAAAAAAATAAATTAAAAAAATGGTCAAATCTTAAATACAAAGTCAGATTTGAACTTCTGAAAACATATAGATGATTTTGAAAAAATTGAAGTCAGTCTTAACAGTATTTTTTAAGTTATTGGAAGTTATAAGAATTTATTACAGACGCCGATCGCCAACTGCCGTCAAAATAAAACGGAGACCATTACAATATGTCACCACTTTTTGGTGGTGACTAATATTATATGATTAATTTTCCCACATTTGCAATTTACTTGCATATGCCTAAATGTCATCTAACCCCTTTATTCAATTCATTTATGACAACCCAGTGAGATGTCTTGGGACCAGTTTATCAGTTATCTTTTTAATCTACTAATCATTATTTCATAGCTACTAAAAAATGAAGTAATCAATAAAAATGAAAAAATCAATAAGATCTGTAAAATATTTACGTAATATCCTCCTCCATATCATAGTGGAAGTCATCTTCATCCTCTTCTTCATCAGATGTATCATTACGTTGCCCTGGCAACATTGCACACATACCCTGAAACACAGATGATTCACTTGTATTGCCCTGGCAACATTGCACACATGAAAAAATACAGTGGATGATTGAATGATTGCTGTGTTGCCCTGGCAACATAATGGCACATAACCTGAAATACAGAGGATGGTTGATTCTGGTTCATTGTACTACCTGGTATCATTTGATCGTGGAAAAAAGTAAAGGATTGATTCTTTTCAAACTGAAAAGCTAGATAAACATGACAATTTTGAATATCTTTGAATATTCCACAACAGAAATTAACATGATAGGATATATCATTCTTTGGGCATCACGGTCTTAGTTCAAGTATGGAATAAATTGAATCACCCTTGGACCAAGGATGGGATTTATTACCTTTGCAGCTATTGCATCCTCTAAGGCAGATATTTCCTGTGGTTCACTGACATTGTGGAACCCACACATGGCACATATTAACATGCGGAACTGCTTCAATATCTGTAAACAATATAACAGCTTTCCACAAATTGCATAAATATTCATATAATATCCTTTGCACTGTGTCAAACTAATATGGTATAATATATGTTAAAGCATAGTTGTTTAAGTTGCCTTTATATTTATTCACACTTATGATATCAATCCCAAGATACACCTTAAATCAGTATACGTATGTCAAATTGAACTGACTTACATTATAATTTTCTGCCGAGGTCTCACATAATTGCGCAATGGCGTTAGTTACTGTCACATCCTCTGACTCGGCAAACCAGATAGGTGCAGTTTGTGGGTATGTATCCTGAAAATACAATACAGTGTATATAATTAACATGAAATTATTTAATATACAGTTAGATGGAGCAACTCACATTTGAAGAGATTTAAGCCATATCAAATTAGATTTTCCTGGAAGTATTAACTTCAGTATGAAACAAGGGTGAACGTAACGCCCGGAATGTGCGTCATTCACAATTTCAATATATTCTGCATTCGGCCTTTTACCATATACTATCAACCAATGAAATAGAGGGGTGAGCGAACTTTGAATTTATTCTGACAGTGTGTGTTACTCCCCTTCGGATATGAAGTCCAGAGCTGAATATTTGGTGATTGGTGAGCGAAAACAATCTATCCTTATAGCGTAATATATTTTCTATCTATAGTTAAGTGAATTTTGGTCACGAAATGTTTAAAAGAAATAACAGTTAAAACGAAGATTGTCCCCGTCTGTTTTGATTGTCCTGCCAGGAAACCAATGGGGTCTTCTCATCTACATAATCAGGTCACCTTATATCACGCTATAGAGCTGGGTAACACTGGTAAGCAGAAAACACAATCGCCACTTCAAGTACACTTTCCCTGTTTTTTCTGGCATATTAGCCCTCATTTACATATCATACCTTTAAATTAATCAATTAAGTAGCTAACGATGTGAACAGATTGCAATGAAATAGAGTAAAATAACCGCAAAACGGTGCTGAAAAAGGTACCTAAGTTTGAGAAATCTAACCCTTTTAACCACTACTTTGTAATGAGGACATGCAAAGCCGTGGATGACTATGTCATCGTTTCACTTCATTTGGTACACATACATACAAACTGTCACAATGTCAATGCAATATATTGTCATTTATCAGGTTCTATATTGTGCCCAACATTAACAGTGTTGTTTATATATTTAACTGACATAATTTGGCATAAAGCCTTTGGTTGATATAAATAACATAGGTTGTTTCAAGAGTCTGCTACAAGACTATATATTAATACATGTATGAACATTGAACAATCAACATTATTAAATAAAATAACAATGAAACTGATTAGATCGAGTAATGCTTGCGCTTGTATATTAGTCATATCTGTCACATTGCAGACAGACATCTGTCTGATTGCTGCTTATTTTAGCACTGTTTGCCTGAAAAATGCAAACTTAACTCGGTCTTATCTGACTTGCAACATGGCATATGGTCGAAGTATTCCTGCCATGTTATAGCAAGCTGATTTGTTTATAGAAAATGACAGTAGATTACTGTAATCAATATTTGAACAATAAAAACACTATTTCCAAGGTTACTGTAAGAAGTGAAATATTAACATTTGCTATCATTCATAAATAGTATAATTTTTTAGCACCTGGCGGGATTCTTAGAAATAAAGGATTGTGAGTCACTTGATCTCTGAACTGAACTTCCTAAGAAATAGATAAACCATCAAAAACATTGATTTTTTCTGATTTCTTCATACGTTTTTTTCCCCTATGATGTGCCAAAAATTGCTTCTCTTCAAATGGATTTTAAATGAGCTGACAATATTAAAATTTTGGGCCATAGATATTTAACACTAGCAGACATTCATAAACTTGTTGCATCCATTTTCTTATGCATTAATTCTATATTTGTGTACCTCCTATTTTGACACAAGTACTTTTTTAGGGTAGCTAATATTTTTTGTGAAAATATGAGCCATCTTGACTAATACTTTATCTCTCGATCTCTACTATAATATCTCAATTCTCAAAAAATCCACAACAAGTTTTAATACAATTAAAGTGGAGCAGCCTAGCTTACGCTTCATTGATTTCATATACAATCTAGAAAAAGTGTAACCAAACCTGTCTGGCCCAGTTATCTACTCCCGAAGTCATAGATCTGGGCCAGACGAGATCCAATTCAAAAAAGGGGGGATTTACTCCGGAAAAAACACACTTGTTTTTCAATGTATAATACGTGCTGATAAATGAATAAACATCATAAAAACACTCACATGTTTGTTCCTTGTATCAAACATTTGGTCAGTTCAACAAATTGAAAAATCGTATTTAATGTCCACCATATTTATTTCAATTCTAAATACAACACAAATACGTATGTTTTATAAAGTAATCTACATTTTGATAACAAATCTGCTGAAGAAATCGTAATATTGGGGATGTATTGGTTCCCGGGAAATGTATTTTTGTTCCATGATAGTTAAAAAATCATCACGTCACACTTATGTTACGTCACATCACGTGACTTTATTCGGTGCGGAGAACTGACGAAAATATTGACGAAATCTTGTGCCCATTTCAACATCAATATAACAAACAAAACACAAATTTACGTGTAAGTTATATACTCTTTATTTCAAATAAATACTTGGGTTTACATGGAGCCCGATGTTTTGGTTGGATTGCTAATAGGGAATGAATAATAAGTGATGATTCAGCGACATGTTTTTTTCCGGAGTAAATCCTCCTTTTTTGCATTGGACCTCGTCTGGCCCAGATCTAAGACGTCAGGAGTAGATAACTGGGCCAGACAGGTTTGGTTAGAAAAAGTGCTACATGCACCTACAACTTATATTTGATAAATTTTATAAATATTTTTAAGAATATTAAATACATTTAGGATAAAGCGTTGCTTGTCTGGATTTAGATATTTCAAAATTTCTTTTCGGAGTATGACACATGGTGAAATGTTCTCGATGAAGCTAAAAAATGGCTTCCGGTTCCAGACGTGAAAAAATTGAGGAAACTTTGAAATTATTCTCGCTTAAAGAAATTAAATATAACAATAGATTCAAACGGGGATGTGAGCTGATGTTCTTCAAATCTATACACATAAAGGTATATTTCATATTATTTATATGCCGTATTTACTGTGCATGTGACACAATGATTTACAATAGTTATAATACCAAGGCAGCTCAATCTTTCTACTTAAAGCCGGAATATAGAGAAGGCTTTGGACCGAAGTAAGGCAACTCCATCTCCACTGATTTGACAACATATTTCATGTTGTCATCGATAAGAAACAAAGTGGACTAAAACTTTCCATAAAAATCATTGAATATCAGAAAGGGAATTAAAAAATATATGAAAAATACAAATTTGAAACAGGGTGGCTTTGTTAGTCGAGATTATTTGGTGGTCTTTTTTAGTAAACAAGAAAAACTCATCATCCAGGAAGTTCTTTGTCATCAACATTAGCAAATAAAAAAGTACTTCTCAAACAAGAACTCAATCAATCCGTTTAATAGGAAATAACCAACTTCAAAGCACTTCTGGCTTACTTCATATTTTTCAAATGCGACTCCAGATACTTACTGTGATATTTGCATGGATGACAAATTTTTCTCCATTCTTGCCAATAAATTGGCATGCAATTTCGTCCAAGGAAGCAGAAAGAATTTGAAATCTATCGTGGTTTCTCGGAAAAGTAGTCTCTAAAATTTTAATATCTTGTTTCAATGCGACCAGACAGGCCATTCTGCTACTATAAATACATCAGAAACCTTTCCTTTGTACACAAATTTCAACTATTTTCTTCCGTGACAAAAAAACTTTTTTCAATTTCCAATATGGCGGTCCTTAAATAATACTGCGCATGTCCGTAGAATTTTCAACCAATTAAATCGCAGAATCCAGCGTAGCCAGCAGCATTTTTCAAATTTTTTAAAATTTCATAAATTTCAGAAAAAGTCGATTATTCGACAACAAGGTAAGATTTAACCCCATTTTTAATGACATGCCAATTTAACAATATAATAACTCAAGTCTTGCCCTGATTTCAAGTCGTAATTTTCAATAAAACTTTTGATTAGAACATTCATATTTTTCTTAGATCACGGACTTTTGAGTCAACTTTATGAAGAGGTGATCACGTGACTTTCTACCAAAGCGCTGGCTGCTTGTTTCCAATCCTGATAAAATTAAATGGCAGTAAGTTTCGAAAGAAATGTTGAATCAGGTCCGTAATCTAGATCGACTGACTCGATCCATGGCAGTGTCACTTGTCAAGAGGAAGTGATAGGCCTTAGTCTAGGTTCATAGAGAAACTTATAATCTCATATTTACCTGTTCTACATACCACCATCATTTGTCACAAATTTTTCATCATCCATGTGAATATCGCACATTGATGTGATTGATAAACACGTTTCATACATCCATTGAAAGCCCGTGGTCTTTCTTTTCTTGACATGAAATATTAACAAGTTATATTACTATTATTATACTGAACAAATATATCACTCTAATGAGGTGAATATCTGTGCATCTTTCACAAGTGATATTCCACAAAACCCAGAGGGTTAATGGAATATCATGTTGTGAAAGTGTCACAAGTATTCACCGAATGTAGAGTTAAATACATAGGTTCTGGGCCGATATAAAGATGGCAGCACCAATATAATCCAGTATTTTCTTTTTATAAATAAAGACAGTTCGATTACCATGCCATCTTTATTTTAAAAAAATTTCTATCGACCTTAGCCCATAGTTAAATATTTGTTTAAATATCTGTCACTGTCTATTGATTCCATTACATTCGACATTGTGGATGGGTCTCCAGTGATCCCTGTCTGTACAGTCTTGATTTCTCACTTCACAAAAAGTGTTATTATTTTTTATTTATTTCACGCTTTTGAACATTTTTCAAGTTTATATCGTTCCCAATTTTCTCCATCCAATATTAACAAAAACTTTGATCGAACATTTGGCTGATTTTTGTGTACATTTTCAATTAATTTTAAGCTTTCTTAGTCAGAAATTCCTTTAAATCTTCTCAAGAGACATAATGTTCAATTACAATTTTTCATTTCAGATGGATGGAGGAGGTGATCTTCAACCAGTTCAGCCTATATCAACAGAGCAGGCCATATCAGTTGAGCAAGACTTATCAATTGATAACTCCTTACCAGATGTTGAACAGGCCTTGTCTAATGAGCATCCTTCAAATGATCCCACAGACACTGATGTTAATGAAACTCTTTTCCTCAAACTTCAAAACTTGGAAACATTGAATGCAAAACTACAAGTTCTAAGGCAGAACAAAGTTCTTTGTGACGTAATTTTCAAAGTGCAAGATGCTGTTCAAATCTGGGCACATAAGAATGTATTATGTGGATACAGCTTTCAAGCTATTAACATGTTTGCTAGCTTGAATACGTCCACTACTGTTGAAATAGAAATGCCTAATGTATCTGCAACTATCTTGGAGAATATAGTAAATTATATGTATGGTGAGGAGTTACAGATCACCCCTGATAATGTACAAGAAGTCTACCAGGCTGCAGAAATACTCAAAATGCCAGATGTTACAAATGTTTGTCTCCAACTTAGAGCAGACTTGAATTTATCAGCAGATAATGTTGTTGTCGCAGAAGGCGAAAATACATCAGAAAGTAATGCCACATTGCCTCCAGATTGCAACACCTCAGCCCCCTCTGTTGGTGACCCTGAGAACCAGTTATTAGTTTCTGTAGCAGAGCCAAAGGAACTGACCCTTGAAGAATTCCAATCTCTCTTAATACAGGAATCATCGAATAATGAAGCTAATGAAAAGTCAAGGGGTGTCCCAGATGATGTCCATACTACTGAAGAGAATGTGACTAGTGAATCAAACAATATGAATCCACAAAGAGAAGTGATGCTATTCCCTGATCAGGAAGGCATTACAAAAACTATTGATCTCCGTGTATTAGGACCAACGTCATACCAATGTGGTCAATGTGAGAAAATATTCCCTACGATGACCAGACTTAGGCGTCACACCCTCTGCCATACAGCATTCAAGCAGTTCCAATGCCCTGAATGCGAGAAATGTTTTGCTTATAAGCATCACATAAAAAGTCATTATCTGGCCATGCATACTGAGAATCGGTCATTCAGGTGTGTTCCATGTGACAAAAGTTTTCCCAATTCCTCCTACCTCAGCTGTCATAACACAAAGGTCCACGGGGCAAGGAAGTGTAACAAGTGTAACCTTGTGTTTCCTGATAGGTTAACACTGGCAAAACACAAGACAAAACATTCAGGTAACTTGAAACATTGTTTATTATGACTTTTGTATATTTCCATTTATTCAATACATGTATATGAATATCCCACTATTTTAGTTCTATAAAAGTATAGATATAAAATTGTTCCAACAATAATAGCAATGATTCAGAATAACAGAGTAATGTAAAGTTTTTATTGTTAAGTTCAATTTTTAATTGTTACATTTGCAGTTGCGTACAAGGTGATTTGTTCAGAGTGTGAAATGAAATTCCCATCTTACTTCAAACTAGCAAGCCACATGAAGCAAGATCACAGCCACATTGGTAACTATTAGCTTTAAACATTATTGAATACCCCTTACAAGTTCATAAGTGTCTTGATATGATTTCTAAGTAACTGATTATCCGCAGTCCAAGAGTAAGAAATTGTTTTGGTATAGTCAAAACTAATTATTTAAGCTGCAGGGCCCACTTTAGACAGACACATTTTGAGATTTCTGACTTGAAAGTAAGTGATGTCGGCAACTGTGACTGACCTTCAGCAGCGTGTATACTGTACATTAGAAGTGGCTAGAAATCAACTGTAGCAACTTAGTCTTCACTTAAAATGACCATACCATAACAAAACATTTACTTGACTTTTTTATAGAAGATGCATCAATGTAGCAATGGGATTACAAGTATTATCCCTCTATCTATCTGTTCACATAAAATGTGGTCACTGTTGGAATCACATTCTCAATCACATTCTCAATTCCCATTCTCCAATCAGTCAGAAAATATGATTTATATTCCACTGCATTTATAAAAACATTGTCAGTATATTACTACATTCTATTACAATTAAAGTTTAGGTTTTTTCAGGGCATCAGGCAACAGACAAATTTCTCACCAATTTTCAACAATCAACTGTTTCCATCTTCCTTGATAAAAGTATAATTTCCAATGCTTTTTTGCCTGTTGTTTTCATTCATTTTGCCTGTTGTTTTCATTCATTTTGCCTGTTGTTTCCATTCATTTTGCCTGTTATTTTCATTCATTTTACCTGGTGTTAACATTTGTTTTACCTGTTGTATGAAGTTTGATTGAAACATGTATAGACTAAAGTATAAATAAAAATATATTGCATGCTCCATTGCTCCTGTTTCAGAATTTACTATCCCAAAGAAGGCACATCCTAGAAACAAAACAAGAGTGAAATCTGACACAAAAGAAGATGATGAAGTAGAAATATGCGAGTATTGTGCAGGTGTATTCAAGTCTCAAGTTGAACTCCAAGAACACATCAATGAAGACCACAAGGATGTGGAACGATCTTGCTCTGAATGTGACTATAAAACAGCATCTAAGGCCAAGTTTAGGAGGCATGAGCAAATCCACTATGGAGTGAGGCCATTCCAATGTACAAAATGTGATAAGAGGTTTACAAATGAATTTTTCCTGAAACAACATGTAGAGAAAGGTCATATGTTAAAGATTACGAAAAGGGTTACTCAAAATAAAAGTTCATCTTAGTATATTATCACAGGCTGGTATCGAAAAAATTGTCCGCTGTGACGGAGCGTGCTATTTTGCATAGAAACACTAGGAAATCCACACAATTTATTTTTTTACTCATATGTTTTGCTATATCAAAGAAAATTACTGACTCCATGCAATGAATATATCATTTGCGGGTAACTTTAACTTCTGTTTGAAGTCCAACAACACTAAGAGTAAAAGCTATTGAAAACGGCGTCGGAGTATCATACTCCAAAATGTACCATTTCTTTTATTTCTTTTTAATGGTACAATATAACCACACGATAATATTTACATATGTTTTAAGGATAACTCTGAAGGTATTAATGAGATTTTTATGTATTGGGTATTTTTAATTTTTTCAATAAAAAATAATGTTTAAATTTTTTGTCCGCTGTGACGGAGCAGTTTCAAATCTGAAATACGTTAAGAATTTAGATTTATAATATATCTCTTTATAACTACACGTTAGAGGAGGGAGCGTATCAAATCTCTTTCGTAAAGTATTCTGAAAAATAAAACGGAATAAAAATACACAATTCAAATTCTGAGATGTATATACGACCACTCTTTAAGCTTCTTTTCTCAGTTTGTACTGTAATCCAAGTTATGCATGGTAACTCATGAAAATGATAGTCAACTTTATTTCAGTATAGGGTATTTGCCTTTCGTTGTGCCTACTGTGGATCCATCACCTGACATGGTCATTTTTTATGGTAACTTATATACAGTAATATTATGTGGTAAAAGGTTATACATCTGTCGGAATGCAGGATGTCTGTGCGCTATTTTCGAATAAATTCATAGTATCCCTATTTATGCAATGGTTACGCGGTAAACACGATACAAAAATATGCCATATTCCGCAACGAATATGCCATATTCACTTGCGGTGTATGACAGATTCACCTGTGGTATATGGCATACACACTAACCAATGAGAACATGATACGGAAGTATGCAATTGTCAATTGCATCGATTGAACGAACAAGTAAAACTTTATAAATTATTATAATGATTACTGAATCAACAGTACAGTTTATCGAATACATCAACGTATGCAGAAGTATCACTCACCAATCTCACGTAATAAACTTACCCAATCAATCCAGGATTCATATTGTCGCGTTCCAGACTTTTGCCTATAGTCTGGAAGCGATGAGTAATTTTCTACCTTATACTTCTTTGTGGGCCCAGTCCTGGTTTGGTGGACTGGATGAAACGACAGTCACAAATGGCTTCAAATTTAATACATATATTTTAACACACACTAACTATACAAGAAAATAACACACTTTAATGCTCATAGACTAAAATGTCACTTTGATCTCTCTTTATAAGCTTGGTAGTGGCCGTTACTGCTTTCTTACTGCTTCCTATGGCTCTTAAGCTCTTTACTCGGCTCCTCTGCTACTTTATGGCTCCTATGACCCGTAATTTTGGCTCAGCTCCTATGGCTCGTTAGCTCTTTCCTGACTCCTCTGGTTCTTGGACTTGGCTCTTCTGGCTCTTTGTTCAGCTCCTCTGGCTCCTGAGCTTGGCCTCTCTGGCTCTTGAACTTGGCTCCTCTGGCTCTTCGTTCAGCTCCTCTGGCTCTTCGTTCAGCTCTCTGGCTCTTTAGCCTGGCTCCTCTTGAGCTTGGCTCTTCTGGCTCTTAAGCTTGGCTCCTCGTAATTTTGGCTCAGCTCCTATGGCTCGTTAGCTCTTTCCTGACTCCTCTGGTTCTTGGACTTGGCTCTTCTGGCTCTTTGTTCAGCTCCTCTGGCTCCTGAGCTTGGCCTCTCTGGCTCTTGAACTTGGCTCCTCTGGCTCTTCGTTCAGCTCCTCTGGCTCTTCGTTCAGCTCTCTGGCTCTTTAGCCTGGCTCCTCTTGAGCTTGGCTCTTCTGGCTCCTGAACTTGGCTCCTCTAGCTCCTCGTTCAGCTCTTTGGCTCTTTAGCCTGGCTCCTCTTGAGCTTGGCTCTTCTGGCTCCTGAACTTGGCTCCTCTAGCTCCTCGTTCAGCTCTTTGGCTCTTTAGCCTGGCTCCTCTTGAGCTTGGCTCTTCTGGCTCCTGAACTTGGCTACTCTGGCTCCTCGTTCAGCTCTTTGGCTTTTTAGCCTGGCTCCTCTTGAGCTTGGCTCTTCTGGCTCCTGAACTTAGCTCCTCTAGCTCCTCGTTCAGCTCTTTGGCTCTTTAGCCTGGCTCCTCTGGCTCCTGAACGTGGCTCCTCTGGCTCTTCGCTCAGCTCTTTGGCTCTTTAGCCTGGCTCCTCTTGAGCTTGCTGGGAAGGCTCCTAGCTGCTCGTTGCTCTAGAAGTCCTCCTGGAACTATCTCTGTCAGTGGTGAAACCAACTGACAAAATAGTCCACTGTGACTCTTCTGGCTCTTTAGCCTTGCTCTGCCTCTATGGCTCTTGACTTTTCCAGGGAGGCTCCTCACTGCTCGATGCGATGGAAGTCTTCCTGGAACTACTTCTGTCAGCGGTGAAACCAACTGACAAAATACTTCTCTGTGTTGGGAAGTTTCTCAATTGCACCTTACAGCTAGTGGTGGAACCGAACTAACTGTAATGCAAGGTTGCTTCCAGAATGTTCCTTGCTGCTTCCTCAAGGACAACACTGAGCTCTGAATCTCTTTACAGCACTCTTAAGAATGGAAGTATGAAGCTATTCTTGCTTTCAATTAAATCTAACAAATATCTCACTAACTTAGAAAGCCTGGGACACAAAATGGCGACACACAGTAGATCTGGATACCCAATGAACTAGAAATTACGATCAGTCAGAGGCATCTCAGTAGCATGCTGATCATAAAGTCACAAATTCTGGTACACTTGAAATTCAAAGTTATAGTCAGTCAGAGGCATCTAGTAGCATGCTGGCCATAAAATCACATAAACAAAAAGGAAAAATCTCACCCGAATCAGTGCTGCTTTCTCTTAGGCCCAAAAATTCGAGTTTCCTCTCCTGTTTCTCCTTCTAAAACGTCCTGGTGTGTCTTCCCGCTTTATTCTTCTTAACTAATCCCAAATCACTGGCTGATGGCTACTCCAAAGCACGATAATTGTAGATTTTCTTCCAAACCTCAATTCACACTGCTTCATTCAAGATGGCGACCTTCGTTTTCTCTCATGTGATGGCATGAGTCATAGGCACAGGTGAACACATTTTGAAATCAGGGGCACTGCATTGCAGCAATTGAGGGAATCCCCTTCCTGTCTTGGAATACCCACTTGTGAGCAGGGGTTTCCCTATCCCTTGCATAAATGGACCAATTAAACATAAAACTGCACCAGTGGGAAAATTAAAAAGGATAAACACAAAAAATGAAATTTTCCCACAATATATTAGTACGCACTGACAGTATTGGTAATCCAGCGTAGTTTTACATTCAGAGTCGATTCTCGCAACCAATCAAACCAAGTCTTTCTGTATCACGTTTTTCACCTGCGGAATATGTCATATTCAACTGCTGTATATGGCATATTCCGCAAGTGAGTATGACATATTCTGAAGATGAGTATCGGGTATTCACTGAATTCAATGCATCACATATTCACTGCGGAATATTGCATACTCACCTGCGGAATGGCATATTCACCCGTATCACAAATACCGCGCAACCATGAATGTATGCCATATTCCACGTAACAATTTACACTACACGTGACATTCTAAGACGTCTTGGCGAAAACATATTAGATATATTATGTTGAGTTTACACCATGTTGATTCATGTTGATTTCTACAAACCTCCGAAAATGCTAAGAGTGGTCGTTTTTATATCTCAGATTTACATTACCCCAGATCTCCCAGAGGCTACTTGTCATAATTTAGGAAGTGATTTGTGACGTTCTTTCTTCTTAGGGTACTTTTAAAAGGTATAATTTGAATCTTAAATTCTTAACGTAGTTCACAGTTAAAACTGCTTCGTCAAAGCGGACAAAAAATGTAAACATTATTTTTTATAAAAAATATTAAAAATACCCAATACATCAAGATATCATTAATACCTTCAGAGTTATCCTTAAAACATATGTAAATATTATCGTGTCGCTATATTGTACCATTAAAAAGAAATAAAAGAAATGGTACATTTTTGAGCATGATACCCCGGCGCTGTTTTCAATAGCTCTTACTCTTAGCGTTGTTGGACTTCAAACAAAAGTTAAAGTTACCCGCAAATGATATACCCATTGCATGGAGTAAGAAACTTTCTTTGGTATAGCGAAACATATGAGTAAAAAAATAAATTGTGTGGGTTTCTTAGTGTTTCTATGCAAAATAGCACGCTCCGTCACAGCGGACAAATTTTACGATACCAGCCTGTGATTATATAGATTGTAAATACAATTTGAATTATACATTGATTTTTTTTTTATGAAAATGATTGATTTATTTTTATATACATGAACTGTGTATTTTACATGTAAAAAGGTTCACTTTGAGTGGATTAGAAAATATTAAGTTATTTTCACGTTTAGTATATTAGATGATATATAGTAAAGTATGCATACAAATTGAATAAATGTATTAAAAAACAATATATAAGTAGGTTTAATGACATTTCAAATTGGCAAGAATATGGTACATGGGTGTGCTTTTTCTCAGGATCTGATAAAAGTATCTGATTGCATGATGTCTGATAAAGCTGTTTGAACAGACTTTACAGGCTATTCGGACATGTTTGATAAAGTTAATACACCAGTACATGTTCTCCCCAGGATTGTTAATTTCATAATTTAGAAGAAAGGTCAAAATTTCATGTGGGTGCAATGATGATACTTCTAATTCCCAGGAAGTAACATCCCGGAAAAGTTGTGCTATGAAAGAATATTGATAGAATTTTTCCTTACCTTTCATTCTAAAAAATTGTATTTACTGCTGTATTTGATTTTAACATAAAACTTAGCTATGTACCTATATAAAGGTCCCATTGTTAAAAATCTTAATGTGTTTTTCCGTTTTTAATATTCATTTGAAAGAGTACGATACTAGTTTTAAAATAATGTATGAAATATGCCATTTCGGTCTAATAAATTTCTTTAATGAGATCCAAAAAGTTATATGCACAATCAAAATTTTTTTTTGAAACTGATTCAAAAAAGAAGGCTCAAGGATGTTTTATCATGAGGTATCGCTTTCGTTTTTTCGTCAGATAATTCAATGTCTGGAATCAAATTGAAGATAGTGCTTTTTCCTTTTGATGAAGTATAATTATGCATGGAAATACAAGTGCAAGAAAGTGCTACACAAACCCTGTGTTAAATATAGTGTCAAGATGAAGGTTGTTATGTCACGGCGATATGTACTCCAGAACTTGAATTTTGTGATTCTTTCAATATTTTTCAATGCTTTACCGTAGTGACACCTTACGTACCATGGCACCTTAAGTCCTGGATCTCCTTCCTCCTGTAGTTGTATATATATTCCAACTGTGAAATCAGTCCGAATGATACACCTGAACTGCTAAGTCCTTGTTCCTGTTCTCCAACTATTTTGTAAGTGTTGGTGGTTCACCATCGTAAAGTGCAGCCTTCATATGCTACGGTAGCATACGGGAAATATTATATCTAAATCGCGTAAAACGGTTTAGTACATAATTGAAGCTTCTGATGGGGTCAAACTGCGAAGTCTCCCGAGTTACCCGAAATTGACCGAGCGAAAGCCTAGGTTCACCTGTTTTTCCCGAAACTAAATTAAATTAACTCATAATGATGACAGCATGCATCAAATGGCACTTAGTTGATCAATGTAGAATGTGCTTATATTTACATGGTCTTTATAGAGCCTTATAGATAAGGAAGCCAAATTGTAGTCAGTGTTCACTATCATAAGGTCAGCGTATACTGAGAATATTCATTTTAATATACCAACGATTGTTATCATAGTGCAGGCGTTTTTGATGTTGTGATCAGTTTGCTGGAAGGATTGGCGGGCGTCCCACTTAATTTTGTCTTCACGTTTCCAGGGAATCGTTTGACGCATTGATTTCAAATTTTCAGGTATGTATTTTTGAATAAAAATCTCGAACTAATTGGTCTTGGGGATTCTGGTTAAATGTTGAGGAAGTCATATCGCCCTTTCCGTCGTTAAATCCAGACTGAAAAAATCTTGTTTAGGCACTTCGAGGCGAACTGTTTAACGTTTTTAGGAATTTTTCGTATCGTGAAAATCTAGAACTGATTAGTTTTTGAGAATTCTGAGTGAGTAACTGTTAGAGCTTTAGGGCTTTCACTTTAAAATCTTGTCTGTAAAATCTTGTCTAGCCGTTTCAGGCCAAACCGTTTGATGGATTGTCCAGGGATGTTTCTTTGTATGAAAGTAACTGTAAAACCTTTTTAAGGTGGCCATTTTGTCTTTTCCATCCTAAGATCCTAAAAGTCTTGTCTACTCGTTTGGCAGATTAATTTCAAAATTTCAGGGTGTTTCATTGTAAAATATCTTGTAAAGTATTGTATACGCATTTGATGGTTTGATCTGAAATTTAAACGGGTGCTTCTTGGTATGAACGTTTAGAATCACTTAGTTCTTTTATTGTGGGTGTTACGCAAATATACAGGGTGTCTCAAAAATGTACCCAAAAGTATATCAACAGCACAGATAAAGCAATTAATATTAATAATTTAATATTTTCAGACACTTTTTGCATGGCCATGTAGACAAAACTCTCCCCAATACATCATTTTTATTTCAGTCTAGCCTTTTAATGCTTTCACCCTTTGCCTTTTGCAATGTAACCTCATATTTTGATGACAGCATGTATCCTTACTGACATTGTTCATCACATTTGATAATAATTCCGATGGAATGTTTTGGATTTCTCTTTGGATGTTGCCTTAAAGTTGTTCTTGGTCTTTTTGCTTGGAACGAGCATTAAAACAGTCCTTCAAATATCCCCAGAGAAAGATGTTTGAGGGTGACGATGGCAGAACAAACCAGAGACTCGGTCAATTATCGGCAAATGATTCAGGAGTTACCTTCCAGAGTTACGCAGGCTAGCCAAGAGACCAAATGATATCCTGCAAATGAAAGCACAGTGGTCTCAAATCGATTGACCCCCCTCTACACACAACAAAGGCTACACTATCACTAGAATTCCAACCAATGTAGTTTCTTGAACGTCTGACCTCTCTGTATAAGGGGGCTATAAGGCATTGTGAGGGCCTCCCTATTCACCAGATTTGACGGCCCATACTTTTTTCTCTGGGGCATTTTCATGCTAAACCCAAGCTTAGATACCTAGGACAACTTAAGACCAGCGTCCGAACAGAAATGAGACATTCCACCAGAAATATCAAATGTGATGAACAAATGATGTAGTGGTAAGGATGCAGACTGTCATTGAAACTTGAGGTTACATTGATTATGTGGTGTTAAAGGTAAAGGGTAAAAGTATCAAAAAGGCAAAGCTGAATTAAAAACTGTGTATATGGGAAAAAAACGTACATGTTTTGACTCCAAGACCATGCAAAAATTGTCTGATAATATTGATTCGTTTGTCTATGCTGTTGACATACTTTAGGATACCGTTTTTTGAGGCACCCTATATGTCATTTTGCGCAATGAATATCATATTCACTTGCGATGTATGACAGATTCACCTGCTGTATATGGCATCACTTACCAATGAGATTCTCACAACCAATCAAATCAAGGCTTTCTTTATCACGTTTTCACCTGCGGTATATGTCATACTCACCTGCGGTATACGGCATATTCTGCAGGTGAGTATCGGGTTTTCACTGAAATCAATGTATCATAATGCCATATACCGCGTAACAATGGGTGGCCATTTTGGACTTTCCGTTCCAAAAACTGTCTATTGTACACACTGTTCCTTGTTTCATATGCAGCCAACCATGGATGAAGATACGAGCGCTGGAATAACTTTGCATGATAATGTTAAGAAAGGATTCATGTCAGTAAGTAAACATTCTTTTGACACTTATTACGATGATTATGGTTCTCGTAACAATTTCGAAGATGTTTTTCCATGTTGCATTTTCTTGTTTTGTCAGTGGGATGTCGTCTTTGGGCGAACCTAATTAACCCTCAAATGGTTTTAGTAGTCCGTTTGGACTCCAGAGCACATTCTTTGCAATAATTGTATCAGAAATAATTATTCAATCTTCATAAAATTCCATCTAATCCTCAATTCATCCATTTCCATTCAGATCAAATAAACCAGATGTAAATAGCATAATAACTTTTTGTACAACTTGATGTCAAAGAACATCACCATAACAAATTTTATATTCAAATAATAAAGTGATAGAAATAAACGCTGCCAAGTGCTACAAAATGCTAAAACACCAGTCCCCGTGTAATTCAAATTATTCATATTTTCTTGCATCCAATATAAATAGTACATACATGTATATATTATGAATGGTAATTGAATAACCTATTTAAAACTGAAATCAGAATGAAAAAGCTTCTCTGTTTACAGGGTTATTGCAGAATTTGTGCTGGAGCCCAAATTCAACGGGTGCTATACACACCTAGCACGCTTTAGTCACAGAAGTTCAAAATCAAAATACATCTTAAATATCTACAGTGTGGCTCAAAAGAAATGTTACAAGTATAAAAATGTTAATATTTTTTATCATTTTGGCGTTTACCCTAAAATATACTTGAGTTCTTTAACTGCAAGCTCTCTCGATTAATTTGACACCAGCAGAATCAAAATCCTTCCGTGTTTGACTGCAGAGGACAAATTTCATTAACTCACGTGAAATCTGGCTTGCGCCAACTTCCCAGTGGTTGAGCATGTCATGCCTTTCCTGGAAGGCATTCCAAGATTTCAACGCCATCAGAATGGACATTTTCGCCGTGTTTGATGATAACAGGATGGCACTCATCCTCAAAGGTGAGGGGCTCTTTGGAAGTCAGACCATAGCATTGAATAAGCAAGTCGAGTGGCACCAAGGTCACCCGACTTAAACCCCCTGGATTTCCTCTTGTGGGGCCACCTAAAAACCGAGGTCTTCACAACACTTCCAACTGATCTGAATGAACCTTATCAAATAATAATTGATAAAGTTATGTGGTACAACAAGAAAGGGAGCTCGTCAAATGTGCTTGTAGGGACATGTTAAGGTGAGCGCATGTTTGCGTGGATAGGGATGGTGCCCATGTAACGAAAGATAGATAGATAGGAAAATTGCAGAATGAATCAATAAAATGTTAATCTTTCACTTAGAATAAGATTAAATGTTAAAGGAATGTTTCCTCTTTTTTCCTTTGTTCTTTTCATTCATTGAAAAGTTAGTGCAAGTCAGATTTCACATGAGTCAATGAAATCTGTCATGTGTAGTCAACCATGGAAGAATTTTGAATCTGCTTGGTGTCAAATTAATCAAGAAAGCTTGCTCTTCAAGGATTGGATTTATATTTTAGGGTAAATGCCCAAATTATAAAAATATTGACCATTTTGAACTTATAACATTTTTATTGAGACACTCTGTATTTCTTTGAGGAGATAAAACACTATAAGGACATGCTGAAAACTCGTTGGTCTATAAATTATAGGGAGAATCCTATGACAATCACCGACCAACTTATACTGAGGAGGCGACACGTTTTGTTCTGGACAAGTGCAATTTTGAGGAAAATGGTAAGGAATCTTCCCAATATAGAGGAAACCGAAACTAGCTCATCAAAAATTATTCCTGTTATAATTATCCCCATTATATATTATATTTTATTTATTCCATAATACTACTGTTTTCCCAGGGAAACATGAAGGAATAAAAATCGTATTGAATCGTATTACATGAAAAATTCGTATTGTCCCCGGGAGAAAATCGTATTGGAGCGTATTACATGAAAAAATCGTATTGTCCGCGGGAAAAAAATCGTATTGGAGCGTATTAACCTATTTTGGGTTTCCCGGTTATTTTTAACCTTGACTAATAAAATGAATATGGGTTTTATTCCTCGGAAAATATTATATTGACCTTGGGCAATATGATATTGACCGAGGGAGCGCAAACAATGTGCATAATATTTGCATTATCCAAATGTAACATTTTAGAGTGATGTATTATGGAATAAATAGGTTATTTCTGGTTGGGATTGAATATGGGTTTTATTCCGAGGAACAATATGATATTGACCGAAGGGTAATATGATATTAGCCGAGGGAGCGACCGGTCAATATGATATTGCCCAAGGTCAATATAATATTTTCCGATATATATTCAATCCCTCCCAGTTAATAACCTATATATACGCTCGTATATTCCATTATATCATGTTTTCCCTGGGAAATAAACTGGGAATAAAATTGATATTAAAAAAAATCCCGTATCAGATCCCGTAGCCAAAATCCCGTATCAGATCCCGTATTGGGTCCCGTATCAGACAAAATTCCGTATCAGAACTATCAGAAAATTTCATGAGACCTAATATTGTGTTATTATGGCATATTATGATCCATTTTAGGATCATAAATTATTTTAATTCAAAACTTGTTAATAAAAGTTGGAAATGTCAATCGATAAATTAAACTGTATCATTTAATGTCACCATCATTGGGTGACGATATATACAAAAAAAGTAATAGGTTATTGATGTTTGTGATGGAATTTGATTTTTTCCTAGAGAAAATATGATATTGGTCTCGGTAAATATCGTATTGACACTCGGGCTGTCGCCCTTGGTCAATATGATATTTTCAGTTGTCAATATCAAATTTTCCCTCGAAATAAAATTCATATTCCATCCCTCCCATTAAATAACCTCTAAATATTATACTATCATTGCATGATCTTTCCAGACCTATGCCAGTATGATATACTTGAGCTTGGTGCAGGAACAGGCTTGTTCACCAGGCAGTTACTAAATTGTGCAAACCAGGTGAGATAACACCACACCCTATGATTAGTGATCGTACCAATTTCGAATGATGAATGGAAAATCAATGGAAGATCAAAAAACACGCCACAAATGAAATGAAAATTAGAAAAAATCGTTAATGACAATGGAATTATGAACGTAATTCCAATAAATTTTTCCCATGTGATTCTTGAAGAAATTAAAGCAAATTGCACTTTGAGGATTGTGGTACAGGACAAGGAGTCAATGACAATTTTTATAGCCCAGGTGATTGTCATGTCTCGTATTGCTCTAAATTAGTTGAAACGACTCCAGTTAAACATAATGCAATATTTGCTAATGAAATAAATGATGAAATTGACAATGACAAATGAAATGAATGATAGTGTAAATATGAAATCTAGTGATAGCTATAGCAATAATGATGCAGCTTCAGATAAAAACAACGATGAGTTTAATTTTCATGGGTAGCAAAATTTTTCTAATTTCCAGGTGAATGTCGAATCTTGCATCATCCGAATGTAATTTTAGGCGATCTGTCTGCATGGGGTGGGAATTGAAGACACAGAGAAAATATCATATTTACCTATCAACTCCTATCTATTTTGTTTCATGATCCGCATACATGCACTGATTAATAATAACAGTGAAGTACGAAAATGTTCATTTCTTCCAGAAAGGCTTGAATGTAATAGCTACCGATCCATTGGACGTGTTTCTTGTAAAGTTGAGAGCGGCTTTACCAGGCGTAAAGACAATGCAATGCAGCGCTGAGTCCATCCCATTGCCCAGTTGCTCCGTCAAGGTACATGAGGGAATAAAAGGAATACGTGATTTGAGTGATTTTAATTTTTTCCATTGTAATATTTCTGTGTCTAACTACCAGTGTATTTGAAATCTACCCTGGGACATATTTGTAGTGTTAACTTTTTATTAAAGATATTTCGCTTTTCTAGAATGTAGTTGCTGCTCAGAGTCTCCATTGGTTTGCAAACAATAAGGCTTTCACTGAAATAAATCGTGTTTTGGCACCAGGAGGAAAGCTCGGTCAGTGTTTTAAATTTTATACCCTTCTCCTACCTTGATCACTATATTCGCTAATTCAACTTTCGGCTGTCAGCTACCGGATTAACTTACTGTTTTATGACTTACTAATGATTCATTTAAATATGAAAAGTGGCAGGTACTATTCAATTTTAAATGAGTTGCCCATAAAATTGTAGGTTGATCCGGTAGCCGGAAGTTGCATTCGCGAATTGTATATTGTGTATGTATGGACCAACTCTAAATACATGATTTGATGTGATTGAGGTGCATTTTTTAAAGAAATTTGACCTTTTTGACCTGCCTACTAGTTTTTGACATTTTCTATAGATTGCGTATTCAACAGGTGAGATTTTTTGATTTTCGTGAGGAGTTTTGGTTTAACCTCTTTTGACTGACAGAGGACATACTGGGGTATGGTGGCATGATAGCAAAACATGTCCACAAAATTTAGTTTTCTCTGAAAGACAACTCATTTAGATGGGAATGCGCATATAGCATTTGGCTGTGTCAGGCCTTAGCCATACATTTTATAACATACTAGAGTAGAGCGCCCTAGTGAATCCTTGCAGAATTTTTAAAAACGTGTAGCATTGTTGTAGCTTTTTTAAAGATGCTGCTGTTTCTGAAATACAAGAATTCGAAATATAGCAGGTGTACTCAGAATGTTTATATTTAGTAAAGAGGTGAAACTTCTTAGGCTTCTTAGGTTTCGAAGATTTCTCTTTAAAATATAATATTAATACACCTTTCGTTACTTTCTATGGCTTAATTCATGCAATTCCACATTCCTGGAAACAACATATTAAAAACAATCGAAGCAACAAGGCACTTAAAGACGAAGAACTCCAAATCAAAAACACGACAATAAACGTCAAATCTATAAAAACTAAAACCATATATTGGATTCTCGTAGATAATTTATTTAAAGAACCCAACGGGAAAAAATATCTAAATTCAAAATTCAACTTTACAGAAGAAGATTGGAAACACATTTTTACATTACCTTTTAAGACGGTTCGAGAACCGAGAATACAATGCCTTCAATACAAACTTGTTTTAAACGTTACACCAAATAACCAATTTTTAACTCGAAAGAAAATAAAAAATTCAAATTTATGCGACTTTTGTAAAAACGATAGAATAGATGATACGATACACTTCTTCATAGAGTGCCCAAACTCTGCCAAGATTTGGGATGACTTTAAAACATTTTTCAATATTGATCTTACAATTAAAGACATAATTGTCGGGAAATTAGATCAAGAACGCGACCACACTTCAAAAGCAATTAATTTTTGCATATTGTATATAAAAAGCTTAATACATAAATCAAGACTCGTTAATACTAAAATAACATTTATGCAAATAAAAGGAATCATAAAATACAAAATCAATGACGAACGAAATATTGCAAACTTAAATGGCACACTGGAAAGTTTCGGCGAGACTTGGAGATGGGTTATAGATAGATTAAACCAACAGCATTGAATTTTTTGTTTTATTTTATACCCTTTTATATTAAAATACTGTCAGCCCAATACGATTGAAAGATAATCGTATTGCATGTATTGTATTTTCAAATGGTACCCTTTTAAATTAAGTTAAATTAAATACTCTGAATGGAGATGGTCTGAAAAGCTTAAAAACGTATAACTGTTGAATATAAATATGTAATAATATTATTGAATATTCAATGTATATGGATTTGATCTGTATGTATATTATGTATAATGTTTTGTGTAAGAAAGATGCAATAAAAAAAAGAAAAAAAAGAGGTGAAACTTCTGTTGTAGTGTTCCTATGGAATACAATGGATCGTACTCAAAATGGGACACTAACTTACGAGATCGCTACACACATGTTGTCTTTAGAAGATAACACCTCAAGCCACGAGATAATGGATGGTGCACTATGGAAAGGAGAACTCGAGAATTGTTCAGGATATTCACCGCTTAAAGGACACTGTTTTTACCAGCATCTTAAACATTCAGTAAGTACATGTCATCCACCTACAGGAGATGATTAATGATATATAACATATACATTTGCCTCAGCTTGTCTCCGTATTCGCGAATGCAAATAACGGCTGTCGGCCACCGGATTAACATACTATTTTATGACCAACTCATTTTATTATGAATAGAATAATGGCAGGTACTATTCATATTTAAATGAGTTGCCCATAAGATACTAGCTTCATCCAATAGCCGTTAGTTACATTCGCGAATACATGCTGAGGCAACTGTATATGAGTTAAAAATGCATTTATGTAATGTGTATTACGTACAGCGTATGGGACCTAATAAAGTGAAATACTCAAAAATGTTAGAAAGTAAATAATTTAATGCAATATATGAGTTCTTTTATGTGCTAATCCATGTAATAGCAAATCAATTATGTTGAAAATATGGTGGGCCTTACTGTGAACCCATTCTCATCCTCTTGATTGTTTTACCAAATCGACTTGCATGAAACGCCCGATGGACTCTGGTCCTGATTTTGAACGGTCATGGGCTGGAGAGTGTCCCGAATTTTTATATATATGAAGGAGGTGAAGTATTTTTATAACAACCTCTGTTCCAATGTCCCTATGGAATACAAGGGATCGAATTCTAAAAAGGACACTAACGTACGAGATCGCTTCACATATGTTGTTTTCAGAAGATAACACCTCACCTCGGGGTGTCTTGAATTTTTATGTTAGATCATTGTTTGAGATGCTACTCATCTCTAAGGTAACTCATCCCAAAGATACAATTCATCCCAGTTATATAATTGATAAACAATGTTGTCTCGTAAAATAATGTATAAATCCCCTTCTCATTATTACTGTTAAAAAGAGTTTTGCGTATTGAACATACCTTCATTAACTCATTTTTAATGATATTTTGTGTTTTGAAGTGTCACTTGGACGTTAGGACCCCGGGATTAGGACTATGTTTTAAGACTGCAAAAACAACGTGTAATGGTACCTTTTCAATCCGACAATACATTATTTTACGAGGTACATTTTCTAAAATGTGTATATAAAAGCTTAATGAAAAAATTTAGATTCAAATTGATATAATATTAGATATCGTGAATGTAATAACATTGTATTAGTAGACTTTATCCTATTTTGCATCATTTTTATGAAAAGAGGATTAGAACTTGATGGCTTTGTCAAACAGTTATTAATAAAATGATCTAAACGATTCTCAATCTATTAAAAAAGTGTGTAATTGCTGTAAATCTATACTTTACTTCTTTTTACATATTCTTTTAAAAGTTGAAGCTATGCTATGTGAATTGGGGTGTCTTGGGAAAAGGATGAGGTGTCTTGGTGATGATTTCTCATGAGATGAAGTTCTCTCACACAGGTCAATGTGATCACCAGTGCACCAAGTCACAACACAACACATCATTTAATAGATTATATACATGTATTTAATGATAAAAAAATATATAAAAAAAGACTTTAACAATTTTATTTTACAATTTGAGATCAACTGAGTTAGCCTATTCCTTTAAAAAGATGTACGCAAACAGTAGGCTTGAAATAATTGAGAGAAAACTGGCGTATTCTTTTAGACCAGAGTTTCCTCCGGGATTATAAATGGGGTCAGGAATTGTACCAACGTCCCCCATTATGTCTGTATTACAAAGACTAGTCGAGCAACATTTAGTACACAGGCTAGATACCCCTGCGGCTGTCTGGCATGCCTCAGAGCACTCACTGGCGTAGGCGCACCCTCTTGTAAACTGTGGCAATGAACCACTAGTAGTCGTTAATTTATCAACCTGCAAGTACACGTACATGTATATCAATATTGAATAGACCAGTTGAATTTTGTTTTGTTTATTCTACCTTCTTTAGAGTTTTTAAGTGTAAACCAGAATCTGATAATATGTACGTACACAACTCTGACATCTGGTCTTCTAAAATAGATAAGGTTCCACCATTCGTTATGCTTTATATATAAATGTAAAGATTTGTTTTTGTAAAAACAGTCTGTACACAATCATTCTATGGATAAGAAAATTGAAATCTTACTTTACATATCATGCTGTTGGATTCGCACGTCACCGAGGTAACATTTGATGTGAAGTTAGTAGCGCAGGATCCAGAATCGGAACACTGGTAACATCTTAGTAATGTTGCAGCTGAAGCAAACAATTATATGAAACTGTATAATTCAGTTAAAAGGGATTAATTGTGAAAAACAGGTCGATATATCGTTTTTCACCTTCGTTCACTTGGTTTCCACCCATCTGAACACAGTGAAGACCTAGCGTGCGAAGATTGTCATTCTTGAAATGAAGCGCGAAACTTCCAAACATCATCAGATTACCCTATGATTTAAGACACAGGAAAGCATAATAGGTCAATAGGACTCGATGAAATTACCCCCCCCCCCCCCCTCTCCTTAATGAAATTAAATTCATGTAGAATTTAGTGCGAAACTCGTGAGATGTCTCCTTACCCCCTAAATGTATATTCTCTACATGCATAGCAATTTTCCATTCACTCATTAATGATGAAATCAATTGTGAAAAACCGGTCATCGTTGAATCTTGGAATAAAGCACCAAACTTTCTAAACATCATCAGATCACATTTCCCTGATTAAGAGCCTTGCATAACTACATGCTCCGTCAGATAACGCAATCGCCCATTCACCCCCAAAGGCGTAGGGCTGGGGTGAGCATAATATTATCTTTGAACCAATGTTACCAAATTATGTTTTTAAAGTTGCAATTTTTGTGTATATATAGATGCATATCATTTCACATTTTAGTTTTGACATTCGTGATATATGAAACATAAAATATGGTAAAAATACAAATAATACAAGTTTCAATGAAACTATTTACTGACATAACTTGAATCATAATCTCATATTGGCAACAGATTGCTTTGATGATATTATATCGACTATATTTTAAAAATAAAAATTAAAATAACTTACGATCGATCTCAGTTTCGCAATGTGTACCTGCGTCATAATTCCCAGTACAGACACACCTGCCGCTTTGAGAACATGTCTAAAAATTTAATCAAAATGTATATCGGTGGCAGAGAAAATAAAGTCCCCTGGTTTAGTCCAATTAGTAATGAATATTACCTGGACCTGACCTTAATGACTCCTACTAGGATGAATTATGTAATTAGTAATATTAGTGTCCCAAGATGAAGCTCTCTTTTAAAAAGCGAAGTCAAACGAATGCAATGGGCATCTACGTGGCTAATATGGTAAGCTAATATCTTTACGGGCAATAATATTAGCTTGTATTTGCGAATTACATTGTGATTTAACTTATTACCCATAGAGTCAGGCCCAGAAAGTAACCAAAACTAATTTGGACTATATTTTATGAGTACTATGCTTGTACATTAGCAAATGTAACTTTCGTCTGTCGACTACCGGATTAACCTACTATTTTGTGACCAACTCATATAAATATGAATCGTATCTGCCACTATTCCATTCACATTTAAATGACTTGCTGGCCATAAAATAGTAAGTTAATCCGGTAGCCGACAGCCGAAAGTTACATTTGCTAATGTACAAGCATAGTACTCATAAAATATAGTCCAAATTAGTTTTGGTTACTTTCTGGGCCTGACTCTATGGGTAATAAGTTAAATCACAATGTAATTACTAATATTTAGTGATGGCTAATAAGTTAGATCACAAAATTACTAATATTCAGTGACAACTATCGGTAACTTTCTTTCAAAACTAAACTTGAGTCACATTATATTTATAACATTTCTTGTTTACTTACCCCACGCCCTGCACATTCTATACCATTCACCAAACTACACGTGACGGCCATACCTGCAGCTGACAACGTAATACACTTCTGCGCCTTGCATACCTGTGGAAAAGTCAAAGGCATAATGCACGTACAGGCATTTGCAATTTGAGTCATTATTAAGTTATTGTGTAACAAGTTGCTTTAAAATCAAACTTCAATTCAAACTATGAATACTTTTACCAGCTATCAATTTAAAACTTCAATAGTAAACTTTAAACATCAATATATTTAATTATGTGCTTGTTAAATTGTTCAGAGAGATTTTACACTTAATGCCTTCATGACCAGTTTAGGGATCTGAGAAGGGAGAAATATTGTTAATTGTATTTTGGGTTAGCACTGAACTCTTAACAAGAGTTGATATTGAGGTGTGTGGGGATATGACTCAAACAATTTGCTTACCATGCCAGAGCCACATTCTGTACCATCAGCCACCAAGCCAGGATTAGGCATATCAGCAAATTCGACATCACCTCCCCTGCAAACCAATAAGACCAGAACTTTCAAATTAATCTTACAAATGTGGTAAATGAGACACCGCTTGATAAATATTAATCACAATATTAATAATTTATTGGAATTCATTACATATTACTCAATTCACATTTACAAAGAAAATCAATGACAATATTTTAACTTAATAACTTTAATTCTACACCAAAACATTGATCACGCCATGGCAGATGTCACACATTCAACTATTTTAATCCCTATGCAGAAAAAATAAATTCAAAGCACTGTGTGTTGTTTTTCGAATTATAATCCCAAATTGAATGAGTAAAAATAATTCTAAAATAACATCGCTTTACGAAGGGTAAAGTTGAAAGCAGTGAACGGTTTTGACTTAGTAGTAATAAATGACTTAGTTATCCCTAAAAAATAAATCAATTAAAAATAATTCTAAAACAATATCGCTATACGTACATGTTGAGAACAGTAAACAGTTAGAATGACTTAGTTATTCCGAGAAATTAAATTAACTTGTAATTAAAATAATAAAAGACAGTGGTTGCTCAGTAGCAACTCGCCATGGGCTTTCAATAGAATGCCCATCATGAACTTTCAACCTCTGTTGCATGACCAGTGTTTACATACTTGCAATTGTAATCACCACTTGTAACAACCGTTCCCGTGACCGTGTCTCCAATTACAGGGAGGACTACTCCTGGATCTGGATGAGCGCACTGGATTTTACCACACATTTTATCCGCAGTGGCACATTCAATATATGTCTCTGTTCCCTGTGAATCAATGGATGCAACTCCGCAGTTGCCATATGCGTCCGTCCAGCCATTCAGAGTATCGTAACACCAAGCAACATTATTACTAGCACCTAAATGATAAACAGTTTCGTATAACATATGCACGTTTTTTTTATTTTACTGACAAGGAATAACGTATTTCTCTAAATTATTTGATGTTATTTATTTAATACGTTTGGTATTAGGCCTGGTGTTTGGTAGCAGTTGGTCTTTGAGATATCCGTTAACTGTTAACATGGGCTGCACAAAAAGAAAGATGTCAATTGAAAAACCCATGAATAAACTTACTTGGTCCAAATATATTCTTGCACTGAGCGTCTCTTGACATGCATGACCCACGATAACAGTATGCCTGGAATAAATTTACATCATTCTATCATTGAAATTTGACAAATTTTGTTTCTGTCGCATACATTTTTTTAAATAGAACTTGATGAAGGAGATATGAGACGCCCATTTTTCATCACAGATAGAGTTCAATTTTCACACAACTTATAAAATATATAAATTCTTTTACGTTCATCAATCATTATTTTGTCGAAAAGTTTCGAAAATCATGAAATATAAGAAGAAATATCCGCGTTAGGATTTAGAGTTGATAATGTTTCACCGCACCTGTGTTTATTATTTAATACGAGCAATCTAACCAATGATCTTGTCTAGATTTTACAATCACGTGAAACAAGCATGAGACAAGAACCAATCACACTCTATTTATACCTAACCCAAGAGGAGGGAAAGCCCCAGAGTTTCAAGATGACAGACATAATTACCTCTCTTGCTTACCACCTTCGTTCGTTCATCGGCTAGTTATCAAATACTACACTTCGATGGGATGTTATAATTGATATAGGCATATTCCGTACACCTTTCTTTATCTTGATGTGAAATGAGAAGCTATGATATTGGTTAACACGCCAGAAATGAACATAATATTATTCGAAGCGTATTTCGAAAATTTTGAAACCGTCATTGATGACGTCATTTGTTTGTCGACTTTTGACCAATCAGCGACCGTGTCATCTCAATACAGATTTACATTATAAGCGTATGTCATCTTTGAACCCTGGTGTTTCTCCCCCTCTGACCTAACCCCTAGAAATTCATAAGATACCCTGTTTGTCTAATTGTATTGTTTAATATATTTTTATCCTTTTATATGTAGCCTTATTTTGATCTGATTTTGTCTCCTCACTAATAGCTTTCACTTTGCTGGTGCGTATCCGTAGGCGTATTTGCCTGATTTAAAGATGAACATTCTTGCGGAACATTTATCACTCTGAAGCGATCGCCGGAATCTGCTACGTCGACACAATTTTTGGGGAAACGGGAGTGGTGCTAATCATCTCTGGTAAGAAAATGTTTGATTTGAGTTTTATGGAAATTATAGCAATGGGACTTCATAATTTGTAAGACGTTAAACACTGGACGGTGGTCCACTCGATTAGGTTAACGTATGTTACCGAAACGGTTCACTTCGGTAACAAACGGAACCTCGAAGGCACGATTTTTCTTTATTTTACGAGTTGTAGGCAGAATTCCCACGACATTGTTATCACAAACTTGTAGATGTTTAAGAAAATGTATATATAATTGTGAACAAATAGACACGCGATACTAACTTCGACCGTTAATTTGAATTTTTGACCAGTACCAGATGCTTGAAAATCAAGGATTGCGAGTCTCATACTGCACCGTTTTTCTTCAAACTTATACCTTTAAAAGCAAAACAAAATTGCCTTTCTTTCAGTGCATTACTTTATTGTAAAGAGTCCCTCGTTCTAGCAGCGTCTGGTCCCCAGCTGTTAGAAGGCCTTCTTACAGCTGGGGACCAAAATGCCGCTGGAAGTAGGGACTCTGTTTAAGAGAATAATGTACCAACAGAAAGGGATTTTTGTTATGCTTTGAATGGAACAAGTTTGAAGAAAAACGGTGCAGTATGAGACTTGTAATCCTTGATTTCAAACATCCGGTAGGTCAAAAATTCTAATTAACGGTCGAAGTTAGTACCGCGTGATATAACAGATGACAACAGAATCATGATTTTTAACTATTTCAAAGGCTGGACTCATCTGATTGTTCAGAATCAGTCAGCAACCTTTCATAGGTAAGTCGATTTATTACGTAAACGAAACAGGTTAGAATGCACAGATCTTCTCCATTTTTGAAATTCCGTTTACGTAACAAAAATAAAGTATTAATTATTCGACAATTCTGCTGTCTTCTGAGCTATTTGAATTGTTCGCAAACATGCATATTTTCTTGAACATATGATACTGACACACGTTTGTGATGAAAATGTCGTGGGAATCATGCCTACAACTCGTGAAATAAGGTATAAAGAAAATTCTTACCTTCCCTTCCCATATCCTTGAAATTACGAAGGGAGTTTGTTTAGCATGGACACCTTAGCCCCCACCTCCTCCCTTATCAGTAGCTGGCAACGAGCATGTTTTTAATGAGAATACCTTCTTGTTTAAATTTTTATTCGTGATATTTTACCGAAAGTAAGTGCAGACTTCAAATTAAAAGAAAAAACAGCACGGGGTCCAGGCTATATTTGGTACAGATTTTTCTTTTTAATGTGTTCAAAAGTTAGTTTTATCCTTTACTGGCTTTGCTAAAAGACAGCCGGGTGCCTTAGTTCGTGTTTGAACTTAAAATCGTACCAATGTGTAATGCGACTGTAAACTGAACATACGTTTACGCAATGTGCTGTTTTCAATTATTATTTATAGATAACAATGGAAATGAAACAAGTGCTAACGATGGTGTTGATTTTGGTCTTAATTGAAGCTTCCACATGTCACCGCCGGAGAGGCAACAGAAAAAACAAGAGCCACAAAAGCCACAAGAGCAACAAAGGCATAGTGGAGTGTGAACCATTGGAGGCTCCGGTGAATGGCTCCTTACAATTGATAAACGGTGTCGCTATTTATTCCTGCGACAAAGGTTTTGTATTGAATGGAAACTCTACAAGAGTATGCCAGACAGTGTACGGGCATGCATCCAGTTCAAGTTCCAGCAGTAGCCACAGTCACCACCACGTTACTGGAGCAGAGTGGAGTGGTGATAATACGACCTGTGAACGTAAGCTTATCCTACAAAATTGAAAATTATTACTTCTCATAAAAGATATCCAGTAATCTGCTAATTGTTTTATTTGTACTCTACTATTGAATTAATACAATTATTGTGTAATATGTTTGTATTTGATAAAATATATAAATACTAGACTACCTTATTTAAAAAGCAACCCGCGGCATTTATGAGGAAAAGGTAATCCGATAAGTTGATTTTACATACGCCTTTATATGAACCTAGAAAATGTTGATGTCTGAGTGCTAAGTGTAACGAGTTGTTAATATTATCGAATGCATTATAAAAAGAATGCATCGACATACATTTAGCTGTGGATTGCGGCAACCCTGATGATGGAACCAACTTCCTTAGCGTTTCATACAGCACTACAACTCTGGGATCAATCGCAACCTTCAGCTGCGACGATTGTGGAAGATTTTTAGATGATGGGGACCCAATCACATGTTTGCCCAGCGGAGAATGGAGTTGCAGCCGAGCTATCTGTAGAGGCTCAGGAGGTACTTCTCGATTCTATTGGCGAGAATGTGAAAAGCAAATTGTGTGACACACTTTAATATGATCATTGATTAATCGAAATGTGACAATCACGATATCATCAGTTATGAGTTAGCCGATCTCCTATTATATTAAATTGCTGAAATGAGCATAAAAAGTCGCATCGCGACAGAACATGCATATACTTACTGTCATATTATAATTGGTCTCAAATCTTATTGTTTAGTGCAATGGGCGCAACGCCAGTTAACAACCTGTACAAGCCTTACTACAGGCACCGAGGCGACTGTGACGGGACTTGAAAACTTAGGGGATTGTCAAAGAACTTGTATCCTTTATGACGAATTTGATTGCAAGTCTTTTGAATGGACCCCAGGAACTTCCTCTTGTAAATTGAAAGATTTTATTATATCAGATCCGGGGGTGGTAACAGACACGTCATGTGCAGGCACTACATACAGAGAAATTCTCTGTAATAGTAAGTCGTTCCGATACTTATTACAATCTTTCTGTTTTTGTCATTTTAATCGGCTAATACGGAAATGTCTTCTTGAGATGTGGCCAATTTGAATCAAATTTGAGTGATGAAGCTAACCCTTTAAAATGGTGGCAATTTTGAAGGTAGCAGATATATTCCTTCTCGAGCAAAAAAGGTCATATGCTTATAAGGTATACAGACATGAGCCTACAAAATCTTTCAACTGGTATTTGAGTTATCACTCGGACATATCACATGGAATATTTATTAGGAAACATGCACCGGGAGGTTTTGCAATGAGTGGCCACATTGGAATCCACATTGGAATCCCTTTTCTCATAAAACACTGGCCCTTTAAATAGGATGAGATTTTATTGCTGGTATTTCAGTTATAAAAGAAATCTTGAAAAAAGCATTTTAGTGGCAATCTTGCAAATTCATTCATGAATGGAGGTCCTATGCTCCAAAGATAATCATTCCTATCACCAACACCATATTTCATCAGCGAATCGGAGAGAGTGTGAAACATTTGGAACTCAGGCCCCAGGACTCAGACTTGTAGTATTTTACAATGACAAGAAAGAATATACAATCAAACATGACAAGAATCACATGGTCTAACTGTTGCGTGTTGTTGTGTATTTTAGGTCGTCCCTAAGATGAACCAAGATGCAGAAAGAGGAAGTGGACTATACAAGAAGAAAGAATACAAACTGACTGATTTCTGCTAATTAGCTTGTAATCTTAATTCATAATAAAATAAATCCTATCTGCATTCTATGTTACTTTTTTATGAGGGAGGATAACTTCAAATATACTTGTAGAGATCATTCTTAGAAATAGGTTATACGATAATCTTGATGTTTCCAAATCTATCCAACACAATTCTTATTTTCTTGAAACTGTTATAGGAAAAAGACAATAGATTTCGCAACTCACTTATAGCATGTTTATCATTCCCTATGAAGCGTTTGATTACGTCGTCATTTATTGCTTTTCACCTTATGATATGAGAAAATAGTTCTTAGAAATAGAAATTGTAATAATAAATTTACTAGTAGCTTGCTAAGTTGCTATACAGATCAAACTGAATGAAACGGAAAGGAATCAAAGCATTGATAAAATTGTTTGGAAGAAATCTCAGTAGGTGAACCCGATTCACAAGGGATTGCCAAATACAACAAATATACATACATTTTTTGAGAATAATCCTGAGCAATTCAATTTTTTTTCCAAAGAAAATTTTCTATCAATATTCTTTCATAGCACTATTCTGGGGTGTTATTTACTAGGAATTAGAAGTATCATCATTGCACCCACATGAAATTTTGACCTTTCGTCTAAATTATGAAAATAACAATCCCGGGAAGGACGTGTACTGGTGTATTAGCTTCATCAAACATGTCCGAATAGCCTGTAAAGTCTGTTCAAACAGCATCATGCAATCATGTTGTCAGATCCTGAGAAAAGCCCACCATATGTACCGTATTCTTGTCAATTTGAAATGTCATTAAACCTACTTACATATTGTTTTTTAATACATTTATTCAATTTTTATGCATACTTTACTATATATCATCTAATATACTAAACGTGAAAAATGTAAGTTAAAAAAACAGTGACATTCTCCAGGGCGTACACAAAAAGTATACCCAACTTCAAAACCAAATTACAAGAATCCTGAGCAATTTTTTAAAAGTACAAAGGTAGCAATAAAAATCCTAGTTTATCCTCTATCAAATGGTACCTAGATCATTATGTAACTGTCATGTATGGCTGAGCAATCATGACCATTATGAGAGATGGTAAAATCAGCACTGTGCCAAGTTATCTTCCTGTGTGACAACCCATGTGTAATTTGCTTGGTATTGTTTTTCTGTTACATTATGTAAGAACTGGACTCGGGACTGAGTTACTTTGGCTAAAAGCTTAACTTACTCTAAACTAGGCCTGAAAAAATGGTTCTGACACCTGAGCAGTAGAGCCAACAAAAAGTTCTAAAAAGCAAGTCCAATGTACTGTTTAAGAACCCCTTATCTCACTTTTGAAAACGGATTCTAGTAATACTGTCCCACATGAATCTACTTGTCGAGACCCAATCAACCTGAGTTCTTTTGAGAAAATAAGGATTTTAGCAAGGGTGTATTGACTTTACACGGGGGATACAGCTGACCTCAAAGCTGCATATCATCAAATAGAAGTCTCATTGCTGATCAAGAAGCTGTTGGCATCCAATTTCCTGAGAGCGAGGTACCAACAAAAAGTTATGGAAAAGTATGCAAAAAGTGAGAAGACTTCGTCTCCTTACCCAATCAGAAGTTTCAATTTTGAGTGACATTGCATACTAATTCTCAAGTCTTAGAGATTATTTTTATGTATACGTTAAAGAGGACAGCGCAATCAATCTGTGTCTATTTATGCTATATCCATCAATCTCAGTTTGCAAAATTCAGTTTATGAATTACATTTTTCACTCCAGGTCACACCAAAACAAGAGACCAAAGCCAGAAATTCTTCAATTAGCCAGAGGAAGTCTTGCCTTGAGACCTTGTTAACGACTGGAACAATCCCCAAGAAAAGGTCATCTCTGCCCTGACTAACAATTGATCAGAAAGGGGGACAATCCTAAGTTCCTAACCCCATTTAGAAACACGATGATGATCGATAATATATCTATCTTAACACAATTCACATCGGTAAAACATTAACATAAACTCGATGGTAAAAACATGGTTAGAAGTTCGCGCGCTGAATAATTAACGTTTCGGTGGCCATCTTGCCTTCTTGACCAACAAGCACACACTGCTAAATTTAGGTACGATATTATTCACCCCTTGCCTTGTTTAAAGTATATGCAATATATTTGATTTCAAATAGCTCTAAAACATGTAATTATCTAACCGAATTCTAGTACTTGGGATTTCTCTCACAGGGCACAATTGATGTTTGCATAGACTGGATTATTTATTTTCTCACATAAACCCTGGAGTTTCTCGCTTATAACCCCATTTATTTGAATAAAACAAAAGTAACGTGCATTCAAATGAACGGTCAGTGGGTAGAACATTCGGAAAAAGCACTCTTTCGCATTGGAATTGCAATGTCGTGAACAATTATATGTTTGTTTTTGTAAATTATGAGAAACTCCAGTTAAGGTCACTTGGAGATAAAAACTTACCGTGTCGTTGTAACACAACGTGCCATCTATCTTCTCAACATCTGTCGGACACTGCAAAAATGTACAAAATGTTAGCATTCTTTAACATTAAGAATGCAACAATAACACGTTTTTCATTAGGACGTGACACATCAATTAATGTAATCATGTTTTCTCCGGAGCAAATGATGGATCTGATACTTTATAGCTTATATGTCGTGATTAGATTGATAATCACAAATATTTCTTATAACACATACATGTGCATCCATTAATCAACATCAACAACACTACTGTCGTCAACATACCTCTCCCGAGTTTCCACTGCAGGTTTCATTGAGATCACATTCCCCATTGGCGGCTCGACACAAAGTCCCTTGCATGGAATATGTACAGTTTGAACAGCATTCTCCTCCACCGCATTGCGATGATGCCTTCAATTTACAGGTTCCTACCTCACAACATGGATCTGTGGTTGGGCATTCCTATTAAAAGATATGCATATATGTAATAGTATATTCAGTTTTTATGTCACCACCACAAGTGATGATATATCGTTATAGTCTCTCTCTTTTTTGTTGACGGTGTTCGGCGTTCGGTGATGTTTTGCTGTTTATTAAGCAAACGTGATTTCCTTAATCTAGGCTTGGTCTTAAATACGATCGTCAGTTTGTATCTTTGTCTTGTTTTGATATCAGCATATCCAAAGGTCTCGTTTGTAATGCTTATTCCTAAATGGTAAGGGAGTGTAATAAGTGTAAGGGTGTTAAACGTTTTTGTTTCTCTGTGGCTTAGATCATAGCTTTGGAAATGTTTCTTTCTCTTGATATGTCTTTGGTCTCCCCTCTTTTGGTAATCCATGTGAATGACTCTCAGAATTTGTACTAAGCTGTAGTATATCGTTTATAGTGAGTGTTTTTAAACGGCCTTGTGTGGAACCGATACCCTCGCGTCTTTATTTCTTCTATATTATTGTAAAGAATACAGTATGGATGAAAGGTTCTTTGGTGTTATGGCTTCTGATCATGATATTGGTACTTGAATGGTGGGCGGAGGGGGGGGGGTGTATAAGATACTGTTTCTTTTCAAGTTAGATTGTAATTTGAGATAGTTGGGGTTTGTTTTCCTTATGGCTGGTGTACTCTTATATGTTTCGTTTTTCTTGCTGTGTTCTGTAACAATTCTTAGTCCTTTCTATTTGGCACCTGTGCATACATATTCATCAAGCCTTTTCATGTTGGATTATAATTTGGGATAGTTGGGGTTTGTTTTCCTTTACCATTTTTGGTACTTTTCCGTTGCTACTTGCAATTGTGCACACATAGTTCTTCCCTCGTTTGTAAATTAATTTTCATAAAACAGGTAAAATATATATTATACCTGTGCAGTGCCACAGTCACACTCTTCATCGGCCTCCTTGATGGCGTTACCACACACAGGGTCACTGTACAATGATGTAGGGGCATCGCTTAGGCATGTAAACACATTGGAGTTTAAGGCATTATTACTACAATCTGTAAATGCCTGGGGGTCTGAAGTTCTGAAATAAGACAAATAATGCTAAATTGTTAATACAGATGCAATCCTATAAAATAATGGTATATTGAAAAAGGAAACTCGATGTTCAGCAACCGCTTGTATAATATTCTGGGTGTGTCTCTAGCTTAAAGGCAGAATCTGATCTACATGGGGTGACAAAATTACAAGCAACATGTATAATTGACCTACCAATCTATTCCTTACAATAACAAATACAATATCTCCCAAAAAATTCACAATATCTTATAAATTGGTGAAGTTATGAATGATTTAAAGTGCAAAAATGAGTGAAAAATGTTTAAATTCTCCCAAATAAAAAGAATGGTAACCATTCTTATAGAAAAAATAATACATTATTGTAAAAATCTTTAGTTTTCCTGGAATAAAGTATGCACTTTTGTGATTTTTAGAAAATAGACATGACAAGGAATGACATGAGACAAAAATATTTTAAAATTGAAACAATTTTTTGTTTAGCCTGCTCGCTATATCTGATTCTCTCTTTAACGCATGCATTCGTTTGATTTGAGCACTTCAAAAGATTACACGTCTGGAGAAAATCCTCACCCAACTGCTGCCATAATGCATCCACCACTCCATTCGCAGCTGCATGACCCTAAAATCACGAAAAATATTATATAATGTCTGTTTGAATGTGTTATACACGGTAACTCTCATTGTGAACTGAATTCTATAAAAGAAACCATGCAAGAATTTGAAAAAAAACTAGGGATATTGTGACAAAACCAAAATGTTACCAATTCCTTCAGAATTTTCGGCACTCGTAATCTTAAAGAGATGGTAAATAGAGCAGTTCTAAGCACATTTGCATTGAATGGACCTTTCTTGAAATAATATACAGAAATACTGCTAAAAATAGTATGACAATCGTACCTCCATCATCATGTAACATTCCCAGGTTGTGACCAAGCTCGTGTGCCACAGTTGATGCTACACCACTGAGGATGGAGTTGTCTTCATTAATGCCACAGTTCCTCGATGTGCTACACATTGTATTTGTTGTTCCGTAACCCACAACACTGCCTGTTAGGTCAACTCCTCTATAAAGACATACAGGCTATAGTAAAAATATTTAGTTCCCCAAAAATAAAGTATTCACTATGGGAAATTTTAGAGAAAATACATGACATAGAAAAATTTGAGTCCAAAATATCTGACACTTTCTTTCATTCGAATAATGATCATGGCATCACATTTTGTAAAGTGTGTATTGGCTAATTGTTTTACGTGATGAGATGTGCCACATCGAAGTCAGTTGTATCACGTGGAATGGAGTCAGCACTATATGTGCAAAAATTGTCTATTGTGGTATCATAGTTAGACGTTACGGTGGCCCTGTTGCTGTCTGTCCAATACTCTACTCCAACCAGAGGGACTCTCATGTTCAAGCTTTTATAGAACTGAAACAAAAAACTATAGTGTCACATTTCTCAAACGTTGTTGTCACGTTTTAAATGTAAGATGTCTCTATTGATTTCTCTCTTGATTGTGATTTCTCTTTTCTCCATTTGTGTTTTGTCTTCAAAATACCAATCCCAAAAATCGTTCTGGAACAAGACATGACTTTAAATAAGTTCTTTAAAACTTAGTGGTTGGCAACTTGGCACTAGAGAGATTATTGAGTGATACGTACGGCATCCACTGCGTTCGCTATCTCCAACGCCTTTGTCCTTGTGGCTGCCAGGGAACCATATGTTGCATACTGCAAAAATAAGTGTGTTGGGTGTTTGATGTTTTATACCTACCTTGATCGAAAGAGCACATCTTAAGAATGAGTTGGCTGATACTTTATACACTACATGTCCGAACGTTTATGCCCTAAATATTTTAAATCAATATATGAAATTGATTAAATACAAAAATACCGTAATGTAATTAATAAATTGATTGATAAACACATTTCTTGATACACTTACTGCGGATGTATCGAAAACCAGGAAGAGCTCAACATATCTTGTAGCAACTCCAGTGTTGAATTGAGTGATGGCATTTCGTTTCTGCAATTTAAATTGAATTGAAAACTACTACTAGTTTGCTAAGAAAACTATACCTAGAGAAAATATGGAATACCTCTGTGAGTGTGGAAGGAATATTCATACCATGTGATAAACGATTTAATAATCACAAATAGCTGAAAGCTTAACCAGGTAACTCCATTTACTTATTAAAGAAAGGCGTTATCACCCAGGCGTAATCACCCAAATATGTTTTGGCTCACACTGTATCTGGGACATGTTTTCAAAGAATCAAATTGATAAACGACAGGATGATTAACTCTATTACATGATAGATATACCAGATTCTCAATTATATTTGTATGGGTTGAGATATGCTTCAATCTTACCTTGCGTATATTATTGGTAGGACCATGTGGAAATACTCCTTCAAATTCAACGGACGCTGTAAGGTTTGTATGGCCACATGTACGAGTTGACTTGATGTCCGTCGGTATAAGTATGTGAGTGTTGGATGCAATATCGTCTCTTTCAATATGATATGTTTGGTCAGCTATTGCAATATGGCCCCTGAAAGTTAATTTATTAATTCATTTTAAAAATGAGAGTGGGCCTACATGGAATAGTAACAGCTTCCTGTTTATAGGCTACATTATAACTGGGGATTTATGAAGCAATGGGATAAATATGTATGCAACTACTATACCTTATTGCTTGTGATGCAAATTTATTTGGCTACTTATTGCATGGGATAAAACCTTGGTAACTAACCTTTTGCATGGAGCATATCAATCTGTGTGGCAAATAGATTCCATGTTGGAAAACATATTTATGTGGTTATCTTTTCTATATTGGGTATATATTTTGATCAATTCGGCAACGTATTTTATTGCAGTATCTGATCTAATAACGCCAACGTTGTATCTTACCTCAAACCATCACAGGTGCTAATCGTTACAAGGGATTCTGCCATATCCCGCACTGAACCATGGTAGTAACAGTGCTCGGGTGTCACGTGCTGTTCCCTCCTGCCATGATCTCTACTGTGCGTCACTTCTACTATGTTCCTAGGAATCAATTCTCTGAAAAAAGAAAAAAGATTCTCTGGAAAGTTTAAGAAAGCTGATGATCTTAGAAAGCTGATGATCTGACTCGCTGCTCCACATGATTTAACAGTTTTGATGATGATACGATCTAACTAATGTGAAAAGTAACTTGTTTTTAAAATTTGCAATATGTAGCAAATGTGTTGGGATGTTCGTACTACTGTTCAACCGATTCTAATTGGATAATGGGTATGCTGAAATTTTTAATGTTCACGCCAGAGATACTTCATGACTCGTATTATGAGAAAATACAGAAATAATTTTTGGTGCCGAGTTTTATTATTCACTTATCTCATAGGGTAGAACACTAGTCGTGACCCTTTCCCTCTTAAGCTATATCTTAATTGAAGTACATTGAAGATTGTTTTAAATAACCTCTATTATAAAAAAAAACTCATCTACCTGTTTAACTTTAGATCTAAAATGATATCATCAGAATTTTTCCTTTGTAATAAAAATGTCGTGGCTTCTGCATGTTCCTGTCCAAACATTGTAGTCGATAAATCTCGTTTGTTCCTTCCATTTTTATCAAGCTGAATCGGAATCAGCTTTTCATGATGCTCCTTCCCTACATACGGAATAGATCTTTTTATCGTCTTCGATGTCCTTTGAACACCATCACCTGCAGCTACCAATACCAAAGATAGCAGGTGAACAGTGAACACAATCAAGACTAAATTCATTGTTTGGACGCGAAAAATTCTTGTTTCAACATAACTTCTGCTTTTTTTGAGATATGATATTTTGGTTACTGACCGACGTCCAATTTGGCTTCATATTTTCAATTGTCACTTAGTTTATTATGGCAATATCGAAATCGATAAGCTCTCTATAGAGGTTAAGACTTTACTGGGCCGATAGTGTTCAATGATATAATCCAAAGCTATTGTTGAACAAATATTTATTGTGTCCAATCAAATCTTGGAAGTTCTATTCAACATATAGGATATTATATTTGGCGATTAAATACCCTTTACCCCAGCGGCAAATGTGAATTTTTTATTTCATATTTCTCTTTGTATAATTCAAGGTCTAAGGATGTTTGCATTATATTCCAAACACTTAGAAGTCTCTGTCTGCATAGCAATTGGGAAAGGAAAGTAGTCTCCACTCTCCAACCCCAATCAGGCTGTTCCCGATACGCAAAATTCGCTGGGATGTTTCATGGATCCGTAAAGGTTTTGAGAAATCAGTGCTATTATGATATTGTTCTCTATACATGCAATATACAAGACAAGCTCCAAAAAATGTTTAAAAATGTCCAATTTACAAGAAATTTTTCAAAAATTGCCATATATGGCAATGGCTCCAATTGTAGCTTAACATTCACATACATAAATAAAAAAGATTCTTACAATTTAAAGTAGGCAAATGAAACCACTTATTCTTATATTTAAATGTTTAGCGCGTTTCTAAAACGCATTCAGAACAATAGTACGATGTTTTGTTTATTGCCACTATGAACATTTCACGACAGATAACCAAGCAGTGGTATTGATCCCTTTTCTATACTTTGAAACCCTCGAAAGAAATAACATGTACATGTACACTCCCCTCCATAAGTTTGGCAACCTTTTTCCCCCATTGAACTACGTGTTAAAGCCTCTTTACCTTGGAATTTTTATTTACTTAACCTGCGATAAAAATACTTATACTATTGATGGAAACGTAATTTGACTTTAATTCCAATACCTCCAAATTTTCTCAATTTTTTTCCTCAATTACAATAGGTCGAAAATTTATGATAAATTTGATGAATTTTTGAAAATCGACATTCCCATGTTAACCAATGGGAAGTGGTAGGTTTGCCGCAAGACATATGACTGAATATCCATCCATCCGAGTCCTTGCAAAAAATATGAGTTAGGCAGGCAATTGAATTTGCTAACTTAATTTAACAAAAAATTGATATGTTTCTTAAGGTTCAACAAAGTTATAGGGCTTTAAAGTCAAAATTGTTTTTCAAAAAACCTCTCCCATTGAAATAACACAGGAGGCGAAAATTTATTTTCAAAAATGACTTTGAAGGGCTGTAACTCTAATATTCATCACATAAACTAAACACTTAGTGTTCAAAAAAGTTAGACAATTCAATTTTCTATATACAAATATTTTTTGCTGAATCTTTTACTGAAAAGATATCCTGATTTCTGATTTGCCCCGAACCCTCCATTTCCCATTGGATTACATGGGAATGACGATTTTCAAAAAGTCATCAAATTTATCATCAATTTATGACCTATTGTAATTGAGGAAAAAAATTGAGAAAATTTTGAGATATTGGAAATAAAGTCAAGTTTCGTTTCCATCAATATTATAAGTTATTTCATCGCCGGTTAAGTAAATAAAAATTCAAACGTAAAGAGGCTTTAACACGTAGTTCAATGAGGAAAAAAGGTTGCCAAACTTATGAAGGGGAGTGTATGTGTCATATACCCTTCACGCAGAGTTATACTACGAAGCCCTCGAAGTTAAACGAATGCAAAAGATATGCCATATAAAAAGATCATATATCATATCATATCAATATTTATTTCAAGTCGGATATTTTCTGTACAATAAACATTAGCAGTAAAATGCAAGTACACTGTACGCTAGTCTCTACTATGTAAACTGGCTGTGCAAAAGTAATTTTTTCAAATATATGAATAATTTTGGAAAAAGTCGGATCACTACATTAAATTAATTTGAAACTATTCACAATTATGCCACTAATATCAAAATGCATGTCGAGTAAGTATCCAAGCTAAAAAAATTAATGATGTTTTATCCATTTTCCATTTTCAGAATATGTTTTCAAAACTGGAATAAATTTCCCACCAAGCATTTCACAAACTAAGTTAATATGTTCATACAATGCGTTTACAATGAATTTCAAAGCAAGCATTTCACAAACAAAGTTAATATAAATATGTCCAACTGCGTTTTGAATGAATTTCCCAGCAAGTATTTCACAAAAAAAGTTAATATGTTCATATTAGGTAAATAGTTCATACAAAATTATATATAGTTGCTGAAGAAGCTGTACAATGTGCAATTAGCTGCAAAGGTCCAAGTGAAAATAACCCAGAAAACCGAAGACCTTGAGAATACGTCAATGTCACTTATTCATGTACCTTCATGAGATCTGGAAAGTATGGACCACTGCCCATAAAGGAATTTTTACTGTGAGTAAAGAAATAAGACTTAATGATGTTTTATCCAGTTTCCATTTTCAGAATATGTTTTCAAAACAGGAACTAGATGCTCGTGACACCTAAACTCATCCTAACAGAACGATAAGACTATTTTCTTGGAATATATATAGGTTGAAATCTCTAGGTTCTTTTAAAATTGGTCTTCTCTATAAATAATTACAATGTCAATTTCATGCGTCGTCATTTTCGAAAGCATTCAAACTGGACCCTGGGCGCCACACTTCTAATATGTCTACCTCTGGCTGCCTTCACGTTTCGCAATAACACTCTAGGATCAACCTTGCAGTATAAATTCAGGGTTGTTGACTGACACTCAATAACTCGATCATATGATCTAATACAACTACAAGTCCACAAATGAAATCTCATTGACTAGACTCATACGTTCCATTTGAATTTCTACTACTACGTACTATAGCAACTGCGGGCCTTCTCAGTGATCACATGGTGAATTGAAAATGGTCAACGATATGAAATTAATAGATAAAACATTACACATGTCATTTTAAAAAAGTAATAAACACTTTACCATTGATGATATTTGGGTCATGAGAGCTGCCTGACCACATATCATGCTATTTATAATTAATCAAAATCACGACCATTAATATACATGACAGTTAATAATTCGTATATTACTAATATCAATATATTCAATAAAATGACCGCTTAAAATAAAGAAATATCAATATAAAACGGGAAAGTCAACGTTTTACAAATTGCTGAAGGCAGTGTGCTTCTAGAGAACGTTTGAAACGTCACCATTGAAGATGAATCTACAAATTATTTCTGGAGTGTTGATACTCTTTGTTGTATCAGGTAAGGATATGTCGTTACGATTTTATGATAACAAAACACATTCAAATAAATAATTTTTAGTGAAAGTTGACACATACATATGTGTAGCGCCTCGTCGTCATATACATATGTACATATCCTTATTTAAGTACATTTGAGAAACCATGATATAGAGTGCGCAAGTGTCTTAGTCGGGGACTACATCCCAATTGCTACATTGAACGATACTTCCATTTGAAAAGGAATGGATAAATTCAGAGCCTTTTGCTGGCCTTCATCTATACAAAAACAAAACTCTGCGTATTTACCTTTCTGTTGGTAGCCAATGCTGCGAGATCATGTACGGATAATGGCAAGTGTAGAGTGAAAGATTACTGCAATACCAAGACTGGTCTATGTGAGAAGATGGTCAAACCAGGAGAATTGTGTACCAAAAATAGCATGTGTAAGGGATCGTCAACCTGTGAGGAGGTAGTGGACAGTGATCCAATTGAGAAAAGTGAGAACTGCGTTCAAGTGTCTTTTTTATGAAATTATATAATAATGTGAACGATAAACAGATCATAATTAAAAACATTTTAATAGTGAATTGCATTAAAATACTAGAACGGAGGGGGTGACCAGAGGGGGCGCGATGTATCTATAAAACATGATAAGAGATGTTACTTGACTTTATTTCCTTAAACTCCAAATGTACTCATTTTCACTCTTCAGAGATGTAACATTCAGTTTCTTACTGAGTTCATACAAGCGTATCGGCTCGGTTCAAAAACCTAGATTCAAACATGACCGTGCTCTAATTGAATTTCTCAACCAATCAGAATGCAGCATAGCCAATATAGAACGTTCTCTAATTCTCCATAGATGCACGACCGTGCTCTATCCAATCATCCGGGAATCTACGTATTGTATTTGCATTGTGACGTCACACCTGGGAATGGCGAAAATAACAGCGAGCTCGAGTTTGGTGTATCTCATGTAGCTCCAATCCCCAATTCTCTGAACAATGTTTCATTTTTTATATGTTTGAATCGGAATAAATAATGATAGGCCATTCAATATGGTGAAATTCAGCACTCGTTGGACAGAATGTCAGTACAAATGCACTCACCTTCGGTTCGTGCTTTGTACGACATTCTGTCCAACTCGTGCTGAATTTCACCATATTGAATGGCCTATCATTATTTATTCCTTAAATAACAGATTCACCATTCCGTGTACTTACTCTAGCAGAAATCGGCTATTACCCCCCCCCCCCCCATTCGTTCATATTTTCCGAGGGCACAGGGCACAGGGCATGACATATTTGGGGTAAGGATTACAAAAAGAGCTCCCGGATTACCTAATCCCTGGCATTCTTTTAAAAGGATGTACTGAGAGATGCAAAACAGATACTGACTGCAGGATTTATGGCAAGAACAAGTACTGCAGCGCTGGTGGCTTTGCGACACTGAAGAACGGATACTGCAAAGCACAGAAAAGAGAAGGCTCCGACTGTTCTAGAAGTCCAGAATGTTTCAAAGATCTTTACTGCAGGAATAGCAAGTGTAAAGGTAATTTGAATAAAATGCCACTTACTTTCAGTAAGTATCACAATTTACTGATGTAACTTATATGCGTCTCAATGAATTGCTAATAAAACATTTTTAATATGTTCATACAAAAAAAATATAATAGTGGCGGAAGAAGCTGTACAATGTGCAATCAGCTGTAAAGGTCCAAGTGAAAATAACCCAGAAAACCTAAGTCCTGGAGAATATGTGAATGTCACTTATTCATGTACCTTCATGAGATCCGGAGAGTATGGACCACTGCCCATAAAGGCATTATTACTGTGAGTAAAGAAATGCAACCATCACATACTAGTATAACAATGTACTAATTAAAAATATGGACAATTTAGGTCATTTAGGTTCAGAGTTTCGAAATTGATAGCAATGTTTTTCACAACGTGATGTGTGAAAATAATTTAATCACTTTACTCAATGAGTTAAACACATGTTAAATGTATGTTGAATGTACTCTTGTCTTGTATCCTAGACTTTGAGTTCGGGCTACTACCCTCATCCAATGTCTTAATACAAGATTTTCGTAGTTTAAATAATCAACATTCCATAGAGTTCACAGTTCTTTGTAAGTTAATATATAATACAAACTGACAACATAAAAATTTGACCATATCAAGAGTTCCATAAAGATGAGAGCAAAATAACAAACAGCGAAACAAGCAATACTTATTGAACGCCCTGTATATACGTTCAAATGAATAGACTCGACCCAAGACCCAACAATCGTGCATCATTTACATTTTATAAGAAGCTTATATCCCCTCGAATAAAGTTTAAAAAAAACATTAACTCCAATATTTCAGTCTGAACAAGAGGACCAAACTTGAGAGAGTTGAAGCGAAATCCCCAGTGACAATTAGTGGCTCAAGAGCAATACGAGCAGGTAGAGGGGAGTTTGCTGTAGAGGTACAGGGGATGATGAAAGGATGTAAAAATCATCGGAAAAATTGCAGAGCATCGAGGCGATGTATAATGAAAGCTTGAACAAAGATTGATGAATACTTTGAAATATAAGAGTGCAACGTTCTATTTACTGTTAAAGGGATTTGTTGTTTTATTTAAAAGTAATTGCTATTTTGGGTTAAGCCAATCCAAGCATCCTTTAATACGATAGCTACAGAAAAACAAAATGTTGAATTTCTAGAAGTTGGAAAGGGCGTCCAATTTAATATTGAATGGTGAACAAGGTTCAAACAGATTATTTGCAAATGTCATTTCAGTTTCGAGGGAATAGTACAATAACGTCATTTCTAAGGGCAATATTTCACTTTATCCCACGATTAATGTGTTATCTGTACAATAACAGCTATTGATATTTCTGATATTATTGAAATCCGTGTGATATTTTCCAGAAAATCGTTTATCAAACTCATATGCGTGTGATATCGTTTATCACATTTGCGCCACAATATTGTTGGAAATTAGGTCAGATAATTTATTCTCTTTAGAGAAAATAGGTCCGTTAATTTATTCTCTTTAAGTTTCATTGGTGTATTGAATTACGATTGTGTATATAATTTGATTAGAAGGCTGCTAACTAACGATTAAAAAATGGTATTTATGACGAACTATATCATGTTATTTATTTTTAATTGTTAAAATAAAGTGTTTCAAATATTCAGTTGATAATCTAATTTCTAGTTTATATTGTCTGCCAATGTCCTGGAAATTGGATCAGAACATCACAAGGTGATTGTAATCATGGGATAAACCCAATATCACATAATTTCTCGTGATATCATTTTATCGCCTCGTAGATATCAAATATCAACACTCATTCGCTTCGCTCACTCGTGTTGATATTTGCTATCAACTCGGCGATAAAAATGATATCACTCAAAATGATGTGATATTCTGTATTTATCCCACGATTAATGTGTTATCTGTACAATAACAGCTATTGATATTTCTGATATTATTGAAATCCGTGTGATATTTTCCAGAAAATCGTTTATCAAACTCATATGCGTGTGATATCGTTTATCTCACGCATATCCGTGTGATATCACATTTGCATTTCGCGCCACAATATTGTTGGAAATTAGGTCAGATAATTTATTCTCTTTTGAGAAAATAGGTCCGTTAATTTATTCTCTTTAAGTTTCATTGGTGTATTGAATTACGATTGTGTATATAATTTGATTAGAAGGCTGCTAACTAACGATTAAAAAATGGTATTTATTACGAACTATATCATGTTATTTATTTTTAATTGTTAAAATAAAGTGTTTCAAATATTCAATTGATATTCTAATTTCTAGTTTATATTGTCTGCCAATGTCCAGGAAATTGGATCAGAACATCACAAGGTGATTGTAATCATGGGATAAACCCAATATCACATAATTTCTCGTGATATCATTTTATCGCCTCGTAGATATCAAATATCAACACTCATTCGCTTCGCTCACTCGTGTTGATATTTGCTATCAACTCGGCGATAAAAATGATATCACTCAAAATGATGTGATATTCTGTATTTATTATATACCCAATATGTAACACTAATCCTGATTGGTCAATACCTAGTCACGTGTTCCGAAATAGATTTACTATTTCCCTCGGAAAGTTATATTCCCTCAAATGTGACGTCTACTCGGGGTGGAAAATTTTCTAAGAGGCTCCGTTAAGGAAAAAATGACTTTTTGAGCTGGATGGAATTTCTGTGTATTTTTTATTCTATTAGGGTGTCCTGCATAAGGGATTTCGCCTGCGAAGCATATAACTCTTGCGAACATATCTAAATACTGGTCCGAAGAAGACATACCTTGAATATTTTAGAAAAGAATTGGCTAAAAATGGAAACTACAAAAAGTCAAAATGTTCAACTCAAACAAAGTTGTAGCTATTCTATATCAATATTATATGTTATGTAAGGTTTCTCAGATGTTTCAGGACCTTCATTAGTGTACTTGTGTCTAGAAATGTGACATTTAAGGACAAAATTTGGCATTTTTTAATCATTTTCGCTTTCAGCATTAACATATAGTTCCTTGTATCTTTAGTTCAATGCTGACTGGTTGTTGCAATTTTGATTAAATGTGTGCTTGTGCATGTTTTCTTCCATTTAAGGTATAGAAAATGAATAGTAGACAACCAATGTTCATATGAGAGCGTTCAGATCTCCCCTACCCCATTTATTATGCAAAATTACCCCAAAATATGAAAAAATAAAATAACTTGACATTATAAACTTTAACAAAGTTGTAGCTATTCTATATCAATATTATGTGTTATTTAATGTTTTTAAGATATTTGAGAACCTTTATTGGTATACTGTGGCTAGAAATGAGACATTTAAGGACAAAACTTTGCATTTTTTTTATCATTTTCACTTTCAGCAGTAATATATAGTTCCTCATATCTTGAGTTTTATGCTGTCTGATTGTTTTATTTTCAATCAAATCTATTCTTGTGCATGTCTTCTTCCATTTAAGGCATAGAAAATGTATAGTGGACGAACAATGTTCATATTAGAGCTTTCAGATATCCCCTACCCCATCTATTATGGAAAATAAACTAGAAATATGAAAATGTAAAATAACTTGAAATTATAAACTTTAATAAGTTGTAGCTGTTCTATATCAATATTATGTGTTATTTAATGTTTTTAAGATTTTTAAAAACCTTTATTGGTATTCAAGTGGCTAGAAATGAGACATTTAAAGGGGCAACAAGGCCTGTAGGGAGAAAATAGGAAAATCAAAAAAAATTCTGAGCTATCAAGGCAACATTTGGCTTAACATTTTCTTTGACATACCTATTTTCTTAAAATGTATGGATAAACTATCAATTTCAGCCTTAAGAAGTGTAAATTCAGTTCAAAGCTTGAAAAAGGGGAAATCCACTTTTATATTTTTAAGATCCAACATGTTTCAAGAGGAATATCAGCTGAAATAATGTTTATCTAGGGGGTTTCTTTGTAGATAATAAAAATAGATGTTAGTCTTGATGAAATATCCAAACTTAAATATATTTTGGCACTGGTCCATGATCGTTGAATGGCCCCTCTGCACTAATTGTTGCACCTTTAAGGACAAAACTTGGCATTTTTTAATCAATGCTGCTTTCAGCAATAAAATATAAATCCTTATATCTTGAGTTTTATGCTGACTGGTTGATGCATTTTCGATTAAATCTGTTCTTGTACATGTTTTCTTCCATTTAAGGTATTGATAATGTAAAGTGGACAAACAATGTTCATATTAGAGCTTTCAGATCTCCCCTACCCCATTTATTAGGGAAGATGACCGAAAAATATAAAAAATAACTTCAAATTACCAGTATTAACTTTAACAAAGATGTAGCCATTCTTTATGTGTTATTGAATGGTATAATTAATGTTTCAGGACCTTCATTAGTATACTAGTGTCTAGAAATTAGACATTTAAGAACAAAATTTGGCATTTTCATCAATTTTTCATCATTTCCACTTTTAGCAATAACATTTCTGTATTTCCTTTTATCTTGAGTTTTATGCTGATTTGTTGATGGATTCTTGAACAAATCAGTTCTTTTGCCTGCCTACTTTGATTTAAGGTATTTAAACACGTATATTGGACTGCCTGACATTATATTAGAGCTTACATATCTCCCCTACCCCATTTATTTTGAAAAAAATAACCAGAAATATAAAAACCAAACAATTTCAAAGTATAGACCTTAACAAAGTTGTCGCTATTCTAGATCAATACTATGTATATTTGATATTTTTCAGATGTTTCAGGAACTTCATGAGAATACAAGTCTAAAAATTAGACATTTAAAGTTGAGTTGCAAATGGGACGGGTATTCTCTATCTTTGTATATTTGGGCTTTCTGGTAATAATATGTTGCAAACTGCTCATGAATCTATGCAATGTATAGTAGAACACTTGAAATATATGTAAATGTAATTGGGTATAGTAGTATGATATTTATAACCAGTGATCAAGCCATATTGGTTGAATTCCCTCATATCAATTGCAATGTTGTCAAAGGCTTGGTGATTTCCATATTACACCTAAGGGTGGTGGAAGTTCATGATGGATATTGGGCTTGGGGATATTTTGGTAAATACAAACATTGTGAAATGAAGAAGTTGACACTCTCCTTATACCCATGTCTATTACAGTGCTGCAGACAAGACAAAGGAATTCAATGTTGAGAGAATTTGTATTCAGTCTGATGATACAGAATGTTGCTTGCAAAGAAGGATGAGAGTTAAAAAGACCCCTTAAAGTTTCTTATGTCCTTCAAAGTCATCCTCCTAAGCAGGTGTCCAGAATCCGTACCTCCTTCTTCCCCCCTGCTATAAGCAGTTAGCATTTCCCCGATTAAGAACTCACAATTTGATTGACTGTCGCAACACTGCGACAGCAATCATGTATACGTCATCGGCGCATAATTAGATCACGTGATTCAGTTTAACCGGGCGCGTCCAACTCGGTAATAGCAGGGGGTAAAAAGAAAGAAGATTTTCTGGATTTTGAAGCCCTGTGATCGGAGGATGTTCAAGGTAGCATTCTAAATTACTATATGAATCTCAAAGTGCAATACCTATTTGAAGATATATCAAAGATGGGTGTCTTGTACCAGTACTCACAAACAAACCTTCGTAGCAACACAAAAAAATATGTCCTTGGCAATTGGCAAATGTAAAATGGCAAAAGGCAGAGAAAATTGCAAATACAACATTTCTAGTCAAGGGTGTATTGCTACTTGATTGTCCATGTGGCAATAAACAACAAAGTGCACATCGTTGGACAATATTTTAGGATGAGTTTCTCAGAACTATAAAAATTATTTAGAGATCTTACATATCTGAATAAATAGCTTGTGGTGTCATGAGCAACTTAGACCTTTAAAATGACTTAAATGCAGCTCTAACATAGAACCAGGGAGATTTGAAAAATCAGGCTGTTGCTAAATTAAGTTCGGGAGTTGTGAACAATCATGTTTATATATAGACTTATCCTTCGATTCATATGAGAGTAAACTGTGAAATTACAAA